TTTTAATTTTTTTTACTACCCTCACACTACGGATTTTCTTCTGTATTATAGAGGCAGCTTACATAAATCGCATAAGGACCAACATTCAGACCCGGAACAATTATTTGCAGGCCATACAAATACATGTTCCATGGTGGATTCGAAACCGTGGATCTGTCATTTATTCATCTCAAGTCTACTGGTGAACATATCCGCCCCCATAAATTGCCACGGGGAGGATTTTGCTATAGTTGTCAATATTTGCAGACGGGTTGGCAAACCGCAGTTTTTATTATTAAGTATAATAAAACACTCTCCGATTACTGCTTACACTTTTATTCGCCCTGAGGCTTTAGTTTATTTAGTTCATTATAGAATAGAATAGAATAGAATGATTTTTATTCAATATGGATTATTACATAATACTTATTGAAAGTCATTATTTTATTTACCACTGGTTCGGAAAATAAAAAATTTCCTGGGAAGAACCAGCAAGAAACCCAGCGGGACTTTTTTTGTAAACATAATTTCACTTAACAACAATTTTGTTTATACAATTTTAAATGAATTTTCATAGAACCAGCATGGTGGCGATCACCTTATTCCCAGGGGTTATTTTCATTCATGTATTCCTTGATATTATAATAACCCTTTTTGTACAGGTACTATAGTTCATTATACACTTATTTGGTCTTAACTATCAAGATGCCGCTGTATTTGAGGTGGTTTGAGATCTAATTGTGGCGACACAAATGTGCATCATTTATTCGCGATAAGCAGTCGTATAGACAAGAACACCATAGTTTTTTTTACATCCTAGTACTTGGATGATTGTTACTGTTTAATAATTCATAGGCTATCTACAGATAAATATAACCTGACCGATGAATAACTATGACAGATGATTAAAGTAGCGTCTAAGAAAATATCGCCGATCTCATTTTATTACGTCTCTTAGAAAAAGGAGAGGGCAAAATAATATTGATGCGACCCTGATGACATTAATAAAACGATGACTTATCGTGATCGAAGCAACCATCCTGTAACATGTTTCTCCATTAATCATCGCACAGCATAGCAGAATAAATATTGCAGCAAATGATCACACATACTATGTACCGTATCACACAGCATAGTAGGATAATAATGCAGCATTTGCTGATAATTTGATCACACAGATGTATCTACTGTATCACACAGCATAGTACAATGCAGTAAATTATCACACAGATTTTTATCTACTATATCACACTGCACAATAATAATGCAGCAAATGATCACACAGATGTAAATACTGTATTACACAGCAAAGTAGAATAATTATGCAGTAAATTATCATCTATTAATTATCACCATGCTATAGGTATCACACAGACAATGAGTTAATAATAGGCTATGCTTGATAGGTGCTACACTGGTTATCGGTGCCACACAGTCTATAGATTAGAATATGATATAATATTTTTTTATTCTATATAGATTATAGACTATTACGTAATACTTTTTGAAAGTTAATTTTCTATTTACTGGAAACACCTCTATACTGGGAAGAACCAGCAAGTACCCCAATGGTATTATTTAATATTCCATATGATTTCTTTCATACTGACTTTATGTTACTACTCAGGCTGTTGTTGCCACATACTTAGGGTCAAACAAACTTACTTTACTTACCAGCACTCGCGTCGTTATGAACGGAACGTTTCCGACGTAGCGGCAATAATCAACATTTTGAAAAGTAAAGTAAAATAAGGCATTGTGACTATCGCTCGAAAGTTCAAACAACAGTTGGTGGTATATAGCACTTAACCAGTGGTTTGTATCACCACCTCGCATTTGCCGGGAAGTGAGGAGATGATCGCATCACAAAAATAGCACATTTAAATATATATTTATATAATTTAAAACTATTTTAATAGCTACTGTAACACATTTTGGAAAAAAAAATGACACTAATCAAAAGCAAACAATGTAAATAAAACTCCAAAGTAAGGTTGCACACCTACATCTACTTCACCATCAGTAAAAGAGTATAGGTTCTCATCTCTCACCGTAAGAAACCAGGCACTGTATCAAATTTTAAGAAACATCAGATTGAATATAGGTAACAAAATTAAAAGCAAAACAATTCTTGTTACATTTATTTCACTTTCTCGTTACATAAGGGAATAAATTAAAAAACAAAAACATAATGTTTCAATGAGCGCTTTAAAATGAAAGGCATTTGGTACAAAACTATACAGAGTCAACCTCATCGAATACTGCAGTTTTGTAAACACAAAAATAAATAGAAATATAATTAATTTAGAATGAGATCAGGTCCCATTCTACGAAAAAAGGTTTTTAAATGACGAAAACTGATTTAAACAATTAACTTGTAGACTAATTGAAGATTTACGTCATTAGTTAATGGAATGTGAGCGGAAAAGACTAACGAGGGAACAATTATTTATGAAACATCTAATTGCTCAAGGCATTCTACATAATAACTTTACCTTGGATATTGCTTTGTGTTTGTTTGTGTGCAGACTAATGGTTTATGTATTCATTTTAAGTTTGTTATGATGGGGTTGACATGTTTATAATAAAAATACTTAAATAAATAAAGGGAAACTATGACCAAAATTATATTTTTATTTTTATTTATTCAAATAAAATGCTTTTACCGTAGGTTAAAATTAACCTTTTAAATAAGATATCCTATAAAGATTCTTATGAAATGCAAACTGAAAGTGCAACCTAGGTAATACTGATACTAAATCTTACAAGAAACTACAGTACTATGGTGTCAAGAACACAGCGCTTAAACTTATTATTTCATATTTAAGTAATAGAAAGCAGAAGGTTATTATCAATGGTAAAAGCTCTTCCGGGTCACCTGTACTAATGGGTGTTCCTCAGGGCTCGATTCTCGGCCCATTCCTGTTTCTGGTGTATATTAATGACTTACCTCACCTTGTAGGGGATGGTCATGATATAGTATTATTTGCTGATGTCACTTCCTTGATTTTTAAACTTAAACGTCAATTATTTAAATGTGACGAAGTGAATAATGCTATATCAAAATTAGTGCATTGGTTTAACGTTAATAATCTGCATTTGAACGGAAATAAAACTAATTGTGTTAAATTTACAACAACGAATGTTAAAAATCTGAATACCAATGTGTTTTTAAATGGGGAGGAATTGAGCCCTGTTGTATCCACTGTTTTTCTTGGCATCACTCTTGACGCAAAGCTTCAGTGGGGCCCCCATATATCCAAATTAGCAAGCAGACTAAGTTCTGCAGCCTATGCTGTAAAAAAGATTAGAGGTCTCACTAGTGTCGAGACAGCTAGATTAGTTTATTTCAGTTATTTCTATAGCAAAATGTCTTATGGGATTTTGCTATGGGGAAATGCGGCTGATTCAGAAACTATTTTTGTTTTACAGAAGAGGGCCATTAGTGCTATTTACAATCTAAAACCGAGAGTCTCTTAGAGATAAATTTAAAGAAATAAATATATTAACTTTGGCCTCTCAGTATATTTACGAAAATTTAATGTATGTTCACAAAAACATAGATAGTTTTAGTAAAAAAAAGTGATATATATACATTCTGTAAACACTAGGAACAAATATCAGTAATTCATTCTTGGGGCAATGTATACGCTATTACAACAAGGTCCCGGAAAGTGTACAGGTTCTCTCAATTACCAAGTTTAAATGTTTTATTAAACTGAAACTGTATAAAAAGGGTTATTATTATAGTTTAAATGAATACATGGTTGATAATAAACCCTGGGAATGAGGTGGTCGCTTCCAAGCAGTTTCTAAAATAAATTTTGTAAATAGTTAGTAATCATTTATATTGTAAAATTTATTAAATAAAAGTCCCGCTGGGTTTTTTGCTGGTTCTTCCCAGGACAGAGGGTTTTTTTTTCGAACCAGTGGTAAAGTAAAAAATGACGTTCAATAAGAATTACACATGTAATGTAATATTGAATAAAAAATTATTCTATTCTATTCTTACTATTTTTGAGTAAAAATGTATATGAAACTTAAATATTTTCAATTCCTTACACTATTTGCAAGTACACAGCAAAATCAACTTTATGTGTAAGTATTTTACCATTGCTAAAAATTAAGATGGATTGCCGTTTCGAAACGGTCAATCTTTAGCTTGATATTTTTTTCAAATTTAAATATTTAGATCTTTTGTTCCTTCTTCTTTCTGTCTCGTCGTCTTTAATAGTAATGTAACGTCCACTGCCGTAGATGTGTTCGATTATAATCGAATACTTTATACATGGACAAACATCTCTTTGAATCCCCTCTTTGAATGTAAAATCTCCCTACAATGAAGGAGGCCCCTGTACAGCAGTGGACTTTTGCGGGCTGGTGACGAAGAAGAAGACTGAATCCGCGACTTACAAAGTTAAACTTTAATAACTTTTGGATCGAATCATAGTGCGACTCATTAGGGTAGACCGACAGCATGATTAAGGTTTCTAGATATATAAGTGGTGTAAGAGTCCCCAGCGAATCCTAAAAATCAATAAAATCATTTAATAAGCCACGGATATATTTTTTTACTTACTTGCTTAAAAAATTTTGTACAACCAACTTCAATATAAATGATTAAGAATAACTCAAAAACTATTGGTCAGACCTTGATCAAATTTATATGGGACCACACGTGAAGCACCAGCTTTCAAATAAAAAAAGAATCATCGAAATCGATTCACCCAGCAAAAAGTTATTACACATAAAAAAACATACAGTCGAATTGAGTAACATATCCTCTGAAGTCGGTAGAATAATATATATACAAAATTTAATTTAATTTTATAAGTCCGTTATAGATCAAATAAATGTTAGTATGAAATACAAATTAAAAGTTTGTAAATGAATTATGTATTGTTTATTTTGCTTAATTATTTTTATTGATCCTTTTACTTTTTGCTGTTATGTTAAAAAATAGACGTTGATACAATGGGAATAGTGACCGTTATTGCAATAACATACTGCTTGTCTAAAGTCTAATTCCACTTCAACAGCTCGCTGTCATCGGACAATGTTTTCTCTTTGATCTGCTTGTTGAGATGTTCAATGAGAGCGTCGACTGTCATTTCACCGTGCACCTTGTTGTCCCTGGTGCGAACGTTCACCGTGCCAGAGTTCTTTTCTCGTTCCCCTACCACTGAAATAGATTATATTGGTATTAGTAAACAAAATCATGCCCCAATAAATTATTCTTTGTTAAACACGGCGACCCCTAATAAAAAACAAGGAACCGTCATAATCTATAAATAAAAGAAAAGCCCTGGGGAGCGTCAGTCCTTCTGTAGGACCGTATGAGGAATTTCATTCTGTTCTTAATAATTTACGAGGACAATAAAAAAGTAAAGTTACTCTCGGTATATTTTACGTCTGACGTAAGCGTTATGACCGTGTTGGCGGTGTAAGGATATCCACTACCCCGTATCATTCCATGGGCGTCGTAAGAGGCGACAGAGGGAAACAAATCAGATGGGCAGCAGCATCTTCCTGATAATGACTTAAAATAAAAACCTGCGATCACCAATCAGCTTGCCAAGCGTAGCAACGTATGTTCGCAAAAGTATGTTCAGAAGTGAACTTTAATAGGCTGTAACGGAAACGGCCAACCCGCCGACCAAGCGACTGTGGCAAATATCCCTCTACGAGACAATCTATGGGGGAGGCTTGTGTTGAGCAGTGGACTTTTGATAGTCTGTAATAGTAATTAGTAAGGGAGATGGTTACATTCGGTATCTTAATCTTACCTAAAATGTAGTTGAACTGGGCGAGCTGGGCGTTACGAACTTTCTTGTTCAGCGTGTCACCGGGGTCGGTGTCCACTTCCGACATGAAGCCGCTCGCGAAAAGTTTCTCGTTCACCTGAAATTCATGACAAGTAAAGCAATGAAACACAAAAGATATCATAGTGTTGTGAACTGACGAATTTACCCTACTTTAAAGTAAGTGACAAAACAACTCACCATACGAAACACCAGCATTATACAGCTATTTTACGCTGGTATTGTGTAAGAGCATGATTTTTCTGAGATGGAGCCTTAGTTTATAAGAGTACAATTTACGTGGTAAAGCCAAACTGCAGCCCTATTATGGTTGCAGCGCGAACGAGACATTCTATCTTAGTCCTCTGGACTAACAACGCATGTGCATTTCGATACTAAATCGAGTATAGATATACATGTCTATGGTAAGTGAATGCTGTACATTCACTTACCATCAGCTGGACTGTGTGATCGTTTCTCATCCTTATTATTAAAAAAAAATGTGGCTCTCCCACGTATAGATAAGAGATAGCTATGTAAGGATTGTTAGTCTATGACAATGCATCCACGCGTTGTCTGTTCTTATTACACAATTGTTTCACTATACTAATATGTCCCTAGGCAATTAATAAATTAATTGTATTCGTATGTTGGCGTGCATCAAATCACCCGGTAGAATGCTAACATTTCAGTAAACCCACTCTTCCCCACAGTATTATGGGTAAAGGTGGAACGCTCTCTTTTTGCAGCAGCCAAAATCTTTTATAAAATTCAAGCGGCAAACGAACCTACAGTCCACCCGATGATAAAAATGGTTGCTGCAGTCCATGAATACCTGCAGCCAACTTCAATCCAACGCCAAATAGCAGTGTGTGCACTAATATGTTCCGGTCTGAGGGGGTATAGAGCGCCATAATTATTTTATCTAGTAGTAGGCTTTAAGGCACGCTATCTTAATTGTCAGAACAACGCATCTGTAAACTTCAGTGCAATGTTTTATAAAAAATACGTGTGTATGTTTGTGGCGGTGCCCCAACGTATATATATCCATGCATGTATGTGTCCGTGCATGTACGTGTCCGTGCGTGTACGTGTTCGTATGTGTACGTGTACGTGCATGTACATGTCCATGCGTGTACGTGTCCGTACGTGTACGTGTCTGCGCGTACGTGTCCGTGCGTGTACGTGTCCGTGCGAGTACGTGTCCGTGCGAGTACGTGTCTCTGCGTGTACGCGTACGTATCCGTGTGAGTACGTGTCCGTGCGTGTACGTGTCCGTGCATGTACGTGTCCATACGTGTACGTGTCCGTGCGTATACGTGTCCGTGCGTGTACGTGTCCGCGCATGTACGTGTCCGTGCGAGTACGTGTCCATGCTTGTACGTGTCCGTACGTGTGCGTGTACGTGTCCGTGCGTGTATGTGGCCGTGCGTGTACGTGTCCGTGCGTGTACGTGTCCGTGCATGTACGTGTCCGTGCATGTACGTGTCCGTGCATGTACGTGTCCGTGCATGTACGTGTCCGTGCGTATACGTGTCCGTGCGTGTACGTGTTCGTGCGTGTACGTGTCCGTGCGTGTACGTGTCCGTGCGTGTACATGTCCGTGCGTATACGTGTCCGTGCGTGTACGTGTCCGTGCGTATACGTGTCCGTAAGTATACGAGTCCGTGCGTGTACGTGTCCGTGCGTGTACATGAAGTTGTGCGTGCACACTTCCCGCGAGGCGACTTACCGCGGTGGCGTACTGGTCCAGCGAGGGTCCCACTGGCACAACGCACACTTGACGCGGGCTGAGCCACAGCGGCCACTTGCCCGCGTACGACTCGCTCAGAATGGCCACCATGCGCTCCACGGAACCCAAGATCGCGCGGTGGATTATCACCGGCCGCTTCTTCTCGCCACTCTCGCTGTTTAAACACGCAAATGTAAATATTAAATAACACTATTCTATGGTTAAGCGTGTATTAATTCATTAATTACAGCTTATCATAAGTCCACGACTGAACATAGACCTTTCCCATTGACAGACAATTGCCCTTTGGGGAATATTTGCCATCGTTCCCTTGCTTGGCAGTTAGATTGGCAAACGTAGTTTATTTCTTATTTCGAGTTGTTATCAGGATGACGCTGCTAGTCGTTCACTCACACACATCCATTTAATTTCTAAATAGTTAACATTTATACATCAAAATATTATTGAAATAATTGGTCAAAATTATTATTCAAAAATAAAATTATGACAATATAATAAAACATACACTCATAATACTTTTAAGCCCACAGATAAATATAAGCTCTTCCAAAAATGTACCAACTCTCTATACAATACTTGGTAGTTATGGGTTGAGCAGGCCAGGACTGATAGCCGCTATTTGTCGGCCTCCAGAGCATCAGCTGTTAGTTTGAAGTGTGCCAAAGCGTTGTCCATTAAATCCCTCTCGCTAACAAAAATAATTAATAATAATTAGAAAGGAGGGGAACAAGGGTAGGTAAAAATAAAAAAGTTCTAACAAAATTACCTGACATAAGTGAGATTAAATCTTTCAGGTAGTTGGAAGTCCAACTGTATTGTAGCGCACTGGTGGGATCTCCTCAGAGCATCCTGGATGGTGATGTCAATCTTGGGTCCATAGAACGCACCGTCCCCGGGATTCAGTTGCCAAGGACGCCCGAATTTGTTCAGTGAATCCTCCAACGCCTGCCAATTTAAGATATGACCATTATAATCCACTTAAATTTCCATGTTGGTGTCCAAAACAACAGTTACCTCTCATTTCAGAAAGGATTATAGAACAGAAAGCAATCTACTACACAGCATCAGTGTAAATCCTTGGCAAATACTTGAAATATTTTTGATTGTAATACGCAAGTTTCCTCACGACAGTTTTCTTTATGTTAAGCACATATAGTAAAACATTATTATTCTGACTTTTAGTAAGTAAAGTATACTAAATGTGTGATTTCGAATCTATACAAATAAATAAAATGGAAATGTCTGTTTGTAATGTCAAAATAACAGTTTTTTTACTAAATGCATATGAAAGAATATACGTTACTTATAACAAAAAACAATTTTTGAATTTTTTGTCTGTTTTTCTATCTGTTTGTTTGTTGCGGCTAATGTCCGAAATATTTGGATCGATTTTGACGGGACTTTCACTGGCAGATCGCTGATGTTATAAGGAATAACTTAGGCTATTTTTATTTTGAAAAAAAAAAATAATTAGGGTTACGCGCAAAAAATTAAAACCTATGAAAACCAATTATAATCATTTCACCGCGAAGTCGCACGGAACAGTATTTTGGTACGGAAACCGCTCTGCTGCACGTCACGGATGATATAACTGCAGCTTCTCATAAAGGTAAGTGTGTACGATACTGGTGCTATTGGATTTTACTAGAGCGTTCGACTGCACAAACCATTATATACTTTTGGCGAAATTGTCATACTACGGAGTATTGGAAGCAACATGTAAATGGTTTTACTCATTCTTATCAAATAAAAGTCAATATGTTGAAATTAACACTGACCAAGGGGAAGTAATGCAAACAAGTATAAGAAGAACGTCCGTAGGCACTCCGCAAGGATCTATCTTAAGCCCTATTCTATTTATACTGTTTACAGCGGATATTAGCAGTCTTAAAACATAGCAAAATAGATCTGTATGCGTATGTATGATCTGCACACGGAAAATGCAGTCGTGCAGTTAAATGAAGATTTGTCGGCAATTTTCCAATGGGCAAAAAAAATGGTCGATCACTTAATCCTTTAAAATCAAAATATATGGTGCTAGGAAGTAAAACACAATGTTAAAAAAATAATAAGTAAGAAACCGGAAATACTCATCAACAATAAAAAGGTGCTCAGAGTCGATCGTACTAATAACCTTGGTCATACCCTCGATAGCAAACTACGCTTTAATGAGGATGTAAATATTTTTTTTTTATCTATCTTTATTTAAAAAGGCTTTTATGGATGTAAATATTAAAATACGTAATGCTTTTTATCGTTTAAAAGTATTATATAGCATAAGATAAATACCTATAAACCATACCCTTAAAAGAAAATTTTAATATTACATTTGCAACATTTGACAAAAAAGGTTAAAAAGGAGCCCTTTCATATACAGAAGTCTTTTTAGGCCATATGGTTGTATGTTTATTGTGTAATAGTCTTTTTATTTAATACATATAGACTGTAAAGATGGTAACCCTCTTTAACTAATTAAGTAACACATAATTAAGTACGATGTACGTGCGACCAAAATATGTATATCCAAAACAGCAGGTACTGGCTGAAAACCAGTGCTGTGCATAATGCCCAGCTAACACAGCCTGTTCTCGTTGCCTCGCCTCACATTATAATGGTATACTTAGTAATAGTAGTTAATTTGTTAATTAATTGTGAATGTTCATTTTTTATAGAATTTTTAAGTATAATTGTATACTTACTTTGTTTTCATTTGTAAACTTATTATTGTGTGGCAATAAATACTTATTTTATTATTATGGGTTATCTACATAGTCTTCTCATCTGGTTGGGCTGTATAAATATATAATTGTAAACGACAGATCAATATACATAAATATCAATAAATATAAAATAAATACATAAAAATACATAAATAAACCCAACCAGATGGAAGGCCTCGGCAGGGGAGACCAAACAGCCGAGGTTAGAGGGAAAGAGAAAGAAACCGGCGGACGATATCGAGGAGCACCGCCTTCTGCATTTGAGCCTGGAGCGGTGCGTCACTATTGTTATATCCGTCGTTATTATTATTATTTTATTTTACAGCCAGGTTATACCGCCAGCTAAACGTGTAATGGCGGTGTGAGAATATTCCCTGCCCCATATCGTTTCGTTGCTGTTGTTAGAGGCGTCAGAGAGAAACAAACCAGGAGATGGGCAGTAGCATCTTCCTGATATCAGCACAAAATTATAAAAAAAGTGCGGTTGCCAATAGTGGCAACTACACCAAAATACCCCCTATAAAACAATCAATAGGGGAAACGTATGTTCAGCAGCGGCCTTTTAGGTAATGGATGGATGGGTGGATACCGATAGCTATTGGAAGCCAAGATCTTTCTTGCATTCCCACATTTACCTTTTACGACATCCACGGGATGAAATGGAGTTATAGATTATTTTCATCACTTCCATATTGCAAATGGTTAATAAAGTCCAAATTTAATATTAAAAGAGCGACATTATGGTTAATTTATTAAGTTATTTTTAACATACAATTTTGTCAAAACTAACCTTTTCAGCTTGATCCCAAGTAGCCAAGTCACCTAAGTACTTCTCCGGTCGAGTGGACAACTTCAGTTGGAACGTGAATCCGAATGTTGAGTACACGCAGTCCAAGAACTCAAGGCATCCCACCTGTTGAAAAAAATGTGTTTAGATTGAAGCACGCGTAACTTAGTTATTAGCGTATAACAAGTTATGGGGTCATTGGAAGTCATTTTTTGTTGACAAACTGATGTTCTGACCTGACTGTAAGCGGATGCTGTGGTCCACTGCACTTACATGTATCCACAATTATAAATAAAAGACTTTTTTTCGTGGGGAAATCCTCATAGAATAGCCGTCCAAGATTACATATATAACACAGTTCATACCACTTGTGGATGTTAGAAATTAGTCCCGAAATTATTTAAATAAAATAAAGATTCTAGATCTAAGTGTTGACTTTTACGTTATAAAAATTATAGAACACAGTTACGTAAATACAAAATATCCACAAAATAATATATTAAATATGCAAACCAACAGCAACACTAAGTTACTAGTTGATTACTTCAACTTGATCAATGCAGACTGTTGCTCCCGGTTGCTTACCGTACTTTTATAAGATGACTTTTATGATAGCCAACTGAGAGACATTCGGAAGGTAGTTAATACAAAGACTTTAGGAAACTAAAAACTACGCTTAATACTTGAAAAGCCAATACGCTTTTTTCTTTTAACAATATATAATTCACATTTATACATCTTTCTTCTTCCCACGGTCCCTCTAGATTAGGCAACAGTGCACGAATAGCACCCGCTACCCTTTCAATCCGGGGGACTACGCGCTTGAAGTGTTCTTCGAAGCCGAAGCGACTATTCATGTACCGTCAAAAAAACTTCATGTACCGTCCCACTCTGACTTCAGACCCACCGACGTTGAAGTACCAGTCGGGTGGATTCCCAGCGTCGTCGTAATTTATGGAATTATAGAGCCTCAGTCTTGTGAAGCGCTATTTCTAATCTTGGTAGTATTGTTTGTTTTTGTGGATTTTCAACTAAGCTCGGTGAGCTCCTTGACCATCTCCAAAGTGACCCTGGCGGTGCTGATCAAACTTTTTTAAGGTATATGATATCTATGCCAGCGCGGAGGTCGAGGTCGAGGAGGTTCCAAATTAGCGGCCCCAGCACCAAGCCCTGTGGAATTCCACGTTTGATCTTCCTCCGGATATTATACTACCGTTTTGCCCCATGTACGGGATCTACCTGTCGCGCAAGTAATCCATGATAATACCTTGTAGGTAGGAAGTGTCACCTGTGAATCTGAGGACTAAGATCGCGTTGCGTTGCGCGAGTGTAGAGAACCGGAGACGCTTTTTATTTGAAAACGCAGGATTCTGTCTTAGTCCATATGGGTGACAATGTATCTGCGTTTTGTTTTTGATCAACGATAGATGTGGTTATGCCTTTGGTTTTATGGACATAGCTTTCAGTTACCGTTAGGTGGACTGTGTTCTTGTTTGTCATGCTCATTCTATATAAAAAAAAAATCAAGTTTAAGTCATGTGGCGATTTTATAAATTTTTATATTTTTCTATTATTGTTTAGTGCTTATAGAAAGTCAAATTGGCTAATTCTGCAGAAGGACGGATGTGAGTCTGAGAGAGAGTGGGTAAGTAGAAATAGAAATAGATTCTTTTTTTACTAAATACGTATAACCACTAGAACTACCAAGAAACCCAGCGGGATTTTTTTTGAATAAAGCTTTCAATCATTAAAGTCACACAATAATAAATAACATGAAATGAATTACAAGTAGCTTGATAGCGATCACTTCATTCCCCAGGGGTTATCATCCATAAATTTCTTAATATAATACTTACCGTCTTTATACTATGTTTGTTCGATAAAGTTTTTAAGCTTGGTGGAAGTCAGATTTTGTATATTTTCTGAGATTACATCAAATGTAAGGGCGTATAAATCGCTCAAAGAATGAATTACCGACTGTGTGGATTCGAGTAACTGGTACTACTAGTCCCACTCCCCCTAGTAGCACGTGAGTCGTGCACGAGTGAGCGAGCGGCACTCACCATCTCGCGCTCGATGTGGTGCGGCGCGCAGAAGTACTTGTCCCACTAGTGGCGCGGGAGTGGTGCACAGTGAGCGAGCGGCACTCACCATCTCGCGCTCGATGTGGTGCGGCGCGCAGAAGTACTTGTCCCACTAGTGGCGCGGGAGTGGTGCACAGTGAGCGAGCGGCACTCACCATCTCGCGCTCGATGTGGTGCGGCGCGCAGAAGTACTTGTCCCACTAGTGGCGCGGGAGTGGTGCACAGTGAGCGAGCGGCACTCACCATCTCGCGCTCGATGTGGTGCGGCGCGCAGAAGTACTTGTCCCACTAGTGGCGCGGGAGTGGTGCACAGTGAGCGAGCGGCACTCACCATCTCGCGCTCGATGTGGTGCGGCGCGCAGAAGTACTTGTCCCACTAGTGGCGCGTGGGTGGTGCACAGTGAGCGAGCGGCACTCACCATCTCGCGCTCGATATGGTGCGGCGCGCAGAAGTACTTGTCTCACTAGTGGCGCGGGAGTGGTGCACAGTGAGCGAGCGGCACTCACCATCTCGCGCTCGATATGGTGCGGCGCGCAGAAGTACTTGTCCCACTAGTGGCGCGGGAGTGGTGCACAGTGAGCGAGCGGCACTCACCATCTCGCGCTCGATGTGGTGCGGCGCGCAGAAGTACTTGTCCCACTAGTGGCGCGGGAGTGGTGCACAGTGAGCGAGCGGCACTCACCATCTCGCGCTCGATGTGGTGCGGCGCGCAGAAGTACTTGTCCCACTAGTGGCGCGTGGGTGGTGCACAGTGAGCGAGCGGCACTCACCATCTCGCGCTCGATATGGTGCGGCGCGCAGAAGTACTTGTCCCACTAGTGGCGCGGGAGTGGTGCACAGTGAGCGAGCGGCACTCACCATCTCGCGCTCGATGTGGTGCGGCGCGCAGAAGTACTTGTCCCACTAGTGGCGCGGGAGTGGTGCACAGTGAGCGAGCGGCACTCACCATCTCGCGCTCGATGTGGTGCGGCGCGCAGAAGTACTTGTCCCACTAGTGGCGCGGGAGTGGTGCACAGTGAGCGAGCGGCACTCACCATCTCGCGCTCGATGTGGTGCGGCGCGCAGAAGTACTTGTCCCACTAGTGGCGCGGGAGTGGTGCACAGTGAGCGAGCGGCACTCACCATCTCGCGCTCGATGTGGTGCGGCGCGCAGAAGTACTTGTCCCACTAGTGGCGCGTGGGTGGTGCACAGTGAGCGAGCGGCACTCACCATCTCGCGCTCGATATGGTGCGGCGCGCAGAAGTACTTGTCTCACTAGTGGCGCGGGAGTGGTGCACAGTGAGCGAGCGGCACTCACCATCTCGCGCTCGATATGGTGCGGCGCGCAGAAGTACTTGTCTCACTAGTGGCGCGGGAGTGGTGCACAGTGAGCGAGCGGCACTCACCATCTCGCGCTCGATATGGTGCGGCGCGCAGAAGTACTTGTCCCACTAGTGGCGCGGGAGTGGTGCACAGTGAGCGAGCGGCACTCACCATCTCGCGCTCGATGTGGTGCGGCGCGCAGAAGTACTTGTCCCACTAGTGGCGCGGGAGTGGTGCACAGTGAGCGAGCGGCACTCACCATCTCGCGCTCGATGTGGTGCGGCGCGCAGAAGTACTTGTCCCACTAGTGGCGCGGGAGTGGTGCACAGTGAGCGAGCGGCACTCACCATCTCGCGCTCGATGTGGTGCGGCGCGCAGAAGTACTTGTCCCACTAGTGGCGCGGGAGTGGTGCACAGTGAGCGAGCGGCACTCACCATCTCGCGCTCGATGTGGTGCGGCGCGCAGAAGTACTTGTCCCACTAGTGGCGCGTGGGTGGTGCACAGTGAGCGAGCGGCACTCACCATCTCGCGCTCGATATGGTGCGGCGCGCAGAAGTACTTGTCTCACTAGTGGCGCGGGAGTGGTGCACAGTGAGCGAGCGGCACTCACCATCTCGCGCTCGATATGGTGCGGCGCGCAGAAGTACTTGTCTCACTAGTGGCGCGGGAGTGGTGCACAGTGAGCGAGCGGCACTCACCATCTCGCGCTCGATATGGTGCGGCGCGCAGAAGTACTTGTCCCACTAGTGGCGCGGGAGTGGTGCACAGTGAGCGAGCGGCACTCACCATCTCGCGCTCGATATGGTGCGGCGCGCAGAAGTACTTGTCTCACTAGTGGCGCGGGAGTGGTGCACAGTGAGCGAGCGGCACTCACCATCTCGCGCTCGATATGGTGCGGCGCGCAGAAGTACTTGTCCCACTAGTGGCGCGGGAGTGGTGCACAGTGAGCGAGCGGCACTCACCATCTCGCGCTCGATGTGGTGCGGCGCGCAGAAGTACTTGTCCCACTAGTGGCGCGGGAGTGGTGCACAGTGAGCGAGCGGCACTCACCATCTCGCGCTCGATGTGGTGCGGCGCGCAGAAGTACTTGTCCCACTAGTGGCGCGTGGGTGGTGCACAGTGAGCGAGCGGCACTCACCATCTCGCGCTCGATATGGTGCGGCGCGCAGAAGTACTTGTCCCACTAGTGGCGCGGGAGTGGTGCACAGTGAGCGAGCGGCACTCACCATCTCGCGCTCGATGTGGTGCGGCGCGCAGAAGTACTTGTCCCACTAGTGGCGCGGGAGTGGTGCACAGTGAGCGAGCGGCACTCACCATCTCGCGCTCGATGTGGTGCGGCGCGCAGAAGTACTTGTCCCACTAGTGGCGCGGGAGTGGTGCACAGTGAGCGAGCGGCACTCACCATCTCGCGCTCGATGTGGTGCGGCGCGCAGAAGTACTTGTCCCACTAGTGGCGCGGGAGTGGTGCACAGTGAGCGAGCGGCACTCACCATCTCGCGCTCGATGTGGTGCGGCGCGCAGAAGTACTTGTCCCACTAGTGGCGCGGGAGTGGTGCACAGTGAGCGAGCGGCACTCACCATCTCGCGCTCGATGTGGTGCGGCGCGCAGAAGTACTTGTCCCACTAGTGGCGCGTGGGTGGTGCACAGTGAGCGAGCGGCACTCACCATCTCGCGCTCGATATGGTGCGGCGCGCAGAAGTACTTGTCCCACTAGTGGCGCGGGAGTGGTGCACAGTGAGCGAGCGGCACTCACCATCTCGCGCTCGATGTGGTGCGGCGCGCAGAAGTACTTGTCCCACTAGTGGCGCGGGAGTGGTGCACAGTGAGCGAGCGGCACTCACCATCTCGCGCTCGATGTGGTGCGGCGCGCAGAAGTACTTGTCCCACTAGTGGCGCGGGAGTGGTGCACAGTGAGCGAGCGGCACTCACCATCTCGCGCTCGATGTGGTGCGGCGCGCAGAAGTACTTGTCCCACTAGTGGCGCGGGAGTGGTGCACAGTGAGCGAGCGGCACTCACCATCTCGCGCTCGATGTGGTGCGGCGCGCAGAAGTACTTGTCCCACTAGTGGCGCGGGAGTGGTGCACAGTGAGCGAGCGGCACTCACCATCTCGCGCTCGATGTGGTGCGGCGCGCAGAAGTACTTGTCCCACTAGTGGCGCGGGAGTGGTGCACAGTGAGCGAGCGGCACTCACCATCTCGCGCTCGATGTGGTGCGGCGCGCAGAAGTACTTGTCCCACTAGTGGCGCGGGAGTGGTGCACAGTGAGCGAGCGGCACTCACCATCTCGCGCTCGATGTGGTGCGGTGCGCAGAAGTACTTGTCCCACTAGTGGCGCGTGGGTGGTGCACAGTGAGCGAGCGGCACTCACCATCTCGCGCTCGATGTGGTGCGGTGCGCAGAAGTACTTGTCCCACTAGTGGCGCGTGGGTGGTGCACAGTGAGCGAGCGGCACTCACCATCTCGCGCTCGATGTGGTGCGGCGCGCAGAAGATGTGCGCGTCGTCCTGCTGGAAGCGGCGCACGCGCGTGAGGCCGGTGAGCGCGCCGCTCAGCTCGTTGCGGTGCAGCACGCCGAAGTCCGCCAGCCGCAGCGGCAGCTCGCGCCACGACCGCGTGCGGTTGTCGAACATTAAGCTGCCACAACATTCATACTTCACTACCAATACCACCACAAATAAATCAGGATGGGCAGCGGCGTCTTTCTAAAACGCCTAAAAAGAAAAAAGGGGATTTGCAACCCGCTTGCCAAGTATGGCAAACATTACAAATACTTTTTACATGGTAGAGCCACGCTGCCGCTATATATTGTGGTTGCAGCACGAATGTGTCGGCTAGACTGGGGTATGACCACGTTCTCACAGAACACCAGCGTAAAATAGCAGCTTAATGTCCCCGCATTTTGTATGGTAAGTGTAGAAAACCGGAGACCCTTTTTACTGGAAACGAGGCACTGCATCTCAGCCAGTCAGATTCTTAATTAAGTATAAATGTAGATGTCTATAGGCCACAGATGGACTGCGTGCTGATTTATCACCCTTATTCTATAAATTTTAAAAATCCCTCCTGACGTAAACTATTGAGGTGAGACCTATGTGGACTTTGAACATGCTATAATGATATTAGTACCGTTACCGACTATAGATTGCCTCATAGGGAGGATATTTGTCGTAGTTACCTCGGTTGGTGAAAGGATTGGCAACCACAGTTATTTATTAAGTTGTTATCAGGAAGATGCTGCTGCTCATCTAATGTTTCATTTCCCTATTTCACCTTTTACGACATCCATGAGACTATATCTGATGTGGATTATCATGTCCAATACACGGTAGACTTGGTCACATTGAAAACTAAATTTAAAACTATGTGATATTTCTAGTCAACATTGCTCAAATCATACAACCTAGTCAATTTGTTCTTTGAGCCAACACGTATTGCAGGGCTTAGTGCAACTTGTATAGATAATATTTTTAATGACTGTACACAGTGATCAGAATAAAAATTTTGAATAATTAAGGGCTCATAATTATTCAAAATTTTTATTCTGATCACTGTGTACAGTTAGTCTCGCTACCTTACATGCACGAAAACCAGAAAGTTAAGAAAGTTGTGCTTGTTCCAATAAATGAACATCGCTTAGAGAGATTTAGAAGTAGTATAATGAAAAAGCTGCCTTTTCTTCCATATAAAAACAATACTAACTATTTATATAAATCACTATTTAAACTAATAAGTCTTGAATTTAATAAAACGTTTACTTCTAAAACACTCTCTTTAAACAGTCGCAAATCGTTTAATGAGTGGGCGACAGTAGGAATCCATAGGAGTAGACAAAAGTTATAGGACCTTTACAATGAAAGATTAAAAAATCATAGTGTTTCATTTATAAAATATGTAAAAAATATTCCAAAATATTTAAGACAGTGTGTTGTGCAGCCAAGTCTTTAACAATAATTTGACAAAATCAGATCAAGACGGCTTTTGAACAATATTTTACCGACATTCCGATCTTGACTACAAAGTAACTCAATTCCTTGCCTGCTGTCGCCGATACATTACTCAAACAAAATGTAAATGTCTGTAAAAAAGAATTTGCATTTCATAGAATATTATCAGGCAATATAATAAAATATTTCAAAACTATTGATATTAAGAAAACAACAGCCGGGGATTTCTGTTAAATTTATTGCGTCTATAATAGGTGCGATCGCACCCCAACTTACTGTTATTTTCAATGTAGTATCGAATCTGGTATGTTTCCTGATTTAATGAAACATAGTAAAGTTATACCTTTAGTTGAATCTAGCAGTACACTGGACCCCACTAATTTTAGACCCATTTTTGTACTGTCAACGCTCAGTAAAATTTTTGAAAAATTATTCTTGGACAAATGTTAAGTTTTTTTTTTAATTTAAATAAATTACTCCATAACAATCAGTTTTGATTTACAAAAGGTTGAGCGACAACTGATGCCGGTATTTAAAACATATTTTCTGTGCATGGAAAAATTCAGAAGATACTTTGGGTATATTTTGTGATCTTTCCAAGGCGTTCGACTGTGTTCATGCACCAAAGAGGTTAATCATGAAGCCACCTCATTATGGTGTAAAAAACATAGCGCTCAAACTTATATGTCATATCTAAATAATAGAACGCAAACAGTGTTATTAATGAATGCAGTTCTTCCGGATTGGTAGTATCAATGGGTGTTCCTCAGGTCTCAGTTCTTGGTCCCTTTCTGTTCTTAGTGTATATTAATGATTTAGAGTATTTCCACCAACACAACGCTAGGGTTCACACATGTGTTAAAGCTATGGCAAAAATCAACGAATTGAAGTATGATTTGCTGCCCCACCCACCTTATTCGCCTGATCAAGCGCCATCAGACTTCCACTTATTCACTAAGCTCAAAACCTTTTTGAGCGGACAGAAAATTGCCACAAATGATGAAGTCATAGTCGATGTAGAGGAGTATTTTGCAGGCCTCGAAAGAAATCATTTTATGGAAGGCATTACTGCGTTAGAACGAAGATGGAATAAGTGCGTACAGGTTCACGGAGACTATGTCGAAAAATAAAATTAATTTTATCACGGATAGTTAAGTGTTTCCTTACTAGGCTAGTTACTTATCATCCCGCCCTCGTATTACTATTATTTGCACATGCTTATCCTGCAGTGTAGTAATGATATAAGACTATCCACTACCCCATAACGTCTGGTGGGTGTTGTAAGAGGCAACAGAAGAAAACAAACCATGAGTAATCTCCTGCAACAGCAGTGTCGTCTCTTGAAAATAAAAAAACAGCAGTTTCCAACCTGCATGCCAAGCGTGGTAACTACGGGGGGGGGGGGGGGTATGTTAAACTGTGAACTTCTGCTAGGACGTAATGATCGAATTAATGATAATTTCTTATTACTTAACACTGGCAAAAGTACAACCATACAAGTACTTTACCAAAGAAGAAGAAGGAATCTGTTTGGGTTTTATCTACTATTTTGTATGCGCACAAATGAATTGTTTTACGATTTAGAAACTGTTAATGTGATATGATAATAAAGTTAAAAAGTTACCACAACCATAAGAGCATTTTTCAAAAAATGTGTTCTATGAGTTGATATTCATAAAAGCTAAGGATTTTAAAACTTATCTTTTTTAACCTAAAACGATAAAACAACTTAAAAATTGATTATTAGTGTATTCAAAACTATGTAAATCTGTATATTTTACATAAATATAGGCACACCTGGCACCCTCGTTTTGCAAAGTTCCAAACGAAAAATATTAGTATTATCCTACCCTTTTCTTCAATAATTGTATGTAATTTGGTGAGAGTTATGTGATCCAAATTCAAAAACATTACTTATTTATAGTGTTTTAAAGCACATAATAATGTAAAATACTCTTTTAACTTGTCCCTTAAAATATCGTTAGTAGAAAATTCCATATACGCTACGTCGATTTCATAACTTAGAATGCAAAAAATTTAATAAACTAAGTGTTGTTTTTGACTATTGGTAGTGTTTTAGCAAGCAAACAGTTATCATATTAGTTTTTTGATAGCAGTCGCGTTTGTGAAATGCAAGTGTTTGATGGTTAATTAGAAAAAGTGTTAAAAATATGAATTGAAAGTAATATTTAGTAAAATTACATCGAAACTACTGAACTTAGAAGTTCGTTGCTGTGCCGGCGGCATAAGTCAGCGTTCTGGAACACCAAATGTGCGTGGTTGTTGAAATCTTTATCGAGCTACTTTGTGATAAGAATATAGACCTTATATTATGTCTTAATTCATATCAACTAGATTTTATTAACCAGAAAATAAATTTAATTGATCATTACATAGTTACAGTTTTGTACTTATTTTTTTTCGAATACAGTTTTTTAGAATACAGTAGGATGAGGATTCGTACTTAACCTTTAAGTATGGACGTGGAGTCTCACAGGCTCCGCACGATTCGCCAGTTTTTGGTTTGACCCCCTTCCCCCCGCTCCATGCACCCGAGCGTCTCAGTAGCTTTACGTTTAGTTCCAAACTACACAGTGCGGGCGGAGGTTACGTCGCTGGATGCAGAACACGTGAGTAATATTCATCGAAATATTGGCTGGAGCCTGTCAGGCTCCACGTCCACTGTTGCCATGTAAAATATTATGATCAATTTTCTCTGTATGTTTTAGATTTTGTTATGTAAAATGGCTGAAAATATTAAAGCGAGTTGTTCTAGTGCAAAACAACCTCAGAGAAAAAAAATGCGACTAGATGATCCATCTTTCGAAGACGAAATAACTTCTTTATTGTTGGCTTTGGATCAGTCAGACGATGAGGTAGATATTGAAAATTGCTTGGTATCTGAGGCGGACCCGACAAACTGTCATGATAGTGATTCAGGTCTTCACCTTGTCAACGACCTTGAAGATGCAGTCGATAGTGACAATTCAGACGCGCCACTTTCTGAATTACGCACGAACTATTATTATGGGAAAAATCGTTATAAGTGGACAAAGACGCCACCGTCAACAAGAGTACGTATATCTCAACACAATATTATATCAGTTCGTACATCTTCTTCGAACTTGTCAGCCGACTGTGAGAAAGATCCATTCAGTATATGGAACAAGTTATTCGACGATGAAATGCTCCATCAAATTTTGACCTGGACTAATGCAAAAATTTATATCTACAAAACTAAGTTCGCGCGTAGCAATCGACCTGAACTGAACGATTTGGACTTAGTTGAGCTGAAAGCGTTTATTGGTCTACTATTTTATTCTGCTGTTTTGAAGTCGAACCACGAAGACACAAGTTACTTATTCGCATTAGATGGTACAGGCTGTGAGATATTCAGGTGTACAATGTCGGAAACCAGATTTCTTATATTGTTACTGTGCCTTCGTTTCGATGATCCTAATGAACGTGATGAGAAGAAAAAGACTGACAAGTTAGCTGCTATATCCCCCATTTTCAACAAGTTCGTAAGTAATTCGCAACAGTTGTACGAACTAAGTGAATGTGTAACTGTGGACGAAATGCTAGTCAAGTTTCGTGGAAGAAGTCACCTAATATCATACATGCCTAAAAAACCAGGTAAATATGGTCTAGTGATACGAGCATTATGCGACGCTAAGAACTTTTATTTTTATAATGGCTATGTATATTCTGGAAAAGACTCCGATGGTATTGGGTTGACAGTAGAAGAAAAGAAATTCCTAGACCCCACACAGTGCGTCTTACGTCTAACGAAACCAATCCAAGGAAGTAACCGCAACGTCACAGCTGATAATTGGTTTTCATCTATTGAACTCGTAGATGAATTAGCAAAACGAAAGTTGACGTATGTAGGGACAGTAAAAAAGAATAAAAGAGAGATACCTATCGAATTTCAGCCAAATAAGCGTCGAGAAGTAGCATCTACCTTATTTGGATTTACGAACCAAAAAACGTTATGTTCTTGGGTTCCTAAGAAAAATAGAGCTGTAATACTCATATCTTCCATGCACCATGATGATCAAGTAGACCAAAATACTATAAAACCCGAAATAATACTTTATTACAACTCTACTAAAGGAGGAGTTGACGAAGCGGATAAAAAATGTTCTATTTACTCGTGTAGCCGCCGTACGCGGAGATGGACAATGGTGTTACTGTTTCGAGTGCTGGATCTAAGTGGCATGAATGCATACATTCTCTACAACATGTATCAATCAAAAGAGGTTGAAAGAGGAGATTTCCTAAAAGAATTGGCTCGTTCCCTTGTAGTGCCGCATATGCAAAGACGTGTTGTAAACACAAAATTGCCGAGAGAGCTGAGGTCAACTATAGCTCGAATATTGGGTAAAGATATGGTAACTGAAGATGTCCAAACACCACCCGTCAGTCAAGGAACTAGAAGAGCATGTAGAATATGTCCCACAAAAAAACATAGAATGACCATTTATGTTTGTGTGGGGTGCAGCAAGCCTGTGTGCCTACAATGCTCTCGCCCTTTGTGCGCTGACTGCCAGTAATTTAGAGATATTATGACTGCTGTCAGAATTTTTGTTTTTCTTTGTCAGAAAGAGCTTTTATGTTTTTTTTTTCGTTTGTTCATTAAGTTAGAGGATAAATAGGTTTTATTTTGTTTTATTGTTAGATTTAGTAAAATTGAGTGAGTTAAAATGATAACCCTACCAAAAGTCTTAAAAAGTGCCATGATTGTTAATTTTTCATATTTCTATGATTATAATAAAGAAAGTTGATTACAAATTACTATTTTTTTCTTATTAAAGACCTCTATTTATGAATAGAAAGGCTAAGACGATGTGCGGTAATGTTTTCTAGAAAAAAGTTGCTTTTGAATGTAGTAGCCTGAGAGACTCCACGTCCGCACTAGTGTTGAAAATATATCACGTCCATACTAAAAGGTTAACTGATAACAGCAATAGTTTGGCAGTAACTTACTTAGATCATACAGAATAAGATTAAATCTTGCTTCTTTTTTAGAACTCGCCATGGCCATTCACGACTGCGGAGTGGTTTAAAAGATACAGAGAAAAAAATGAAACAGGGCCCAGAAAAGCACAGACTTCATAAAAAAGGAGCTTGAAAAACTAAAGAAGCATTTTAAAAAGATAAATGAGCTAACTGAAGAGCAAAAAAATGGCATAGGCGATGTCGGGAACAAAAAAGTAAATTCAAAAAATAAAAACAACAAAGTTTTCTACAAGCTCTACCTTATAGTTCCCACACGTGACGCATTTCCATTAACGTCACTGAAATTTATATTAAACTAGCTGCCCAGGCAGACGTTTTTCTGTTCTTTTCGACGACCCTTCATATAAAAAATCCTTAAATTAGTAATAAAAAAATATTGAGTGTCACTTATCGGGATAAAAACTATCCTATCTCTCAAGTAGGACGGAACTGCACAGTGTGCAAAATTTCATTGAAATCAGTTTGGTAGTTTAGGAGTTCATTGCGGACAAACAACGCGACACGTAATTTTTATATATAAAGATTTAATATTTGCTTGGTATTAACGAATATTGCCTTAATGTAACTTAAAAAGAAATATATCCATTAAACCTTGTTATAAATATTAATTTAAATAGCATATTATAATATAGAATAATCCCATTAGACTACACTGTGCAATAAAACGTGCCATAAAGTAGCATAGAAAAATAGTTTTCATAGAAAGAAAAAAAAAACGTTAAATTTAAAATTACTAATTATAATACTGAGTTTTAATAATTATCCAAACTTTCTGATGTAATGAAACTTTTCAGCTGACGTACCTTATTAAAATATCAATTTCTCGTTAAATAAAAGACTATACATGAATTAGTATTTTTTTTAAAATCACTTAAATATAACGACTGATAAAAGACATCAATTATTAAATATTATTTTTTATCTCGGTGGAATTCCAGTACGCAACAAACAGACATTTTGAAAACGACCAAGAAGTTAAAAATCTTGTACAACTTACCAGTGTCCAGGGCAGTTCATGGGCTTCAGGGCAAACGTCTCTTTTTCCACGTCGAACGAGAACATATTCTCCGCATAGTGAGCCCAGTGGCCCGAAGTCTGCCACAGCTTGGCGTTGTACATGTTTGGCGTGATCACTTCTTGAAAACCTCGACTCCTAGAACATGTTTTTTTTTAAATCGCGGACATGCTTCCACAGATTATCCTTTTTTAATAAAAATAAAATGGCAAATGGGCTAGTAGTCTGTCTGATGGTAAGTGACTACTGCAGTCTATGGTACCTGCAGCCAACTTTATACAAAGAAGGCTACAGAGTTATCACCCCTGAGTAAGGTGGAATGCCTCACAGCCTGTAGTTATACTGACTCTCTATATCCTTCAGATCGGAACACAACACTGCGAGCACTGCTATTTAGCGGAACAGGCATGATAGACTAACCTAGACATTATTGATACCAATCTGCAGCGACCGGGTAATCGAACCCCCGATCGCTGCTCTCACCTACAACGCCATAACGGCTCCCATGACCGGGCCATAGAATTGGGCCGTGAGGAGAACCCAGGCAATTAGGGAGATGCCCCGAGGCCCGATAACTGCTGTGTGCTATTAAGCACACAAGCAGACGACAACGTAGTAGCGCAACAGAAAAAGGTAAGATGGCTGTACCTACCCAAACCTAAGCAGAAAAAGACCACCTACTAAATGCGAGTGATTTTTGTCTCATATATCTCGAGATGAAAGGATGATATCATTTCCGAACTAATTTTACATATTTGTATATTTAGTACCTAACTGAACTACCCGTGATGGGCTTTTATCTCCCCTAACGACAATAAAAAGCTGAGCGGAACACTTATAATAGACGTAAAATGAGTAAAAAAAAATAACATCCGTAAAACTAGTGTTATTCAATGTTTTTTTTTTATAGGATAGGGTAACAAACGAGCACACAGTCCACTTGATAGTAAGTGGTTACTGTGACCCATAAAGCACACAGTCCACTTGATGGTAAGTGGTTACTGTGACCCATAGAATGTAATGTTCGCGTAAACATAAGAAATCTTTAAGTAGACGTAAGCCAATGTAGGGTGAGTGCGGGTCGCGAAAACGCCATCGTTGCTTAGCAACAGGGCGCACGCGAAGCACGCATCTTCTTTGTATTTTTGGTGTATTTTATTGCTTTTGTCATATCAACTATAGTAAAAATAAGGTGCACAGATATAGATTTTATGATATTACTTAATATATTAAATGTGACGAAATCTACCAAAAATGCAAGGGTTTCGCGTGCAGTTTTAATATAGACGATCTCTAACATATGCAAAGCAAATTCACAGCTAAATTCACAAACACAAAGTTTCGTGGCAACTATCTTAGGTTTTCATTAAAAATCTATTCTATGGTCTTATTTACATAAAAAGAATCAAACGAAAAATATGATAGCATGGACATATCAAATAGCATTTATGTAAATGCTTTATAATATAAATAACATTCAATTTACCTGTACTGCTCTCTTATGAAGTTGACTAACGTGTTGTATATATGGGCGCCACGTGGCAGGAAGAAGCACGATCCAGGCGACAACTCGTGGAAGTAAAACAGCTCTTGTTCCTAGAAATAAAACCGTCAAACACAACTAAGACTAAAATCCATAATTATAAATTTAATACATAAACACTCACGCTATGGGTGGTAGACAGAGACTATGGACTTCCATTTGGCACGATCCTGACACACCTCTCTCTCGGTAGTGAAAACAGACTTCAAATTGCTAAAAAAAAGTTATTTATTTGCTACCCATATGTGAGAAATTTTTATCCAAAATTTATATGGGACCACCATTAAAGTATAACCTATTTAATAAAAAAAGAATCATCAAAATTGGTTCACAATCTTGAAAATATCGCGTAACATACGTACAAAAAAATAAAAACAAAAAACATACAGTCGCATTAAAAAACATTAATTTTTTATACATATAGAAAGCTACATTATGCCTGAGTAACATCACTATATTTAATTAAAATTTTTGATAAAATAAGTCTTTAGTTTGTAATAACAATCATCATCATCATCATTATAGCCTATCGAAAGTGCACAGTCTCCCTCATAGATTGCCTCTTAATATTTGCCATAGTTGCAACGATCGATCTCTGTCGACGACCTCTGTTGCGACGACAATGGGACTCGGGACGTAATGGGGTAGTAGATATTCTTACACCGTAACTACACGGTCAGTATATTAGGAAGTAATAAATGCTTCATAAAAAAATCTTTCTGCAACTTATAGAAAGAATGTGCTATCATTAGCTCCATCCTTGTAAGCACGGTGGGAAATACAGCTGAATACATACTTTTTTAAACTTACCCTTCCAATTTTTCTGTGATCTCTTTTGGCGGCTTCTTCCTGGATTATTTCCCATTCTTTAAGCTGTTTGGGCTCTGGGAATGATACACCATAGATCCTTTGAAGGCTTTCAGCATCCGCTTTACCCTCCCAATATGTCGCAGAATTCTGAAGTAGTCAAAGTTTTATGATGATTTCTATTTATTTGACAGACCTACAATAAGCACGTGGTACGGTTTTTTTTTTACGTGGTAGAGCAATGCAGTAGCTATTTTAATTGTATAGTTGTAGCACGAATGTGTCGGCTCGACCGGGGAAGGACCATGCTCTCACAGAATACCAGCGTAAAATAGCAGCTTAATGCTGCTATGTTTCATATGGTGCGTGTAGAGAACCGGAGACCCTTTTTACTGGAAAAGAGTCATTCCATCTTAAGTCCTCACGGCTGTAAACGCATCTGCATTTTGATTCGCAAACGAAGATAGATGTAGATGTCTATGGGCCACAACAACCACTTACCATCAGGTGGACTATGTGCTCGCTTGTCACCCTTATCCTATAAAAAAATTACAAGTTGTAATGAAAAAAAATAATTACAATAATCACCTCGTCACAAAATACAGCATGCAATAAGCTTTGCGTTAACGTGAAATAAATGAAATAGTTAATACTGCCAAAACCAAACACCCACGGGACAAAGTATTATAATTAGTTTTTTTTTTTTAATTGATGACATTTTCATGTAATGTACGCCAGGGTAATATACCTTAGTACCTTAAGCTTTGCCGCCCTATAAAACCAAAACTAGAAGGAGGACAGAGACAAATACACAATGTCGTAAACTATATCTAATATATTAAGAAATAAAATAGTAAATAAGCTTTGGTAATAATGAGGAACACTTGAAAAATCGACTTAAAAAAAAAAAAACTAACTACACTACACAATACTAAAATCGACTAAAATATTTACTATAATTTCAACTGTCAAAATGGCGTCGATGAAGCGGCGCCCTTTTGACCCTTTATTATTTGATAGACCGACGAAGAGCTATCGTATCACAGAGCCATCCATGCTAACAATGCTGTAGTTTTTGACTTATAAGAAAGTGACCATATTAACCGGATGACCATATTACCCTCATGTACTATATTATTAATTTTGTTTATTATAATTGAATTTCAAAAACATAATTTTTTGAAATTCAATTATAATAAACAAAATTAATCGTCCCTTTTATATTAACTTAAAAGTACTTATTGTACTTCCAGTGATATGGATTGATAGAATTTGCATGTTATATATAAGAAGCAAAATGTGAATTTTCCACTCTGTGACATCTTTATACCTCGTTTTAGGCAAATAAATATTTTTTTTCTTATTCTTGTTTTTATATTAAATTAATTAAAAAAGTAAACACTAGGTAATTACCTTGGTAACCTTAATAGCCTTTACTTTCCCAGTGTGTCGTACATGGGGTCCCCGACAAAGATCAATCAGTGGTCCACATCTGTACACTGTGGTGGTGGGAGTATTCACTTTCTCTTTTAGAATGCGCACTTTGAACGGATTGTAGTCGAACATCTCCAACAGTTGCTCCTTTGTCAGTTCCAAACGTTCAAATGGTTGCTTCTCTTTTGCTATCTTCTTTATGAGCCCTTCGAGAATGTGGAAGTCCGATGATGAAATCTGTAAATAGAAAATGAAAAAATTGGTAAAAACCCAAAAGTGGACGCATCATGAGCGTTTTATTTAATTTTGATCAAAAAAATAAAATTAGTGACGATAATTTTTACAAGAAGAAAAAACAGACAATCTGATCGACTTTCATTAATAACTTTTAAACGGTGTTGAATTCAATAACAAAAATCAATAGGGATCTATCTTAGAATGTATAGAATATTATTTAATACTATTATCTTAATCCATTGCTTAAATTTCTATTAAAAGAGTAGACTCACCGATGCACAGACTAAGGGATGGCAGTCCATATATTTTTTCAATTACATTTTTTGTTATGTAATTTAGTGAATCAATTAGAAAATAAAGTAATGTAATAATTCAATGTCTGTAGTTATTGTAACGTTAATAATAATATGGATTTGATGTCTAACTAAAAGTATAAGAACGATTTTATGTAGCGAAATTGAGTTATGGTCACATATCGAAAGAAGATCACTCACTCACGTTGTGAGGCGTGCAACTGGTAAAGTTTGTTGCATATACAACCTATTCAACAATTTTTTTACATGGCGATAGTGCTTCGATTTTGTATAGGAGTCCATATGACTTTTGTATTATAACGGCGTCTAGTTGCGTGTTGCATCTGGTCGCACTAAAATGTTCCCGACAATAAGGGTCGATTACCTCAAGTAACTAAAATGTGTAGGCACAACAATAGACAAACGTTCAAATTAATGCAAGCAAGACGCAACCTTATGTATACTTTCATAAAGTCTTTTCTCCTTTGTACATAAGTTAAACACGAGTGAACTAGTACTTTCCCAATTTTTTTTCTCATTTCTAAGACATGTAGGTTTGCACACGATAATTTCCTTTACCGCCGAGCACTTGGCAAATCGGCACTTAAAATTGCAATTATGAAATTATCATTGGTGCCAGCAGGCCCCCTGACCTACATGACTAAGAGTAATAAGAGAGAGAATTTATATATGTTATATATACATTCCATATACCATATTCCTCAGGATTGACAACATGTTTGTGGCCATGGTTTGAAGTATATTTGCGTGTCCATGGACTGCAGGAGTCACTTACCATCAGATGGCCTGTCAACTTATTTGTCGCTCTCATATAAAAAAAATAACACCAATTTATTATAATATAGAATATAACTTGAGAAGGATATATATATATATATATATATATATATATATATATATCCTTCTATAGTGTAGATTTTTTTTAGTAGAAATAAGGTTTTCTTCCCTTAAATGAATATGCAAAAGTTTATAGAACCATACTTATAAAGTTGCAGCAATTGGTACTTACTCCTTTCTCTGGATAATACATATCATAATAGAAGCCTTCTTCAATTGGTGGACCATAGCACAGGCATCCACCATACACCTGACAACAAATAACCACATTAAAATATTTACAATGCCTAGTATATTCTAGAAAATAAAAATAAATTTTATATATTCCTAAATTGTATTTGGTAGTAGGTACCTTGAGGATCACCAGCTGATTAGTGACCGCCAGTACGATTTTCGTCGGGGTCGATCTCGAGCTGGTGATCTTCTAGTCTACCTGACTCATAGATGGGCGGAGGCAGTAGAGTCCAAGGGGGAGCCATTGGCCGTTAGTTTAGACATAGCAAAGGCCTTCGATCGGGTCTGGCACAAAGCGCTTCTTTCGAAGCTTCCTTCCTATGAGCTTCCCGAGAAATTGTGCAAATGGATCACCAGTTTCCTTGCTGATCGGAGCATCAAGGTCGTAGTAGACGGTGCATGCTCTGATTTCAAGCCTATCAACGCTGGTTTTCCACAAGCTTGCGTGCGATCACAGCAACATATCATTGATATGTTTCTCCTGCATATCAATGATATGTTGCAAACTGGTAACATACATTGCTATGCAGACGACAGCACTGGTGATGCCTTATATACCGGCCGTGCCAATATTTCTTGGGAAAACGTCGCCGAGTACCGGGACAAAATTGTGTCTGCAGTCGAGTCTTTGCTGAACAAAGTCACGGATTGGGGGCGACTAAATCTAGTCCAGTTCAATCCCCAGAAGACACAAGTGTGCGCGTTTACCGCTAAAAAGAACCCCTTTGTCAAATCTCCCCAGTTTCAAGGCACTCCCCTTGCTGCCTCAGCTAGCATCGGAATCCTCGGCGTCGACATATTGAATAGTGTGTAGTTTCGTGGTCACTTGGAAGGGAAGGCCAAATTGGCCTCTAAAAAGCTTGGCGTGCTCAGCAGAGCGAGACAGTATTTCATGCCGGCACATCGCTTGCAACTTTACAAAGCGCAAGTTCGACCTCATATGGAATACTGTTCTCATCTCTGGGCCGGGGCACCCCAGTGCCAGCTCCTTCCACTTGACCGCATCCAGCGCAGAGTGGTTCGAATCGTCGATGACCGAGTTCTTTCTGATCGGCTCGATACACTGGCACTACGTAGGGATGTTGCATCCCTTTGCATTTTCTATCGAATTTACCATGGGGAGTGTTCTGAGGAATTGTTCAGATTAATTCCAGCCGCCAAATTTCACGAACGCACATCGCGTCAAAATTCACAATACCATCTTCACCATCTGGTTGCTTGGCGGTCCACGACTGTGTGTTTTACTAGAAGTTTTCTTCCTCGTACAACTTCTCTGTGGAATTGTTTACCACCGGCGATTTTTCCGGACCGATACGACTTAGGGACCTTCACGAAAAGAGCTAACACCTTTCCAAAAGGCCGGCAACGCATCTACAATTCCCCTGGTGTTGAGGTTGTTTATGGGCGGCGGTAGTCACTTACCATCAGGTGAGCTGCTTGCTCGTTTGCCCCCTCTTCTATAAAAAAAGTCTCAAGTAAATTATATGTGGTGGTAGAGCCACACTGCAGCCATATTAATTGTATAGTTGTAGCACGAATGGATCGGCTCGACCGGGGAAGAACCACGCTCTCACAGAATACCAGCGTAAAATAGCAGCTTAACACTGCTGTGTTTCATATGGTGAGTGTAGAGAACTGGAGATCCGTTTTACTGGAGAACAGGCATTCCATCTTAGTCCTCACGGGTGACAACGCATCTGCATTTTGATTCTTTATTGAGGATAGATGTAGATGTCTATGGGTCACAGCAACCACTTACCATCAGGTGGACTGTGTGATCATTAAAAAAAAAGTCTCCCATGGTGCACTATGGGGGTTGCGAGTCTATTGTGAAAGATAGGGGTGTGAAAGATAGGGGTGTGAAAGATAGGGGTGTAAAAGATATGGGGCTTGAAAAAATTGATCTTTAAAATTGTGAGACTATAATTAGTCGAGAATATTCGGGATTGTTCTAAAAAATTTAGAATGATCTCGGAAGTATATTTAAATATTCTGAATTAGATGGAACTGACTCTAATCAGTCTAGAACATTCTAGATTGTTCTAAAAATTTCTAGAATGATCTGAGAGTTCTCAAATATATTTCAACGTTAAAAGATGGAGGTTAGGAAGGTGAACCATGTGGTTTAGTAAGTGCTAGTCCGATATAACGCGTCCTTTCCCCGCGAGGCGGGTGTGCGTAGGCATTATGTAAAAATAGAACATACCCTTTCCATTGCTTCACCAAGCATGTGAGCAGAAGAATGCCAAAAGACTGCCTGCGCGTCTGTATTATCCCAACGTAAAAGTTCTAGCTTGCAGTCACCCTCTAATGGTCTATCCAAGTCCCATAATTCACCGTTGACTCGGGCGATTATAGTTGAGTCTGCTAGCCCTTGACTGGAATAAAATTTACACTTTTGAATTTACATATATAAATGTCATGTTATGCCTGTAATCTTTGAGGGAGTAGACAGTCTTAAATACAGCAGTAGGTGGCTTTCTTTTTTTTTGGCATCTATGCTGTCACAAATATGATATCTCATTAGTTACCTTTTACAATAGGCTAGCCAAATAACACAGTAGTCTTTTTTACTATAATTCCAACAAATACATGGGACCTATAAGCCCCAGACCAACATTGAACATTGGGACGTTTTCGAATATCTATTAAAATTTTACAAAGCAACTGGTATAAATGTGCCAGTCGATATTTGTTTTTTCGTCGTGTGATACAGATGTTACGTTTTTCATATGTACTATTATATGTTCATTTTGTATGTGTGAATATGTTTGTCTGTTTGTTTGTAATCTCCAGTAGCCTTATTGATAGATTTTTGAAAGGTGTGAGGTATTGTTGGTATTGTCGTCAGCTATGGATTGCTGTAGGGTACATTCCATGATAATAATAATACGACTTATGACTGGGTTTACACATGAAATAAAATTACAATAAATACTACTTATGTGAGTGAAACTTACAGATAAATGTAAAGTTGAACTAAGTTCTAATTTTAGTAGGACAGAAATGCATTTGCTATGCGGCTAGTACCACAACAGCCTCAGTAATTATCTGTTGTACTTATCATCAGGTGATAAAATTATTTTATTACTTACTAATATGAAATAAACATTCATTGAAGTCATTTGTAGCAATCATTGAAGTCTGAGCTCATTCTTAAGCTCTGTAGCTATATTGAATAAATATCACATGACAGTCACTACTTTAATGTATGGTAGTGAAAGTTGGGTGTGGCAGAAGAAGCATGATAGTAGGATAAATGCCGTAGAAATGCGGTAATTAATGAGTATGTTAGGGCTGAATCTGAATGATAGGGTGAGAAATTTTATGATAAGAGATGAGGGTGGTTTGCAAGACGATGTTGTGACTAGGATTAAGAAAGGACTTTCTGTTTCCTTCAGTGGTTTAGTCATGTAGAAAGAATGAATGAGGAAAGAGTGACAAAGCAAATTTATGTTGCAGAAGTGAACGGTGGCGTAGGCGAAAGTTTATAGACCAAATTGGTGATATATTGAAAATGGGCCAAATTAAGAGCATCCTTAACTGACCAGCATGTATGCATAGGTATATGGATGTAAAGTAGGTGAGAGAGGTGTGTCAGAATCGTGCCAAATAGAAGTCCATAGTCTCTGCCTACCCCTCTGAGTGACAGGCGTGTTTTATGAGTTATGAGTTATAAACCATAAAACATTTATATGAAGTACACAAGCACATAATTTAACTTATTGTAAAATATCCATAATTGATTTTGTAGCTGCTAGCCAAAATTTTTATAAATCATCATAATGGTGAAGTAAGGGTAAATTTGATAATTTCACCAAAATAGAAATATAGCTTTGTGTGTCAAAATTATATATATACACAATATAAATGTGTTACAATATACTAATAACAATAATTTAGAAATTAATTATAATTTTACAATCAATTGTATTAGTATTATGTACTTACAATTGACTCCAAAACTCGCTTGTGAGTGCATAAATAAGGTTTTAGATGTTAAATTATATTTAAAATTTGCCAAATCATTGTATACAAACAAATGGGCCAAAACTGTGTAATCAGCTACAGTAGCATAAAATAAAATGAGACACACATGCAAAATCAACTTGTACAATGCTCTCAGGATATGAAAAGAATTTGGATTAGTGGCAGTATCACCCTTCAACCTTTGTCTTTGTGATGCCTGCAAGACATGTATACCAGTACAACTTGGCCAAAACAATTAGGCGCACGACAGGAATGCGGTTTCGGCACCCACATCCCGCCTCTATCCCCATGCTTTCCCTAGTGATCAATCACCAGGGAAAGTGTGGGCATAGAGGCCATAATTCTCTAAAGAATTATGATAATTATGTATGAATATAAAGCTTATGAGTTGCATTATTTAAAAAGGTTAAGTTAGGGTTAATGCAAAATGAACTAAGCTTAATTGTTTAACGTTGTTATGGAAACCTCATAATTAATTTAATTGACTTATCTAATAATATAATACATCTTGTTAAGAAAAGTTGAAAAAATTAGCTTCAGGTATGTTAAGTACATCAAATATATTATATTTCCAATATATTCTTGTTTATAAATTGAAAAAAAAAAATGAAGGTATTTGTTAATGCAAAAGATTAGAGATACTAATTAAGTTTATATTGAAAGACAATTTTAATTTAATGTACAATTAAAAAACTGAAAAGTCAAGATGCTGTGACACATTAAGACAGAATGATAGAGAGAAAAGGTAATTGTTGAGTCTGTGACTAAAACAAATTAATTACTAAATAATGAAAGCTTTAACAAAATAAAAACTAGCCAAAAGCAGAAACAAAAATCAAACAGAGACCAAATAAGCCCAATATATTTAACAAGATTTACATACCTGATTCCTTTAGCAACATCATAAGGAGTTGTTCTCCAGGCTTTAGCTTCCACAGTTTTTCCATCTGGCAATGTCACAACAATGCTTAATTCTGGTTTTGCTGCTAACTGCTCTTGATACTGTGCTTTATATTTATCCCAGAGGTCTATTCGCTTTTGTATATATTCTGGCCATGGATTCAGCTCTCCTACTGTTCCAGAAGATTCATCTGACTTTTTCTTCTTCTCCTTCATTACTTTTGTCTTTGACTGCAATTTTAATAGTAGGACCTTAGTCTTATAACAAATAACATTTTTCGATAAAACAATACCTATGTTAAATTAAGTAACTATATTAAATGCACAGATTTATAAAAATTATATTTTACTATTGCTTTTCGTATGTTATTTTTTGTTTTTTAATTACTTCTTATGAAATGTATTAATTGCATTAACAATAGAGGGTTAACGTATTAATATTTTTATCGTAACGATAGTTCCGATACGCCTTATTAATATTTTCAGTAAATACTATTAAAAAATTAAAAATGTTCCAGTGAAAAAATGTTTAAATATGTAACAATGATAAATATCCAGTAAATCGTTGCTGACGAAGTGATCCTACCCATGTGGCATAGGATTCTTTGAAGTGGACCACGCAGGTTCTACGTATACTTAACAGTTTTAGCATCACTCAAATAATACGCAAATCTATTTAAACGAATTAAATATATTGCTTAATTTCCTGCCTTTTCGTTAATATTTAAATTCTGAATTTCTTCTACAGCAGAATCACCCATTGTGTTCACGTCACGTTGATGTCAAATGTCAACTTTCTATTCAGCTGGTCACTGTCATGTTGACACTTGACATTGATACTGACATTTTTTTTGGAGCTTATGGCCTGATATCTTGACCTTTAGGCCAAGTCTTGAGTATTTTTATTCGGTTTATTATAATTTCCCCACTGTATTTTTGATGAATTTATATAGAAGCACGTAATAGGATCTATTTTTTAACATATCACTCAGGTGTCGGGAGGGATCTTGCACTGTCACTTGATTTTGCACTATGGCACTAATTTCACTGACAAGAATCAATCTGTCATATGAAAAGCACTCACACATAAATATGAAATGTTCGATATCACCAACAGAATTATTGCAGAAGGTGCAGTAACTGCTCTCCACTATGCCCAACTGAGCCAGGCGGGCCGGGACGGTGGAGTGACCAAATCGCAATCTGTTTATAGTTGTAATAAAGTCCCAACTGACCATTTTCAGTTTGTTATACCATGGTGCTACAGGTAGGTTTTCTTGAACATTTCCATACCATTTATAAATAATTAAGGCTAATAATTTTCTGCTCACCAGATGTCGCTAGTTGACACTGAGGTAAAGTTTTTTGTTACTCAATGTAATTTAATTGTGAAGTTGGTTTTTAATAAAAGTTTATCAGTTTCTAGAGTATTATATTAATACACAAAACAATCCGTTCGTGGTTTGCTCTTTAATTTTTTGCACATTTTTAACTTTTTTTTTAAGTTTTCTACTTTCATGAAAATCTGTGCTTTAGTTTATTTTTTTTAATCTTATTAATATAAAATAAGCTAATAGTACAGAAAGAGACAATAACTTTTACATTTTTCGCATAAATTAACTTCCCCGCTATGATATCTGTTACATATTATACCTCACTTTTAAGTGGCGCCGACCTGGTGGCAGAAAAAGTCGTGGATGCCCTCATTGACACAACACAGGTTTTCTTTCTTATCGCAGTCTCTGAAATTATGCTTCCCAGCACATATCGAGCAACGTTGTTTACCATTACAAATTTTCGCAGGATGGTTGAACTTGAAGCACCGCCGGAAGCATTGATGTAACGGCGGGACATATTCAAACACCCTAAACGAAAATAGGTAATATTGGATGTTGTCGGGCAGAACAATTGATAAGAAAGTTATACTGACAGTCTCGAGACCTACAGTACTTTGACCGACTTTTTTCGTGAATCTTCTCACTGAAATAATTTCATAGATCGAAGACAGTTTTGTATATAAATCCTTGTTTGAAATGTTGGTAGGCACATATCTGATGATTCCAGTTTTTTTTTATCTGCGCTGCAGGAATATGTGCCTTCAAGTTGTGCTTTGTTAAAAAATCTGTATTTGTGATGAAATTATTTGCAGTATTGTATTGTTTAAAAACAACCGCAATTTTGTTGGCATCGACTTTATGTAAAGCTACCACACCTTTCACCTCCGAAGTAAAAAAATGATTTAAATAAACTGGGCTTTTATTTCCAAGTTTAACCTGTTGGTCCTGGCTTTCAACAAAAACTTTGAAGTCCGTATTTGTACAATATTCAGGATAAAGTCTCAGATAACCTGGCTTAAAAAATGGAATAAAGTCATCCTCAACGCCGCCTATTTCAGGTCCACATTCCATCGTACCTCTTTTACGAAAAATTTTGGATCGCTTCGGGGTTCCACCTGGGTCCTCCGGTTCATTCATTTTAATAATTAACAAAATGTAAAATTATTTACACTGACTAAAATAAGTTTTGGTAATATTTACACAGGATATTTTAACGAAAAACCTAATAATTAAATCGACCACCACGTTTGGAGTTCCCGCCAAAAGTCTTGATACTGACATCTACTTCCATGTGTTGCCTCCTTAGACCTTAGTAGATCTTAATAGATTTAGTATGTGGCGGCGCTGTCGTCGCGCCACAAGCGAAACACATCGAAGCCTAAATCGCACTAACAAAGTTCCGAAGTTACAGCAGCATATATAGAATAGCTCCGAACTACCAATCGGAGCGTTGACCGCTCCCCGAGCAGAACACCTTGCCACGTGCGGTGAGGTTCCTAAAGGAACTTCATCCGCGGCTGGTCGTTGCTGCTGGTGATACGAGAGCTGGTTCTTTTTTCGCTCACAGTTCATGGAGAAAAGAAAATCCACAGAATTAGACATTTCACACGTAAGTACAATTCAAATATTTAGCATTCTAAATGCAATGTTTAAGAAGTGGTACTAATATTTTATACACATGTGGATAGGAAAAAATAAGGCAATTTATCACGATGCGAAATCTCTATCTCTAAATGCGAAAGAAGTTTCGGGTAGAGTTCCGTTCTAGGGACACCTCCGATTTGGATCAAAATTTTTTTACATGTTTACCAACATAAATGATGAATTACCCCAAAGGGACCTTTGGCGCAAATACCCCTGAAATTTTTTACGAAGGTTTGAAGTTTTAAATTTTTGAGGCAGTTTTTCATGATAAATCGACTATACCTTATATATATATATATATATAATCGACTTTACACAGTAATATTGACGCAAAGTTACTTAGTACTACTTACTATAATAATATACTGTGTTTTATTTCTGAATTGTTTAAAACTGCCCAGAAATACTTGAACACTCAGAAATACTTTCAGTTGTAATAGGTTAGAAGGTTGTGGCGAAGGCAACCTGACTTTATAGATACGATATCTGATCTGATCGAATCTGTACTAAAATTGAATCAGCACGTCCCGACTCCACGTAGTCTTGTCTGTCCTACTCCTAGAGTGTTTTTGTAAAGCCGTAGGTGCGCAGGGAGAGCAGACCCCGAAAAACTCCTTTGGGGTTTTTCATCATTTACGTTGGTAAATATGTAAAAAAATTTGGTCCAAATCGGAGGTGTTCCTAGAACGGAACTATATCCGAATTTATAATAAATAAAAAAAATTTTAGTAAAACCAATTGAGCATGCCTTCGCATTAAACAAATTACATATAGCATGATTATACGGAATTTTTTTAAAGTAGTTTAAATACGCACAAATTTTCACTAATAACCTTATTATACTTCCAATTTTCCGATAATTTTATGTCAAAATTCAATTTGAAAAAGTTTGGAAAATCCAAGGTGCACGACTCATAATGCTCATATGATCATCATATCGTCATTCATGTCACTCCAAAAAGTCCAAGACGTATTCAAGTATAAATATTACATCCTACTTACTTTTAGTACGTACTACTATTATTTATTCTGTGCTTTTAAAATATTGTAATAAAAATCACTGATTATTATAATAATCAAGTATGTATGAAATTTGTTTTTCGAATATTTTGTATTTATTTGTACAGCGATCTTTTTGAGCCGCTGCAAACAACCAATACAGTATCCACTCACAACGGCGGTTGACGCCGAACTAAGCGAGCGAGTGAGCGAGGCACATTCAGTCTCTATTTACTGAAATAAATTCTAACACAAGGCTGCGAAATCACCGAATATTTCGCCATTTTGGAGTCGACTAAAATTAATTATAGCTAAACAAAACAAAATTACACTGCCATTTACATTTAATGGCTTCCCACATGATAGATGAAGTGATGAAAAAATAGATTGAGTTAAACAATTGATATTTTCAAAAGTTACAGTGTTTACAAGCCTTGAGAACTTAATTAATCCACACCATAAGCCACTAAAACCCTTTTTTATGTAAAAATAGCAATTAATCAATTTAAAAAAATATTAATAAGTTCAACAATAATTTATCTTTCTGACCATGTGCTTTTTATATCATTTATATGTATAATATGATTGCTGGATACGTTCTATATATTTACTATGAAACTGCGTCCATTAGCGACGAGCCGCAGCGCGCCGAATTGAATCGACTGCGCGAATTGCTTGACAGGCGAATTTCTTCGCCAATGCGATTCGATTCAACTCGGCGCGCCTCAGTCGACGCAGAGAAGTGAATGCGCGCCGGCGTATTTTAATTAATTTCTATTTCGATTTCGTAAAAATCTTTTTGTTTAAATAAAATGAATGAAGAACTATTGATATCACTGGTCCAACAATATCCACAATTGTTTAATCATGAAGATCCACATTATCACGATGAAGTAAAAACATCTCTTCATCCGAGCTGTCCAAGACGCAAAACGACCTATTTTGATGAAGAATTTGCGATGAATGAACAATTCGATTCGATTCGTCAGAGATGGACGCACTAGGAATAAGTGCGACTCGCTTCGATTCGACGCATTTCTGCTGTAGTCGACGCCAGGCTTTATAGTCGTAGTTTGTATGGAGTGTAGAGTAGAAGGAGGACCATCTCTGTATATGAAAAGTGTCCCTAAAAACGTGTCCAATAAGGGTGGCGCTGCAGTAGCATAGGATAAATTAAAAAAGAAGCGCCAAAAGTATTTACAGTAAGATGGAGAAATAAATAAGGACCGATCAATCCGCTTGGTTTCGTACTACGTAAATAGTTGAGATTTTGTATATTGGCGTTTTACTAACTACTCTAGTCATGAAATATTTGAATTCAGCTGACTTCACTCCGTTCATAACAGCTATCTTCATATCGTAGTTTATCAGACGCCAGCGCTATTGTGGTAGGTTTTGGAACCTCTATTTACAGTAAATAGTAGGACACTTTTTCAACCTTCGCTCCTTATAAGATGGTTCTCCTCTACTCTACACTCCATAGTAGTTTGTGGACACTATCAATATCATCTTATCGACAATATGTTTATAATAGGCAACGGCATGTCTTTGGATGCAGCCTCCTGTAAATACAAAATTTTTTTAATTTACTATTTTTAATTTTTAGGGTTTCGTAGCCAAATGGCATTATAGTAAATACTTTAATGAGATAATTTAAACTCTTACAATGTTTCAGAAATAAAAAAAATATTGAGTTTAAACAAAAATTGTTAAAAATGATAATTAGAGAAGACTGGGTTCCCAAAAAATATTCAGTTATATGTTTTTTTTTTAATTTTTTAAAAACGTTACCCCCACACTAGGATTTTCTCCTGTGTCGTGGAGGCAATCTACAAACATAAATTGCACAAGGACAAACATCCCGGAACAATTATTTGTAGGCCATACAAATATTTGTTCCGTGTGAGATTCGAACCCGCGGCCCCCAGCGCAACAACTGATTGCTAAGCCACTGCGCCACTGCGCCATGTAGCAAGCACTTTGAAAAAAAAATATGTTTTTTTCATAGAAGTGCACAAAGAGTTAAGCTGCGTTCTCGTTCACTACCCATCTTATTTATGTCTGTGCGTAGTTCCTTATTATATATTTTACTGTTTGTTTAAATGTGTACAACTTGTTGTCTTCATCCTTGTGATGTATATTTTTTTATAAAACGAAAGTAACAAAGGAACTTACAGTATCACTTGATAGTAAACGCCTATTGCAGTACATGCTCACCTTCAGTCGGCTTCAACTCAACAACAAATGTGTTTTCACTCCTGAGGGCTTAGGTAAAATGCCTTACAGCTAATAATTATACAGGCTCTCTATACACAATAGACCGGAACGCGGCATTGTAAGCACTGTTGTTTATTTCTGTTTATTAATCTCAAGGCTTTTATGAGATAGATATTCATTCTGAATGAGTTTCCCAAAAATATATGAAAAGAAAAATTGTAAAGGAAAATATGTTTTAAAATTAGTAAACGAATGCCTTGTGTCCTGCAAAAAATTTTTTTAATCAATATCAAATAATAAACACTTAATTATTAAATAAATAATCGAAACTTATTTGATTATTAGATTGAAGTATGAAGCATAATGGCAAAATACCTTTAAGAAGAGCTTACGACATTTTTACAATAAAATAATTATTTTTGATGAAATATAAAAATCATAAACTTTTTGTTTGTAGTTTTATTTTTATGTCCTCAAACATAAAACTATTCATTTTATTATACGGACACAGCGTTCTGTATCGAAAATTTAAGTTGATGCATAGCGTAGCACTATTCGTCTCGCACACATGCACATTTTACTCACACCGGTACATTTCGTTTTTGGTCTCACCCTAATCACTCCATCACCAATCTAATGTATACTATATCTATGGTCTATATAATATCATATTATAAGAAAAGTTCTCGAGTGGCAGCCTCGCATCGATAAACAAAGTGTATGGTGGCATTCTACTAGATGGAGTGAACACCTGATAAGAGATGCAGACGGACAACTTAGGCCAGTAGACACTCGATGATGGCAGTTGCTTCATCGGAGCATCGGAACATCGGAGCTTCCAATGCTAATAGCTTACATGCAAATACTTTTACGTATCAAAAGTCACTTCAAACCAATCAAACGATGAAATAAGAGCAACGAACGTCAAGTTCATCCTAAAACTCCCTTCTAATGTTATGCACTAAATCCTTTTATTATAGAATGCTGTACTTACTATAAGTGACGTAGTCATTTTTAATTAGTGGTGTATGCATAGACTTAGGATAGTAATAAACGGCCAAAGTGTGCAAGGGAGAAGAAAATTCCTTATGGCAATATAGCAAAATAGAAAAGGATAGCAAATCTCATGAATCTGTAACCGATTTGGAATGACAGGTCGGCACAAGTCGGTACGCAAGAAATAAGCACCTAGATATTTTGTATTTCTTTTAGAGTATAATAGTAATATTTTTTGGTAAGTGATTGTTTTCCAAAAAGGTTACTTCTTCTGTAAGTGACTGTGGTGTCAATAATAGAAATAATCCTGATAATTGCACATTTCGCAGGTGAAATGTCTATTTGTGACGCCTCTATTTCTGGTTAAAATGTATGTTAAATACTGTTTAAAATATAGAATATTTTGAATTATTATGTTAATTTTGATAGCAAAAAAAAGTTTGCAAAGAACTCACGTCACGTTGTTGATAATTTGCATGATTTTAGTGAATACATTTTTAAACAAAATATTTTACATGTATGCTAGTTAGAGATTTACTCTATTATATCAAAATTAATGTCGATTTTTATCTTGAATGTTTATAATGAATCAATAGACTTGTCCAAACAAGAAGAAGAGGAATAAAATAAATGCTCGATTCCCCCTGGATCCCCTTCTAGTTTTAGAAAAAAATGGTTAAGGCTAATTAAGCGGGTTGGTTGGAATCTAAAGAAGAACTAAACAATTTGCAGCAAACATTTTTACTTTATTTTAACGACGTGTGTCCTCAGGGGTGACGACGTATAGATACGACGATCTTATTAAATCTTGATCCTAATGTAGCATAGACGTAGGTGTCTATGGGTCGCAACATTCAGCTACCATCTCTACCATGTAGACTGTATAATCGTTTGTCACACTTCTATAAAAAGGTGATGAATTGTATGGCAAATAATTGAAATCAAAAATTAAAAATGCACCCGAAACATAAAGAGCTGATGATATTTAAACGGCTGAACAGATGTTTTCGATACATAGATAAGAACACCTTGATTAAGACTCCTTTCTAACGGAAAAAACCTAATCAAAATTGGATCATCCGTTCAGGAACTATGATGCCACAGGCACACAGATACACAGAGTATACACTACAAACATATAACATCCCGCAGTTTTCGTTAGGGGTTAAAAATATTATAGAAAAAGAAAGGTCACAAAAATAATGTTAGCTAATAACTACTACTTTATTTTTGCATTAACTCGTTAATAAACAGTAGCCCTAACTTTAAAAGGTAGATACAAAAGTATTAACTAAGTAGCCTTAAAATAAAAACAATTTTTAGCTTAAAAAATAACACCGCATTTATATTTAAAACTTTGGATTGGATCTGGTGACTGCGTGATTGTCTGAGTGTCCAACCGTCCAACTGCAAACGTTGTCCAAACCTCTGTAAACTCGTTAGAACCATAATCCGTACCTCCATATAGACGATGCAAAATTACTAAAAAGCTTGTAAGAAAATAAAGTCCACGAAAACTAGTTTTATATTATTTCAATTTTATGTAACAGTGTAATGAAAGTGAGATTGAAAAGGCCGTGTCGAGCGAGTTGGTGCTGTTTTGATTATCTGTCAATGTATCACCACAGCAACCAATCGCCGGGCGAATTCGGCCGAATGATCTTACTTGCGCTAACTACCTATATATCCCTCTACTCGTCGTGTGCTGGAAGGATCGTAGAAGAGTTGGACGATCAGCGTAAAGTCGGCTATAAAATAATTTTAATATTTTCCATTACTTTGATCTTCACTTTGAGATAAGTAACATTAATGTTATGATGCATGTTGCCACAAATACTTAATTATAAGCCAGAGACACGTTGCATAGTTCTGAAATGACACATAAAAATAATGTTGGGAACAATTTATTAAAGAAAAGGCAAAATGGTACAAAATTGATACATGGTAACGTTATCAATTGTTCTTCTGTATGTCCTGAAGTTTCATATAGTACAATTAGACAAAAATAAGTGCTGGTGAAAGTAGCTTGTAATTCGCGTGATGTTAAAAAAAATTAAGATATCCAGGTTTCTTCACGATGTCTTACTTCACCTCCAAGCACGTGATAAATCAGCACTTAAAATTCTCGCCTCCTAACCCTTGGCTGTTTTGTCCTGAGTTAGAAATCAGCCTTATGTGTGTATAGTTTTATCCGTTTACACTTTCATTCTCAAATTTCCAAACAAAATGTAAGTTCTACATTACATGACCTCGCCACGTATGTTTAACGTTTGCCCTTTTTTTTAAATACCATTCTGTCTCTAACGAACTGTCGAAAACGTCACAAAAGGAACACAAAAATATTAAATTACCACGTACATTTTAAAAGTCATCATCTCTATTAGGAGTATCACTAAGGAGACAGCTGTCCCGTAAAGCATGAGAGCCAGGACTGGCCAGAGATCGAGGATTCCAACGCTATTGAAAGCGGATATTCTGTGCGTGCACTTCGGTTTTGGAACTTGCAGGCGCTTGTTTATAGCCGATTGTAGACCAGACTCGCGGATTCGCTTAAAGCTATAAAAGTATAAAATTAAAAAAAAACAGATTTAAACGAGTTGCAAGTGTCGCATAAATACGTAATTTTATGTTGTTTTCTTCTTATTATAAGCCAGTGCTCGATTACAATCCCATCTGGTGTTAAGTGATGATGAAGATGAAAATAGATGTACTTAAATCGAATTGCTAAGACAATTAGACTATTCATTCTTAGACTATTCACTCTTGATGGAACCTATATATTTTAGTCGGAAGAAAACTTTTTAATTCCAATGATATCACGTAGCTTGATCACTAAGCTACGTGACAGTACTTGACCCAATGATCAATCACCGACTCAAGTACTGTAGTCAAAAACCTAGGTAGTCAATTTATGTTCATAAGTTTGCGATTTAATTACAACCGAAATCACTGTTAAATTTATAAAAACACAAACTATATTTCTCATTATTTACAGCAAACAACCAAACAGAAATAATATACTCATAAGCAGCAAACTTCACATGATGGGTAATAATTCTATGTTCACATGTATGTTCTTGTAAATTTTAGTAGTATTTAGTAGTATAGATTTTATAACTATTACATTGTTGGTAATAAATAATTTGCGATGTGATTATTATAAAATCAATATCTACATCTCTTTTCTTGTTTTTTTTTAAACTCAAAAGGTGTTTATGTGTGGTAGGCGAAAGAGTCGTAGTGTAGTAATAGTTGTACTTGTTGTTGCATATTCGTATCAGCGCTGCCTTTGATGCGGCATTCTCCGCGTACGGCATACGGCAGGCTTCTCATTGCCGTATCACGGCATATACGGTATATACGGCAATTGGCCATAAGGGGAAACGTAATTTTTTCATTAGTGTAATGAATGAAACGAAACCTAATATGTACCACATGAGTAAAGAAACGGAACAGAGACAAAGCTTCATACAACTATGTTAGATATGATAGGTACACTCTTTGTCCAAGGGTACACAACTACAAGCTTGAGGCGCGTGTTTGCGTGAGCGCTGGCGACTCGTCACGTAGTTACGTACAGAGCCAGCTCAGCCGTTGCTGAAGTTCAGGGTATACACTTCGCATATCGTGTTTGTTTCAAGTTTTGATTTAACATAACATAAAAAAACATAAACACTCACGCCTGTCGCCCAGAGGGGTAGGCAGGGACTATGGACTTCCATTTGTCACGATCCTGATACACCTCTCTCGCTTCCTCCACTTCCATATACCTGCGCATACACGCTCGTCGGTTAAAGGTATTCTTAATTTGGCCCATTTTCAATATATCGTCAATTTGGTCGATAAACTTTCGCCTAGGGCATCCCTTCCCGACTCTGCCATTTACCTCTGCAACATAAATTTGCTTTGTCACTCTTTCCTCATTTATTCTTTCTACAGGACTAAACCGCTGAAGCATTCCTTTCTTAATCCCGGTTACAACATCATCTTGCAAACCACACTCTTATCAAACTATTTCTGACCCTGTCATTCAGATTCATCCCTAACATATTCTTTAGTGACCGCATTTCTACAGCATTTATTCTACTCTAGTGCTTTTTCTGCCACACCCAACTTTCACTACCATACATTAAAGTAGGGACTAACACAATATTGTGAATTGCCATACGTGCTTTTGGACACATTCTGACTTCCCATAATAGAGTGTAAAGCCCCATTCACTCTATTTCCTGCGTTCACTCGTCGTTCTATATCCTTATCATATCCACCATCCCTGCTAAATACACATCCCAAATACCCAAACTCATCTACTTGCTCGACCAACTCCCCTTTTATTCTTATTTCATATATCGTTTTACTTTCTTCTCTTTCAAAAACCATAACTTTCGTCTAACTTGCGTTCACTTTCATTCCCTTTTCTTTTAATGACCTGTTTATTAATGTAACCACCCTTTACAACACGGCCGCCGACGACGCAAGTATGACTTGATCATCGGCGTACGAAAGGCATTTAACGCTGAACTCACCCATTCTTAACCCGTATTCTTCAACTTTAAAATTTTCCAAACAACTGTCCATAAATAGCTTGAACAGCCTCGGGGAAGCCACACAGCTCTGTCTGACACCTTTATGGATGTCAAACCAGTCCGAGTAGGCCCCGTTGATCCTGACACAAGCACTAGAGTCCCTATACAGAGACTTCAATGCCTGTATCAACCCAGCGCTCAACCCAAATGAGTTCAGTGTTTGCCATAGCACATTCCTGTCCACTATGCCATAAGCCTTTTCCAAGTCCACGAACGCATAAAAAATGTTTGGTTTTTGGCCAAAAACTTCTCCGCGACCATGTGCATGGAAAAGACCTGATCCTTACACCCCATTCCCTTTCTAAATCCTGCTTGCATATCCCAAATTTTTCCATCAGTCTCTTTCAATTAGTATCTTACCATACAGTTTTCCCACAATGCTAAGAAGGCTGATACCACGGCAGTTTTTACAGTCCTGCTGCGATCCTTTTTCCTTTATATATTGGGACTACCACGGCTTTGCACCAGTCTCCCGGTACCCGCTTAAGTTCCCAACATAAATTAAACGAGGTGTACAGCAGGTCTGTCACCACTCCTCCAGCCCTAAGCATTTCGAGGTAGATACTCTATCATATCCGGCTGCCTTACCTGCTTTCATACTTTTCATTCATTATTTCATATATATTTATGTCTATCTATTTCCTCTTCTTTCGGAATTTATTATATTTTTTTTATTTATACTCTTTATTGCACATAAAACACTACACAACATAGCAAACTTAAATTTATCAACGAATGTACAATTAGGTGGCCTTATCGCTAAACAGCGATCTTTCTATTTCATTTAATTCAAACATCTCATCACTCATAGCTTTCAAAGTATTCCTTCCATCTCTTTAAACTCGAAACTTCGTCATTCAGAATACAGCCATTCTGGTCTCGTATAGCATTCATTCTAAGCTGTTTTGATTGTCCCCTGGCAGTTCTTACGAGTTTCCAGAACTTTTTAACGTTTGACTGGAAGTTATCCGATATTCTTCTATCATTCTTTCCGTTAGAATAGAATGGAATAATTTTTTATTCAATATTGATTATTACATAATACTTATTGAAAGTCGTTTTTTATTTACCACTGGTTCGGAAAACACCCCAGTCCTGGGTAAAACCAACAAGAAACCCAGCGGGACTTTTTTTTTCAAACATATTTCACTTAACAATAACTTCGTTTATACAATTTTTAAATGATTTTTCATAGAATCAGCATGGTGTCGATCACCTTATTCCCAGGGGTTATTTGTATTCATGTGTTCCTTGATATTATAATGACCCTTTTCTACAGTTTTTCTTTAATAAAACTTTTAAACTTGTTTATTGATAAACTTTGAATATGTTCTGGGATTTTGTTGTAAAAGCGTATACATTGCCCCATAAATGAATTACTGATTCTGTGGAGTCTAGTAACTGGCATTACAAGCTTATGTTTGTTCCTAGCGTTTAAAGTATGCACATCCTTATTCTTATTAAAGCTATTTACGTTTTTATGCACATACATTACATTCTCATAAATATATTGCAATGCCAAAGTTAATATGTTTATGTATTTAAATTTTTCTTTGAGGGATTCTTTACAATTTAGGTAATAAATCGCCCGTAGGGCTCTCTTTTGCAAAACAAATATAGCTTCAATATCAGTCGCATTATCCCATAGCAAAATTCCATAAGACATTACGCTATGAAAGTAACTATAATACACTAATCTAGCTGTCTCAATATCTGTGAGACTTCTAATCTTTCTTACAGCATATGCTGCAGAACTAAGTCTGCTTGCTAATTTAGATATATGGGGCCCCATTGAAGTTTCGCGTCAATAGTAATACCAAGAAAAACAGTGGTATCCACAAAACTTAACACCTCCCCATTTAACAGTACATTGTTATTCGAATGTTTTACATTAGGTATTGTAAATTTAATACACTTTGTCTTCTAGCCGTTTAAGAGCATATTGTTGGCTATAACCAATGTACCAATTTCGATAGAGCATTATTTACATGGTCATAATTAATTAACGGCCGTTCTTTCTTGCCTTTTATTTTCAACTACTTCTTTTACTCTCTTATTTAGATGTCTAAAGACTCCCTTTTTTCTTTCAATATCATCATCCATACCGCTAGAACTACTAGCCTTGGTTGCTAGTAAATTTAGGCATGCTTTCTTCTTTGCTTCAACTTCCATCCGTACCTCATCATCCCAGCATAACGTGTTATTTTTCCTTTCATTCGTTCTTTTACTTACACCACATACTTCGGTAGCTGCATCCACGAAATCTTTCTTGACATTATACCACATAGTCTCCAAGTCTAACTCATTCATACACAATTCATCCGATAGACTGAGAGAAAATAATATAAATAATAACTGGCATACATATATTTTCTCTCAGTCTACATTTGAACTTCACTTTCACACCTTCATCTTGTAAACTCTCTGTTCTTATACGCTGTAACGCAGTGGTAGATACAGATGTCCGATGCCGTCTGAATAGACCATTAATCCGGCATAAGACCAAGTAATGATCCGTCCCTAAGTTGGACACCCGGTAAACCCTTGTATCTAACACCGCGCTCCTCATTCTTTAATCCACAATTATGAAATCTACTATGCTTCTATCATCTCTCTCTCCATATCAAAGAAAGTGTTCGTCACAGTAATATACTTTTCTACACATACGGTGAGGAGGCTTTCACCATTCTCATTTATACTTTCATCACCAAACGTTCCCAATATGCTTTCATAACCAAGCCTCTTCACCCCAACCCTTCCATTAAAATCTCTTAATATAACATTATTTTCATTACCCTTGCATTTCATTAGCACCAACCTTACCAACTCCTAAAACTGCTCTCGGATGTGAGTGCGATTAGACATGTCTGGGGCGTAGATCTCTAGAAAAAACAACTTTTTTTAAGCCCACTTTCATTCTTATCCATAGCAGTCTCGGGCTTACACATTCATACTCTTTCACACAATGACCCTTTATTTCTGAAAGGATGATATAGACTCCCTGGCATGCCCGCTCGGTCTCGTCTACACCAGACCAGTACGCGGTATACATGCCATGTGTAGTGGCATCCTTTCCCTTCCGTTTCGTGTCATTTATTCGTAACACGTCTCTTCCTCTATCATACATCATATCGCATACTTCATCTATCTTATCATGCATTGCTCCACATACATTTTACATTTAACGTAGCCAGACGGGCTTCCGCAATCCACTTTTCGCCCCTCCGGGAGACAGAAAGTGACGGGTGGTGAACCTCGTCGTCGGTTTTCCTCCCGGAGATTCTTCGCACCCCTACCCCATTAAAGGGTCGCCGGGAATTCGGAGCCATTTCAAAACTTTCTTAAGATAGAACGCCGATTTTCCAGTAAAAAGACCCTTTTTACTGGAAAATCGGCGTTCTATCTTAGTCCTCACGGCTGACAACGCATCTGCATTTTAATTTTCGCAAACGAAGACCAACCACTTCCCATCAGGTTGACTGTGTGCTCGTTTGTCACCCTTATTTTATAAAAAAAAAGAAACGTAATTATGTGATATCGAAACAAAAAAGAATTTCTTTGTATAGGTGATTTCAATATACCCGACGTTCACTGGTCTAAATCAACTTAATATGTTTATATGATTCCTCAAAAGCTAATCTGCTTTGTGATAACTATAGAATATTTTATAATATGTAATCTAATCCCTTAGAATATGTAATCTTGATAATTATAACAGTATATCAAATAACAACGGACGATTTTTACACCTAATTCTTTTCAGTTCGAACAGCATTCAGGTTTATAAAGTGGAGCCTTTGAGCCGCTTAGATCACCATCACCCCTAACTAGTTGCGGATGAAAATTTTGTTGAAATAAACTCAAATAATTTTAAGAACAAAAACCTAAAACGACCAAATTTTTTCAAAAGTAATTTTTCATAAATAAATGTTGAATTAAAATCAGTTGAATGGCATAATATATTGTCAACTCATAACGATATTGATAGCATGACTGACGCATTTTATGCAGAGGTCAGGAATATTATTACAAAACATACACCTATGACGAAAATTGACACATACAATTATCCAGTATGGTTCACACCTGCTTTGAGGTAAAGCTAAAAAAACGAAAATATCATCGTCGTTTCATATAGAAATAACATCATCGTCATTAAATATAAGAATCTTCGAGATTATGATACATTTTCCATGTAACGCAATAGATGTAAAAAACCTATTAGTAATATTTAAATACTTTACTATAAAAATTTTGTTTCGTCTGCCGAATCTTCTTTAGATGATGACATAAAATTCTTTTTGCGTTTTGTTAATGATAAGAAAAATAATTCTAATAGCATTCCCAAAACGATGAAATATGGTAATCATATCTCTTCCGATGAAAAAGAAATATGTGAGCTTTTCTCTAATTATTTCAGTTCCGTCTTTGTAAATCCAGTGGAGCCTAGTTTATATTCTCACAATGAATTATTCAATCGTAGTAATTGTATCTTAAGTGATATCATAATCACACAAGAAGAAATACAGCAAAAGATTTCGAAATTAGACCAAAGAAAAGGCCCTGGACTAGATCATTTATTGATTAAGAATGCGGTAAGAAATTAAGTAATCCCTTGTGTATTCTATTAAATGCATCCATTAAGACAGGTGTTTTTCCTTCATTATGGAAAATAGCTCATATCGTTCAGATTTATAAATCCGGCGACAGAATCTTGTCTTGCCTCGGTAAATTGTTTAAATCATTGGTGTATGATTCTCTTTACCACTATATTCAACCCTTCCTATCGCTTAGACAATATGGCTTTATTAAGAACAGATCGACAACTTCTGATTTACTTGAATACAAACACTATCTTTGCAGTGCTTTCGCCAAGAGAAAACAGGTTGATAGTATATATACCGATTTCTCGAAAGTATTTGATAAAGTAAATCATAATATTTTATGTATCAAATTAGCATGTTACGGAATACATGGCAGTCTGTTGAAATGGACTGAATCATACCTCAACAGGAGGAGTCAGTTAGTTATTATAAAAGGTTTCAAATCCTCTCCCGCTGCTGTGACATCGGGTGTGCCACAAGGGTCCCATTTGGGTCCTTTATTCTTTATAATATTTATTAATGATCTTATTGATAAATTAACATGTCCATATCTGTTGTATGCAGATTATTTGAAGCTCTTTTGTGTTATCGATACACTCAGCGATTCGTTAAATCTTCATTCGAATTTAGACTCCATTCGTAATTGGTGTAAAGAAAATTACATGCATCTGAATACAAGAAAATGCTTTGTCATATAATTTAGCAATAAAAAACACAGACTTACTTTTGATTATAAGATAAATGGACAGGTACTTGATAGAAAATCCGTAGTTAAGGATCTTGGAATACTGCTTGATGAAAAGCTTACGTTTCGCGATCATTACGATCATGTGGTATCTAAAAGTACAAAACTTCTTGGTTTTATATATACAGAACTGCTAAAACTTTGAAAAATCCGCGAAGCTTGCATTTTGTACTATTCTCTAGTACGCAGTATTTTAGAGAACAACATAATTATGTGGTTTCCATACTACACTGTCCATTATTGAACGTGTACAAAAGAAATTTCTATCAATCCTGTGCCATAGGTATGGTTTAAACAGAAGTCTGCTCTTTTATGAAGAGAAAGTTAAAAAGTTTAACTTTATGTCAATACAAACCCCTTGTAAATATCAGGATATGACTTACCTTTTCAAAATTATTCATTCCCTTATTGATTCTTCCATTCTCCTTTCATTTATCAAGATTAATACTAAGCCCCATCCTTGCTATACTTTCCTAAACACTTTTACTTTGCAAGTATATAGAAATAATAAATCCTCTAGTAAGAATGTGTCGCCTCTACAATGACTTATTGATTAATAATAGTAAAAATATCGACATATTTAATAACAAAGTAAAGAATAAAAAATCTGTATTAGATATACTTTGTAAATAAGGCAATATTTTAATAAAGAAATAATTTTTCAAAATTTTCCACAACTTAAGTTTATAAGTATATATGTATATACGCTTATAAGTATTTGCGCTGTAAACACCTTACTGTTACTTAATATCATGTACCTAATATCACATGATTTGGAATACCATCCAGATTGTAATTTTGCATTTATTATATTCAATTGTTCATGTTTTGATGTTATTCTCTTTTGTGTACCTAAATAAATAATATAAATAAATTAATAAATAAATAAGTATCCTGTTCAAAATAAATAAAGTTCATAGAAGTATATAATTTTTTAATTATTCCATAGACTCCACTACGAAATTTGTAATTGTGTATAAATATAATTTATTATTTTAATAAGGTAGATAGATATCTCATACGCATACGTCTTAAAAAAATATCGAATTTGTTGATCGCTTGAATATGTTAATTTTTGCAAAAATTTCGCGAATATTTTGATTTCGAAATAAACATTCTTAGTATTGATAGTGGTATATTAAAACGTATGCAAGAACGTATATATGTCATGTGAGCGACTTCTAAATTATCTTAGTTATAAAGTTCTTCTTAGTTATCAAGCAGACTGTCCAGTGCCTTCGACATAATAGTAGCCAAGGATATTGGCCTATAATTTGTAATATTAGAGACATCCCCCGTCTTATTTTTAATAATAGCCACTACAAGGGTTTTAGTAAGCTCAGCTGGTAAGTAACTATGATTTACACATAAACTATAAAACATAGCAAGTACTCGAGGTAAGTGGACACCAGCATATTTCAAGTGTTTAATGCTCAAACCATCATAATAGGCCCAAGTGTCTGTAAGTTTGTTAAGTTGTTTGCCGCACGCCAACGAAGAATCTCCAGTAACATCTCGTTAAATATTAAACCTAATAAATAATTACATAGATCAGTGACATACCTGAGTACTGCAATCATGCCGACTGTCGTAAATCCTGCCTTATATGGCAGAGGCTCATATCCAGAAGTGGACTTTTAACTGGCTAATGTCGAAGAAGAAATTAGAATGGGGAAAATTTGGTGAAACCGATTCAACATTTCCTGACCTGACTTTCAATAACTCCAAATACGGCGAGTCCTTCTTCACAGGTACAAACGGGTTAAATCCCATCATAAAGTCCACCTCTACCAAGTCACACTTTTCCATCTCTAAGAAGGTCTGCTCTACGCGGCGGTACACTGGTTCCACTATAGAGTGAAATGCAAATAAGCCCTACAAACAAACAGAAATATAATAAATATCATAACAACGCGTGACGGGGCCGGCCGGGTTTTTCAATTGGTGAACGCCCACTGGAGTGATCGCACATTGTGGAGTAAAGCAGCGCCTGGGAGTCTGCTCTGGGATCATATCGGGGATGTCAGGTTACATTTATACACACTTTCGCACACTACTTACATACACCTCACTTACCACCTGACTGGTATCCTGTGGTCAACCCTACCTCCGGAACTCGGTAAGTTTTGTTGGCTTGTCATTCGTTTTAGAATAATTATCCATAGGCCATTGGGCCCGAACCCTCTGGCTGCTCGTCGAGTAGGCTACTATGGGTCCTAGCCCAGTCGACTTTTGTCGGGGCAGCTGAGGGTCGTAAAATTTTCTGGTAGCAGAGCGTGGTTGATTGGTTCTCCAATCGCGCCCGGCCGTAATAAATATTTTTTGTGTTTTGTTAGCGGATCGGTGGGTAGAATTAGGAACAACGCCCTTTAGGCTGCGCAAGCCGGAGTGTAGTTTAGGGTTAGGTACCCACGCGTCAGGTATTTCGGGTAGGTAGATTAATTATCATTATCATATAATATCGTTGATATGATTGCCGAAGGGTCGGTTGCCTGGCATCTTGCTGACCGACTGTAGTGTGTATTTGCCGTGTAGTGTACTTTGTATTTAATTTTATAAATAGTAATTTGTATTGAATTTAATTTGATAGTAATTTGTATTTAGTAGTGATGCCATCGCACAAGCTAACCGGCGCTTCGCCTGCAGGCGGAGCTGCGTTGGGCCGCGAACGCCCATACCTTGATCGGGTGACCCGATCGGGTCTATAGTTTAGGGAAGTGGCTCGAGTATATCGATGCCCGAAGGGCCGTAGTGGAGGAGGCTTGCACAGAGCTTTTGGCGTCGGATGCTGAACAGGGAGTCCTAAACACCTACCTCGCGGACTACGAGCAATTCTTTTCACTCACGGACGACTTGATCAAGGCGGGGGCCAAGTATGCTAGTGAAGAGCGTGAGGCTCGGCTGAGGGGCCTGCCCGAGTCTACTCGGAAGCAGCCTACTCAGCCGGAGCTGTTGGGATGACTCCCAACTCTGGACCTGCCAAGGTTCTCCGGGGTCCTCTCCGACGGGCTGACCTTTGTTGGTCTTTTTGATAGCCTAGTGGACGCCCGGAGGAACCTGACACCAAGCCAGAAGATGGCGTACCTCCTGGCCTCACTGGAGGGGGAGGTGCTGGGCGTCGTCGGCCATTTGAGATTGTCGAACGACGCCTACCTGACTGCTCGGGACCTCCTCGTCGGGAGGTACGCCAACGTCCGGCGAATCGCGGACGAATATGTTAGGCAGCTTCTAAACCTCCCGCTGCTTAGGAACCGGGCCAGACTACGTCCGGACATCGTGAGTCCAGTCGTAGTGGCCTGTAATTCGTTGAAGCGGCTGGATTTACCGGTGGATGAATGGTCCTTCTTGTTGCTCCACATCGTGCTGTCCCGCCTGCCTCTCGATCTTCGGATACATTTTGAGGAGAGGTACGGCGGGGACGGCGCCTCCTATATTCCGCCCTTCAGGGATCTGCTGCGGTTCTTGGAGGAGCAGTGCTGACAAATTGAGAACGCGGCGGGCACCGTCGACGACGGGTTGCCAACCGAGCCGTGCCCAGCGAGAGGCGGAATCCACCGGGCAAGTCGGCGCCAACCCCCCTAAGGCCGATCGGAGCTCCCGCGGAAGGGCGCCGCTCCCTACCATCTTACAGAGGCCTAGCGGCCAGGGAGGCGCCCCCCTGCTCCTATTGTCGAGCATCCGATCACAGGGTGACGTCGTGCTCGAAGTTATTGGGTAAGCCGGTTCAGGCGAGGCGAAATATCGCCAAGGAGCGCCGCTGGTGCTACTCGTGCTTGGAAGGGCACCTCCAACGAGACTGCCCGCACCAGCGGCCCTGTCCGCACTGCCAGGGCACCCACCATGCCGTTGTGCCGTTGTGCCTCGGTGCAAACGGCGCTTCCTCTCGGGGCTCTGCCGGGCCCTCGACTCCCACGGGCGGGGGCGCTCAGCCACGCCCTCTGTCGGGCGACGCTCGGAGCTCGCCTGTCGACCACCGTGCCCTGGTTTTGAAGGGGGTCCCTCCTCCGACCAGTCGGGGGGTCGTTACCCCAGGGGCGGGGGGGTCGTCGCCCCGCCTCAGCGTGTTGAGAGGAACTTTACGGCCACTCAGCGGTCGGCTAGACCCTTCTCACCCCCGTTAGCTTAGCGGCCGCGACGGGAGTACCTCCCTCCCCCCTTTGGTCGGTACCGGTACTACGGGGTTCCTGCGACCTCGAATCAGCCCCGGTTCGAGTGCTGGTCTAAGGCCCCAGCTAGGTAGCTGCCGCCCTAACTTCCAACACAGCCGCCACTGATCTTCTGAGCCGTCAACAGTCCACTAATCAAACTGTTCTATTGCCGACGGACTCAATGAAGGTGTACAACCCGAGTGGCGACTGTTTAACGGTTCGCGCCCTATTGGATTTGGGTTCACAACGCTGTGTGGCCTCCACTTGGTTGGTGGGAAGACTAGGGCTCCATTGGAGCGTTAAATTACGCTGTCAAAGAGTATTAGATTTGGTTTGGTGGAGCACTTAATTATTAAAAAAATGCTTTGGTTTTTCTTTTAACGTCACATTAAAAGGTCCCGGGCTTTCTAGCGGGTTTACTAGCGACCCGCCCCGGAAAAACCGGAGCGGGTCGCGAGTAAAAAGTAGAATCGGTTCCACATTACGCGTTCGCATAATGTTCGAGTCTCTTCGCGGTTCGCGCGCGTTTTCAGCGGGGTACATTTATCTTAAGCTCATAGTATAAAGCTATAAAGTACTACTTTACCTGTCGGATTCTTTCAACACCTTCTTTGATCTCATAAAAGTGTGCTTTACCTTTTAATGGCTTCACTCTGTTGGTGATTTTGACTCGAATTGCATCTGAATACATCTGAACATTGAAAAAAACAAAAAAGTTATGACATATATTCGTTAGTACCATTGAATTCAACATCCATTCCCAATGTTTTTATTACATTGTAGTTACTATCAAACTCACAGTTCACCTGATACATCGGCAGCCAACTTTAAACGAAAAAGGCTACAGAATGCGGCGTCACCCCAGCAGGGCTAGCATGGGCACAAACATTTTATCCCCCGATTATATCCACTGACAAGAGATAAAATTATCTTGTTTCTATGCCAAAGCACGGCAACGGGGAGAAGTATATTCGACATAACGAGTAGACATATATCCCCCGTCTACAATTCTCTTCATTAGACGTGATTCTAACAATTCTATCCTTGTTTATTAGACGTGGGTTTAAGTTTCTATTCATTAAAAAAAATTCTCTAAGTCTAAGTCTATCACCCATTTTATCTACTGTTGATATTATATCCACCGGTGTGCCCACGCTCAAAGGGTGAATAAAACTAAGCGAGGGGATAAACATTTTCTCCTTTCCCCGGGTATAAAATTGTCTCCTGCCCATGCTAACCCTGTGATGGATAAGAGCGAATGCCTCACAACCTATAATTAAAGTGACTTTGGCAAGATATTCTCGTGTGTGCGTTGTTATTGTCACTGTTGTGGTCTGGGTGGTCTGAATAATACCTCTATTTACAACAGAATTGTTGGCTTGCATAAAGTAGGCAATAAATAATAAATACACAGTTTTCATAAAATCATTACTTATATCTTATAATAACGTGTGTTTAACTATTAAAATAATATAAGATTTTAAACTAACTTAAACAACACACGTTGATAAGGCTCTAATGGTCCTAGCGAAAACACTTGACCATTTATTCATTCATTAAAGCCTATTAAAAGTCCACCACTGAACATAGGCCTCTCCTCTCCTATAGATTGCCTCATAAGGGAATATTTACCATAGTAGCTACGCTTGGCAGGCGGGTTGGCAGCCGCTAGTTTTTTATTATGTAATTTGAGCTTAGTTATCAAGAAGACGATGCCGCCCAATTCTTGTTTTGGTTTCCCTCTGTCGCCTCTTACGATACTACGAGTATATACAAGATACTGGGTTCTAGTCATAAAATAACTGTAGAAAGAACGTCCGGAAGGTGATGAAAACTGAATTGTAAAATTCCATTACATTATTTTAATTGCTACTAATAGCGTGTTATTTAACTGTGAAGGAAATTAAAAACATCAAAACGTGTAGGTGTACAAGCAACATGTCGAATTAAAATTTAATCTTTAAAAAAAATATAAACACTCACGCCTGTCACCCAGAGGGGTAGGCAGAAACTATGGACTTCCATTTGGCACGATCCTGTCACGATCTCTTTCGCTACCTTCACATCCATATACCTACGCATACACACTCGTCGGTTAAAGGTACTCTTAATTTGGCCCATTTACTATACCTGTCTCACCAATTTGGTCGATAAACTTTCGCCTAGGGCCCTTCCCGACTGTGCCATTCACCTCTGCAGCATAAATTTGCTTTGTCACTCTTTCCTCGTTCATTCTTTTTACATGACCAAACCACCGAAGCATTCCTTTCTTAATCCTGGTCACAACATCATCTTGCAAACCACACTCTTCTCTTATCAAAACAATCTCTTATCAACTTACTCCAAAAACGAAATGGTTGTAATCTACATCGTTAGCGGCCAGTGTGAGCTTGGACTGTGATAGTTGTGTCAAAGTTCGAATAGCGCTTGATGGCGCTTGAAGCAGAACCACAATGTTTGCCGAGTACGCAGCGTAAAGCGCCATCAGCGCTGTGAATATCACCCACAGCATCATTCGACCTGATAATAATATTTTAACCATGTAATATTATTTTAACGACAACACTGAAAGCTGAGTGGCTGAAATTTCTAGCCTGAGATTAAAACCTTTGTGCCTTTCTTGTGCTGGTAGGATATATCTCTAGGATAGATCCTAGCAACACCTCTGAAATTGTTAATGGAACACATACGAAATCGGCATCATGTATGAAAAATAAAAAAAAGTTGTGTGAAGTCCGCCAACATGCATTGGAACAACACTGAGGAGTCTTCGTTTTCCTAACACCCTGTCAAAAGACTCTCTCTTTTTCATTCGGTTATAGCCTCCGTTACTGGAACAACCTATCAAAGGTCCACTGCTGAACATAGGCTCCCGCATAGATTGCCTCATAGGGGCGATTTTTGCCATAGTTGCCACGTATAGAGAAGGCGAATTGACAACTGAAGTTTTTATTTCTTTACTTGTTTTTAGGAAGACGTTGCTGCCTATTTCCTGGTTTGAACGATATGAAATAGTAGATATTCTTTTTTTTATAAGAGATAGGGCAAACGAGCATGAGGCTCACCTGATGGTAAAGGATTACTGCCATCCATGAACAACTGCAACACTAGGGGAATTGCAGATGCGTTGCCGGCCTTTTAAAAAGCAGTGGGCTTTTTTCTTGAAGGTCCCTAAGTCGTTTCGTCCGGAAAAGTATCTGGTGGTAATCGATTCCACTAGGAAGTTGTGCGAAGAAGAAAACTTTTTCTACTACACGGTTTGTAGCAAAAACAATTCCAAACAATGAAAATAATACCTACCAGAAGCTTTCCTGGGTTCTAGCGTGCAACCTTGCTGGCTAAAAGCACTAATAGTTACAAGCATTGCATCACTGACAGTACCATCTAATTGTGACGGAGTCTGGAAGGAAATAAATAGTGTGTAATAAAATAGCAGATGGCCCATAGATATCTACATTTATTTTCGACTAGCTGTACCCCGCGACTTCACCCGCATGTAATTTGGTTTTAATTTTTTTTGCTTTTTTTGTGTAATTTGGTTTTTAAACCTGGGTCTCTTCCGGACAAGCTTGGCAGGTAGACTGATGACGATGTTGCCCCTCGCCGATCTGGGTATATTTCCGTCTGGCGTAAAGGAGATGGTTATGTCACCATCGGAGACCATGAGACATTTCTGGCATTTCTAGACTAGCGTATTAGTTTTTATATTACCACCATATGCTTATAAATCCCAAAAAAAAATTAGCTCTATTAATGTTCTGGTACCATTACCATATTCACTGCTGGCCGGATGAGGAAGCTCAAGGTTGCTCCGCGAGCTATGGAGAGGGCTATGCTTGGAGTTTTTCTGCGTGATAAACTTAGAAATGAGGATATCCACAGTAGAACCAGAGTAACCGACACAGCCCAACGGATTAGTAAGCTGAAGTGGCAGTGGGCCGGCCATACAGCTCGAAGAACCGACAACCGATGGGTAAGAAAGGTTATCGAGTGGCAGCCTCGTACCAGTAGGCTAAGTGTAGGGCGGCCCCCCCACTAGATGGAGTGACGACCTGGTGAGATATGCGGATAGTCGATGGATGCAGGTGGCTCAGGACCGTGCTTTGTGGCATTCCTTGGGGGAGGTCTATGTTCAGCAGTAGACTTGTGAAGGGCTGTAATAATGATGATAATAATAATGATGGCAGTATTGGCGAGAGACTAGTTGGTCTTCCTTCGGAAAACAGTACATTCTGATCTTTCGCCAAGGCTGTCCAAGGGAACTTCTGTCAGCCATCTCTTCCATCTCTGCACAAGCAGGACGACTCACTAGCCCATGCCGCAAAGGAGAAAGCCGATCTGCAAGGCTCTTTCTTTGCTTCCAATTTGACTCTCGATGACGGAGGAAACACAGCCGACGATCCCCCGTGTGAGTGCTTCATGCCGGATGCGCGGTTCTCACAGCCCTCGGTTCGCAAACCACTCTTCTCCCTGGACATCCACAAGTCGAGTGGGCCTGACGGAATTCCCCAATTGTGCTGTGGACGTGTGCTCCGGAGTTGGCACCGGTTCTAACGCGTCTTTTCCAGTTCCAACTCCCTAGGCCTAGTCTCGAAATCATGGAAGATGGCTTTTATCCATCCAATCCCTAAAAAAGGCGATTGCTCAGACCAGTCTAACTACAGGCGTATCCCCATCACCTCCTTGTTCTCCAAAATAATGGAATCCATTATAAACTGCCAGCTCATGCGGTACCTTGAGGATTGCCAGCTGATTAGTAGCCGCCAATACGGTTTTTGTCAGGGTCGATCAGCTAGTGATCTTCTGGTCTACTTGACTCATAGATAGGCGGAAGCATTACAGTCCTAGGGGGAAGCGTTGGCCGTTAGTTTGTACATTATGAAGGCCTTTGATCGGGTTTGGCACAAAGCGCTTCTTTCAAAGCTCCCTTCATATGGGCTTCCCGAGAAATGGATCACCAGTTTTCTTGTAGATCGGAGCATCAAGGCCGTTGTAGACGGTGCATACTTCGACTACAAGCCTATTAAAGCTGGTGTTCTACAAAGCTGCGTGCTAACACCAACGCTGTTTCTTCTGCATATAAATGATATGTTCTAAACCGGTAGCATTCATTGCTATGCGGATGACAGCACTGGTGATGCTCTATACACCGGCCGTGCCAATATTTCTCGGGAAAACGTCGCCGAGTACCGGAACAAACTTATGTCTGAAGTCGAGTGTTTGCTGAACAAAGTCTCGGATTGGGGGCGACTAAATCTAGTCCAGCTCAATCCTCAGAAGACATAAGTTTGCGCGTTTACCGCTAAAAAGAACCCCTTTGTCGTATCTCCTTAGTTCCAAGGCACTCTCCTTGTTGCCTCAGCCAGTATCCTCGGCGTCGACATATCGAGTGACGTGCAGTTTCGTGGTCACTTGGAAGACAAGGCCAAATTGGCCTCTAAATAGCTTGGCATGCTCAGCAGAGTGGGACAGTATTTCATGCTGGCACACCGCCTGCATCTTTACAAGGCACAGGTTCGGCCTCACGTGGAACACTGTTCCCATCTCTGGGCTGGGGCTCCCCAGTGCCAGCTCCTTCCACTTGACTGCATCTAGCGCAGAGCGGCTCGAATCTTCGACGACTGAGTCCTTTCCGATCGGCTCGACTCACTGGCGCTGCGAAGAGATGTTGCATCCCTTTGCATTTTCTTTCGCATTTATCACGGGGAGTAGTTTGAGGAATTGTCCTGATTAATCCCAGCCGCCAATTTTCACGAAAGCACATCGCGGTAAAACGCCCGATACCATCCACACCATCTGGATGCTTGGTGGTCCACCACTGTACGTTTCATTAGTTGTTTTCTTCCGCGTACGATCTCTTTGTGGAATAGCTTACCATCGGTGATATTTCCGGACCGATACGACTTAGGGACCTTCAAGAATAGAGCTTACTCCTTTTTAAAAGGCCAGCAATGCACCTGCATTTCCCTTGGTGTTGTAGTTGTTCATGGGCGGCGGTAGCTACTTACCATCAGGTGAGTCGTATGCTCGTTTGCTCCCTTTACTATAAAAGAAAAACCTAGCCATTTCCTCGCACTGTGGATTTTTACATGGAATAAGGGTGACTAACGAGCACAAAGTTCACCCGATGGGGAATGGATGCTGTGGCCTATCTAGAATAGATATCTAGATCTATTCTCGATTAAGAATCAAAATGAAGATGCGTTATCTCTCCTGAGGAATAAGATGGAATGTCTCGTAACCAGTAAAAAGGGTCTCCTGTTCTCTACACTCCCCATATGAAATACAGCAGCATTAAGCTGCTATTTTACGCTGGTATTATGTGAGAGCGTGGTCCTCCACAGTCGAGCTATTCATGTTACAACCATAATATAGCTGCAATGGCTTTACCACGTGCTTTTCTACTAAATTTTTTATCACCAAACATATTATACGGTTTAAACTAACCCTTTGTAGTCGAACCTCCCATTTACTAGCAAAGTATAATGTAATAATAGAGAATACAACACATCCAATGCTTGCTAGCCACACCTCAGTTGAGAAAGGGAGGGAAAATATATTGGTCACGTAAGAAAGTGGTGGCTGGCGAAAGATAAAGCCGACTTTAAAAGGCGCTATTGTATCAGTATATTGAATCACATCCAAACGTTCTGTGTACACTGCGCAGTTGGTCCCTGAAATGCAATGTTTTATTTAAAAAAAAATTGGATAGTGTTGAAAAATTATTTAATGTAAGTAATGTTAAAGGCCTAAGGATGACTTAGCATATCTTGGAAATACTCAATTTCTTAAACAATTTGTTTTCCTTCATTGTTAACTCAGTAAGATGATTTAAATATATAAAATGTATTTAGGATAAAAGTAGATTGAAGATACCCACCCAAATCAGCTCTGTTATGTAGTATATCGTCTATCATTCCTGACCAAGTTCCGTTTTGTTTGTAGCCCCATCGATGGCTAAGGATGTATCGCGGAGTAGCATTCAACATCTGAAAGGCGAGTTTCACTACCATCCACGATATCTTGGCTGTTGAATCATGTTGCGCTTCTCTAGAATAAGGGTAAAATGTTTGGTCAAGATCAACAGAAATTGGATCGTCTAAATTTGCTTTTGTCACTACGTTTGACAGGCGGTTTGGCGGTATAGGACGCTCTGTATTTTGGTAGGTACTATTTCCCGAAGCCGTTGTAATTTTTAAGGTCTTATTACGGTCTTTTACACTAACATTAATATTAATTGCTTGACGGATTCTCTTATGTCGCAGCCACATGGCGAATGTCTTCTATATAACTGTATTTCATTTTCAGTAATATATTATTTAAATTAAATATGTTAAAATTTAGATGAAGTAGACTCAGTGGCTAGCCGCTCTTGTATCAGTCACCGCAGAGTTTACTTCGCCTGAGGAGTGAGGATGCCTCGAGAAGAAGTGAAACACGTGTCGTATTATCGAAGGTGGTGTGTCTTTCCTAGTGTAGTGGTGTTGGGATTAGTGTTGACGAGGATAGTGCACGCTATTGAAGGAAAACGGTAGGTGTTTTGCAAACTAGGTAAGTAGTAACACATCATTTTACTTTATTACGCGGATTTTAGCAAATTCATTTTTAACATCTTTAACATAATGGATTTCCGGAAAGAAGCGCTTAATTCTATTAATTATAGAATATTTTAACCTGATGATAGTAAGAGTAGGATAAAAAGAAGGCTAAATAAAATAACGATTTTGACGATGTTCTCCATGTCGATTGTAACTACGAGAGCGAGCGAAAAATTCTAAAGAAGAGATCTGGGCGGTAAGACATTTTTAGTCGGTTCTTAGTTTTTGATAAAGGTTTATTTTTTGCCATTTTGTGTCATCTTAGAAATACCACATTTTAAAGGTAACAGACAATTAGAATATCGTTGAAATAATTACTCCAAAAACTTTCACTTTCACCCCCTTTTTTCCACCCTGGTAGAGCCCATTAAATAAAAAAAAAATCAACTGGTCCACCCGTTTCCGAGAAATCGGTGAACATACTAAAAAACCAAAAAACGGATATGCATAACTAATAAAAACTGACGTAAATATTTTTTTATAATACCGATTTTTTATTATGTATTTATTTATGTAAGCGAAACATTCGCATGACACATTCGTATTATTTGCAAATCATAATATAATACATGATATGAATTATAAATAATAGGTATGATATATTAAAGGATAAAAAAACATAAGCCAACAAAGTTTCCACAAATAAATTAACTAAGTACCTAATTAAAAACAACTGACATCAATAATGCCGTGTAATCCATCAATTCAAATTTCATACCGTGAATGACGTAAGAGAAATGCCCGAAAGAAAGAAGAAACGAAAAATACATATAAACAGATAGTCACGTCAAAGGGGCGAGACAGCTGGTACTGCGTCAATCCGCTTGTTAGGTGGGTTTGCAACTCCCATGTCAAATGATAACATATTTAGGTGTTTAACTTACAGTCTATCTTCCAGGTGGTACTGTGTGCTATTGCTGTCTTGAATCACGTTCGCCATAGTTAAAGGATGTCCCATTATATTTTGCCGTCTTCGAAAAAGCTCTTTATGAGGTCTTATGTCGAAGAAGGTTCCGTTGTAATAGCCTCTACGATTGGATATAACTTCACCAATTGACGAAGTTTTATGAACTGTGCAAAAATGTTATAAAAAATAGGCTATTTTTTCCTGTTTGTTTTTACACTTCAATTGAATTCCATAAAATAAGATGGACTAGAACATACTATATAGAATAGATAATAGAACATTATTATGTTCTATTAGAATAGATATATTACACAATATATTCTACTATATTGTGTAATAGAACAAAATATAGTAGAATAGAGCAAAATAAGATGAAATGAAATAGTAGTACAGAGTGAGAGAGAGAATGGAACAGAATGAAATGGAATAGATTGGAATAGAATAGAATATAATTTATTTTATTGGCTCGGGAGTGCACTGGCTTTGATACTCGTGATCTAAATCTAAAGTACCACGGCTCAATTAAATACTAGGTAGAATGATGATAATAAGTATGTAAACTCAATAATCGAAACTTACGTTCGTGTAATGTGAAAGTATCATTTTCTCGACTTGCCAACACAAAATCACTTCCAGGCGATAGTGGAACATCACTCAAAATATTTGATTTATCTTCTAAAGAATTCAGCACCAACCAACGATAAGGAAAAGCAAATAAATTACTCGCTGAATCCTGTTTGAAAATAGTAAATGTTGACCTTTCAAAAAAGTTAGATGCTACATCATCCATTAACTATTAGGTTTAGCATGGAAATGTATATACAATAATATTATTAATAATAAAATAACATATATAATACTAATATTATCCATATACCATCTGCGTAGTACAGGATAGTGCACGCACTCTCTATTCCCTCACTCTCATAGGCCTTGGCACGGTAATCCGACACCACAGGGGAGAGGTTAGGTGCAGGACCAACGGCCTTTTGACTATATTTTTGACTAACGAAGCAGTTAAATAAGGAATATCACAAGCTCAAGATAAAAACTAGAATGTCGTTTAAATAGTTAGGTACATTAATAATTTCACGCCCTATCTTGCCACTTTTGGGGGGTGGAATTCTTTCTTTAAATTTATAAAACCCACTGCTAAAGCATATCCTATTTATTGAATAAAGAATAAATAAAATAGTTATACAATTCACGAAGATATCGCGTAACGTCCATACAAAGAAATACAATCGAATTGAGAACCTCCCATTTTGAAGTCGGCAAAAAATAAACATACATACATATATCCCAATTCTCAGAACAGGAATTCTTTCATTTTAGAAGTGATTTTACTCCATTTCCCCTCTTCTTAAAAAAAAAAATAAAACAGAAAATTGTATCTAACCAAATATTTTTAATTTCTTATACTACTCGAATGTTAGTTTCCTCAAGATGTTTTCCTTCATCGCATGTCACTATTTAGCACTTAAAACTTACAATATTAATGTGATACCTGCGAAACTCAAACTCTAGTTGTTCGCTTCTTAGTAATGCAATTTAAAACCGTTTCGTAAAGGATAAAGTATTAGATACATTTTCGAAATTGGAATTATTTGATTTTTTTTTACAAGTAACAGTGAAAAAGTGCGCTCTTTTGTTATCAACCTGATGGTAAGTCGATGCTCACCTATTGACACTTAACTACGATTATCCTCGTTTGAGAATCGATGAGCAGAGACTAGGACTGAATAAACAAAGCCAGCAGGCTAGCATGGGCAGGGGACAATTTTATCCCCGGGAAAAGGAGAAAATGTTTATCCCCTCGCTTAGTTTTATCCACCCTTCGAGCATAGGCATGCCAGTGGTTATAATATCAACAGTAGATAAAATGGGAGATAAACTTAGACTTAGATAGATTTTTTGTATGAATATAAACTTAAACCCACGTCCAATGAACTAGGATAGAATTGTCCCTATCAAATGTTAAAAAAGCATAATTTTTTATCTTTCATTTGGCTTCATGCTACGGCCGGGGGATATATGTCTACTCGTTATGTCTAACGGGGATATACTTCTCCCCGTTGCCGTGTTTTGGCATAGGGACTAGAGAGAGGACTAGAAGGAGGATAAAATTTTTCTCCCCAGCCCATGCTAGCCGTGCAGTAAAAAGAGTCTTCGATTCTCTACGCACACCATGCAAAACACCACAGTATTATGCTGCTATTTTATGCTGGTATTCTGTCAAAGACAGATAGTATAATAACTCAAGTATAATCTCCAGTATCACGCGACTGGCCTCGTCGGTCTACTGGTTGTCAAAGCGATTGCTGATGATGAAGCAACGTAGAGGCAGTAATTTGGCGATTTTTCACCCCTTGCCTCGGAAAGCAGGTGAAGCCGTCGGTCATGCGCCTGATCTCTCTCTGATCGTGTCAGTTTATCGTCCCATCGGACTATGAGAGTGAAGGAATATACAGAGTGCACCTGTGCTTGCGAATACTCTTGGGCATTATAATCCTGTCCTGCGCAGATGGCTAGTCTCCGGTCAGACGGGACGCCGTGACCGAAATTCGGTTTGGAGAACATAATCACAATAATACGGAAAGCATTCGAAAAACCTCAGACCTCAGAGAAGTTAACGCATCTGTAGCCTTTGTTAGAAGTTGGTTGCAAGTGAACAGTGGCAGTAGCCACTCATCATTAGGTAGCTACTATTCGATTTACGGTGGTATCATGTGAGATCATGCTACTATTTGTGCTGCAGTCATAGCTGCAGCGTGGTTCTTAAACGTTAAAAATATTTTGTTTATAAGATAGGGTGACAAACGAGCACACAGTCCACCTGATGGTAAGTGGTTGCTGTAGCCCATAGACATCTACGTCTATCCTCGTTTGTGAATCAAAATGCAGATGCGTTGTCACCCGTGAGGACTAAGATGGAGTGCCTCATTTCTAGTAAAAAGGGTCTCCGGTTCTCTACACTCACCATTCGAAACACAGCAGCATTAAGCTGCTATTTTACGCTGGTATTCTGTGAGAGCGTGGTCCTTCCCCAGTCGAGCCGACTCATTCGTGCTACAACTGTACTAGATTTCCAATTATTTCTAAATAAACGATGTTTGCTATCTCATCATCATTATCATCATTACAGCCCTTCACAAGTCCACTGCTGAACATAGACCTCCCCCAAGGAATGCTACAAAGCAAAGTTTGCTGTCTAAATATTTCAAAATAAATCTAGCTCAGGCAAGTAGATACTAATTAGTTATTACTTACATTCGAAAACAGTTCTTCCGACCAAGGGCAATCCAAATCAATCAAGAACATAGTTTCATGTTCTTGATATGTACTTGTATGTGTTGAAAATATTGATCTTATTCCTCCATTGGATAATTCTTTTAAAAGATTTAAGTTTTGGTCTGTAAATGTTGTTTTATGTTTATTTTTCAAACAAATAAGTTTACTATAATTTAACAAAATGTTTTCTTTTCCTATATCTATACTTCAACTTTGCTGAAACGTATTCGCCCGCAGAAGACCTGCGAGTTAGTCGTATGAAGATGGTGGCAACAGCGTCCCGTCGTCTGTCTTTGTTGTGAGATGTTAGTGCTGTTAGCCTTTTAACTTTTACAGTTTTATTTGGCTCAGAGTTTTACAAAAGAGATTTGAGATAATGATGATCGTGGTGATAATGATTTGGTTAATGACCATTCATCGGATCACCTATACGGTATTTGTGAGTTACCTAACAACCATCCGAGCAGGTTATGCAGACCCTGTTTCTGACTGCCTAACTCGTATCAGTCGATGGTGTTCCGTTCATTATCATCATCATCATTACAGCCTTTTACAAGTCAACTGCTGAACATAGGCCTCCCCCGAGGAATGCCACAAAGCGCGGTCCTGAGCCACCTGCATCCATCGACTTCCTGCATATTTTACCAGGTCGTCACTACATCTAGTGGAGGGACGCCCAACACTTCGCTTGCCGGTACGAGGCTGCCACTCGAGAACCTTTTTTCCCCATCGTTTGTCGGTTTTTCGAGCTATATGGCCGGCCCATTGCCACTTCAGCTTACTAATCCGTTGGGCTATGTCGGTCACTCTAGTTCTACTGCGGATATCCTCATTTCTGAGTTTATCACGCAGAGAAACTCCGAGCATAGCCCTCTCTATAGCTCGCTGAGCGACCTTGAGCTTCCTCATACGGCCAGCAGTGATGGACCACGTCTCAGTTCCGTATGTCATCACTAGCAACACGCACTGGTTGAACAGTCTCGTCTTCAAGTTTTGAGGTATACCTGACGAGAAGATGTGCCGTAATTTCCCGAACGCTGCCCAACCGAGTTGAATCCGTCGATTGATCTCTCGGTCGAAGTTGGACTTACATAGTCGTACTATTTGTCCCAGGTAAACATACTCGTCAACAACTTCGAGCTTAGTGCTCCCAACAACTACCGGCATAGGTGTGACATGGACATTAAACATGATCTTTGTTTTGTCCATGTTCATCTTAAGACCTATCCGTTGGGAAGCACTACTGAGGTCATTGAGCATAGTGCTTAGGTCCTCCAGCGATTCTGCCATAAGGACTATATCGTCGGCAAATCGAAGGTGAGTGATGTACTCGCCATTGATGTTGATACCGTATCCTTTCCAGTCCAGAAGCTTGAAAACGTCTTCCAATGCAGCGGTGAGGAATTTCGGGGATATGACGTCACCCTGTTTTACACCTCTCTGCAATTGGATAGGTTTCGTACTCCGGTTCTGTACTCGGATAGCCATGGTAGCCCTACTATACAAACACTTCAGCACTTCGATATACCGACAGTCAACTTGGCACCGCTGAAGGGACTGCAGTACCGCCCAAATTTCGACGGAATCAAAGGCTTTCTCATAGTCCACATACGTCAGACATAGTGGCAAATTGTACTCCTCTGACTTCTGTACAATTTGCCGAAGGGTTTATGTATGTGGTCTATGGTGCTAAAGCCTTTTCGGAAACCGGCTTGTTCGGGAGGCTGGAAGTCGTCAAGTCTGCACGCGAGATGATTCGTAATGACTCTCGAAAACAGCACGTAGATGCAGCTCAGAAGGGAAATCGGTCTGTAGTTCTTCAAGAGAGCGTTGTCGCCTTTCTTGAAGAACAAGACCACCGCACTTCTCCTCCACGCCTCCGGTGTAATGCCACCATGGCGGACGGAATTAAAGAGCTTCTGAAGGACTTCAAGTACCGGTTTTCCACCCGCTTTCAGAAGCTCCGCTGTAATTCCATCCTCGCCTGGGGCCTTGCCGTTTTTAAGGTGCTGGAGAGCCATTCTATTATTGTGTCCAGTTAGCATCTGCATATTCAAGACTCATCTGCTTATATATCTAAACGTACCCAGGCCTGACTTAATAAGTATTATTATCTTAGCAGGCTTAAAACTATCAACTTACTCTTTTTCCAGCACAAGCCGTAACAAACTAAATATGTAGGCTTATGTTCTTTTATGACAAAGCTTTTGATAAAATTAACAGTTACCAGATCCTTAGATCTGACATCTTTATTGCACAGTAGTATTAAAATAAACCCAAACAACATCATAGCTGCTATATTCAGTAACATTCAGCTCGGAAAATGTCGAAATTAAAGTGATGGAAATTGTATTTAACTCCGTTGACAATTGGCTGCATAATTAAATACATAAGCTTCTAAATGGTTTACCAATGATCTAATATTCCACGAATATTCGGTTACTCGTCAAATAAGTGTAGCAAATAACAATTATGGCGAACTAATTACAGACTACGATGAACATTGATTGTAAACATTAAGTTAATGTGGCCTCTAGTAAAATATTATACAATATAAATTTTTATAGTATGGCAAACCATTCAAGCTACAAATAAATGATATGAGGGTGTTGGTCTCCTGGTATATTTATTTTTGCCGATGTGTCTCCACGGACAACTTTTTAACACCTATTGCCAGATATTTTAAAAATTTTCCACCCTATTTTACCCATTTTATTGGTAACTGAGAAAGATGTAATTTCTTCAGGTGTTCTCAACATCAGCATCTTTTTATTATAGGATAGGGTGACAAACGAGCTCACAGTCCACCTGATGGTAAGTGGTTGCTGCGGCCCACAGATATCTGCATCTATCCTCAATAAAGAATCAAAATACAGATGCGTTGTCACCCGACTAAGATGGAATGCTTCTTTTCCAGTAAAAAGGATCTCCGGTTCTCTACACTCATCATACGAAACACAGCAGCGTTATGCTGCTATTTTACGCTGGTATTCTGTGAGAGCGTGGTCCTTCCTCGGTCGAGCCGACCCATTCGTGCTACAACTATACTACTAATAAAGCTGCAGCGTGGGTTTACCACGTATATCTACGTATCTTGATTAAATGAGAATAAATGTAGGTAACTGGGCTAAAATATCTACTTTTCAACAGGTGTGCTGCTGTTGTGATCTTTTGGTACCCTTATTTTTTATCTCAGTAAAAGCAGGTGATTGAGATCGCAGCACCGAGACCTGACATTACGATCGTTCATCCGCCTGCGCAAAGCGTTGCGATTATAGCAATCCCTATAATGGTTGAGGCCTGTATCAAACGATAGATTTTTATTAGCTGACGAAGAAGGAAACATTATTTTTGGCTTATAAGTGAATTTTATTTGTGCTAAAACTAAGTGTTGCAAGATGACATAAATAATTGATACAATAAGCAATAACTATGTAGATAATTCTGATTTCCACTGCTACAGGTGTGCTCCTTTCACAATACGAAGCTGTCGATAATTTGATTCCGTGCTTTTTGCTTCGCCCTTAAGGAAATTCTGAAAAAAAATATAGTTCTAGAGCATTCTAGCATATTATGTATATAGTGAGGTGGGCTAAGACTAACATAGTTTCCTAATAGCACAGAATAAATAATAGTTAAAAGAACTAATAGGCAGAACAAAAGGTTTTTATGAAGAAGTTGTTTGCCCTACTTTTGAAGTATAAATTACACTGATATAATGATAAAATATACTTTTATATGATTATAAAGATTTATGCATAAATGTTTTCAAAATGGTGATACTGAAGAAAATGTAAAACAGGAAAAACTGTTAGTCTTACCCCGCCACGTGGAGTATAACTAACAGTAATGTTTTTAGCTTAACGAACGTACGTGCAGTTCTTGAATAAAAATCATAAATATTAACAATAGTAACTTTTATTTTGAATCTTCAATGTTAAAGGTTTCCTTTTTGAGAGAGGTAGGACTTACATACAATCAAAATCAGGGGTACCAAATATTTTTTTTCGAATCGGGCATTCCGCCCAGATCTAATATAATAATAATGCGTAATATTTGTAATTACTAATTATGTATATGACGTCATCATAATATAGCTATATTCACAGAATAGCATTACTCCATCTCTTCTCGTGGGTGTCGTCAAAGGCGACTGAGGGATTCACCCGAGGGAAGGGCTTCAGCGTTCATTTAGTATATAACAAGCATACTGCGAAACGAAAACATTTAATATCAGCCAGGCGGCAATTCGTTAACTTAGCGAAAGACTTTGTAAAAGGCTACAGAGGGTAATGAAACAAGAGATGGGCAGCAGCATCCTTCAGACAGGAATATAGCATTGCACGCATTGTTATTTGGAGGCTGAAAAAAAAGAGTGTAGTACCTACCCAGACGGACTGAAGTGACAAATTACAGTCCACATACCTGTGCCTATGTACACCTGGAATCAACTGCAAAATAAAGAAGACTACAGATGCGTTGTCCCCTATGAGGATTAAAATGGAATGCCTTACAGGATGTAATTAAATTCGTGTGTTATGTTACAGTTACTATAGGCTAGCTATTTGACGGTAGAAATAGGTAAAAGGGTTGTACGTAACTAGATGGTCTCCTAGGATGTTCTCTGAACAAATACATTAAAAATATCCCATAGTCGCCAATTACAGTACCCATGGACAGCAATAGCTCTTATGTCACCACCATGCAGCAAATGTTGCGTGTGTAAATATAAACTAGTAGGTTTCAATCTCCCTTTCATTTCTGACAATGGAGAACTCTCAAATATATAAAATAACTGTTAACATAATAATTTTACGCGAATATTCTACAGAATAAAATGCGTAAGATTAGATATATTTAATATCTGTTAATGTTAATACTTACATTCTTTTATATGCGATCTCCAGCAAAAGCACCGCGGGGGCCAAGAGCATGCCGTACGTTGTAGCCAACAAAGCAGGGTACATATCGGTGATGCCGACGCTGCTGAACGTGGAGATGGTGCCTGAGCATCGAGGTCGCGGCACATTTAGCCGATGGTGGTTGTTCGCCTGGATGCCGGTCTCGCGGATCTTAATGAAGCTGGTTAGAGCATATAAAATATTCATTTGGTTATACTTTTTTACTAGGAATTTTCGGTACAGGTTATACTTATTTTACATCTTTGGAATACCCCTCGCAATAACATTCAGAATACAACCAATAAAACTCCTTTAAATAATTTCTTACATATCATGACCTAAAGGCAATTATTAACTTCTTAAATTTAATATTGCACGCCTCATAACGCGAAGCGTTATTAGGTAGTGTATCACTCTCGACACGTCAAGGTCAAGCAATGTTGTGGTCTTCAAATGCCTCTATCGTAACCATATTGTACTTATACGATATTATGAGTGGCCGTATATCAAGAGAACACTTATTAATCCATCTTATAAGTATTTTTTTCAAATATCATTTTATATTGCTACTTTGATAAAACACGGTTTGATTTTTTTTTATGTGGACATCCAGATGTTGAATTTGAATGTAAGTACGATAATTCCCGGAAAAATTTACGTATCGAGACCGGGGTTTTTTTATTATCTTCAGAATTACGTCAACTGGTTCCCTATTTCATATCAATAGCCTAGTACGCGTCGTATGTCAATAAAATTATTTTCAAGTTTTATAAATTTTATTGCTATTAAAAATTTAAAGGCACTTTCATTTTCTTCCTTAGCCCTTGATCGACAAAGGATAAATGTACCATACAGCCTACATCGATTTTATACTTTGTGTAATCGATTTTTTTTAAAATACTAGTAATGTTAAAAGTGGTTCATGACAATAGTCGAATGGCGGATTCGAACTCACGACCTTTCGAGTTCGCGGTCCGCGCCCTGCCATTAGGCTACTGACGCTTGATTTATTTTGGTCATTTATTTTTGTCATCAAAATTAAATGACACGCTCACGAAGCGTGCACTTTTGGATTTTCTAAACTATTTACATATTTATACGGATATGTATGTATTAAGCTTTATATTATATAAAAATTACGTGTCACATTGTTTGTCTGGGATGGACTCCTTAACTATTGAACTGATTTCTATGAAATTTAGCACACTGTATGCTGGTTTGGTCCAATTTGAGAGATAGTTTTTATCCCGATAAGTATCCTTCAATACTTTTTTATTGCGAATATAAGAATTTTTTATAGGAAGAGTCGTCGGAAAGGGCAGAACAATCTGCCTGTCGAGCTAATATACATATGTATAAACATATAGGTATTAGACATACAGGGTTATTTTTCAGAAAGAAGCAGAGAGGGGAATGCCTGAATGAAATGAATTAAAAGAATGAATTTTAATTCATTTCATTCAAGCATAAATAGGATTTTTAAGATATAAAGGTTTTTATTTTCACAAGAACAGTTTTTTTAACAACAAACGACTTCGTATTTTCGTCACGTTTAAACTACAATTGACACAGCGTAATATCTTCTTAAATAAGTTACTGAAGGCTGGGAAGAATTCTGGCCGGTGTGAAAGCTGGGGTCATCGTTAACAGTGGATATCGAGTCGAAAGTTCGTGCAAGGGCTATCGTAAGAAGCGGGAGCGGGATCCATGTTCAGGCCGTGGTCAATAGGGTGAGAAGAATTATTGGAGTCCATTTAGAAAACTTGTTCGTTGCTTAGATAACAAAACCGTGAGAAAACAAACAAAATAACACTAATGCAAAGGAATTCGACTTATGACTATTTAGTTTTGATAATTATGACATGGACCTAACTGTCAGATTCGATGTTGCTACATAACAGACAAAAAAAGAAAAATCGTTATCAATTTTTTATTCGACTTATAATGTCATAAAAAAAATCTTTGATTCGCTTTAAGTTCTGCATGCCTTTTAAAATACCTATGTTTTGTTTTGTTTTGTATTTATTTAAATTCCATTTTAAATGATTTTTTTAAGAATAGATAACAATAACAGTTAAATTGTGCATGAAAACACAATGTATCTCACAAGTAATTAAAAATATTTATTTAAAACATAAAAGATTTTTAACCCTTTCGCTGTCCCGTGCACCACATATGGGTCATTGCTATTGTCTTACTATTGTGTCTGAAAACCGGACAGTGAAAGTGTTAATATTGATATGGTCACTATAAGATGTTGTTAGGTTAGCTAATTCCGTAATAACACCCTTTCATGACATAAATGACATAAGGACCCTTAGGTAGGGACTGCATAAATTAACCGACTTGGTACTACAAGGATCTCACAAGTTTTTACCGTGGAAGAACTGATTTGCAAGACTTGTTTTTTTTTACAAGTTATGTTTTCGATGGCACGTAATTTTTCTTCACCATTTGTCTACATTACTTATACTGGACCTTTTCTGCAAATTTGGCTGGTTATTGCAAAATAACCCTGCATAATGATGATTGAAAAGAGAATATTAATAATTATGTTTTATTCTTTTGTATAGTTTATAAAATAATGACTAATTTATTTTATATAGGTAGTTTATAAAGAAAGTATTTTCTTACTTTTACCACTGTCTCGAAAATAAGTTGCCCTGGGTAAAAAAAATATTACCCTCACATTAGGAATTTCTTCTGTACCGTTCATAGGTTTGCCAGATGCCGAAAGACCAAAATGTCTGGATAGAAGTTGAAAATGTCAGGATTTTGGGGTTGTTGTCGGGAGAAGTAAATATAAAAATATTTTTTTTAAATTAATAGGGTACAAAAAGACAACATTGTTGACACATATCTAATTTAAGTACAGTTAATTTTTAGGTTACCACATGTATTTGACTTGGACTTACTGAGTCTACTAAGTTGGACCCTTTTGTAGTATTCAGACAACATTAAAAATTCAAACAATTTACTTTAAAGTTCAGTCTAATTATTAGCAAACTAAACACTCTAAGCATTGCTTACAGGAATTAACAATAGAAATGATATATATATATATATATATATATATATATATATATATATATATATATATATATATATATATCGTCTGACATGTCCTTGTCTTTTGAAAGATGTTCAAATATTTTTCGAAGAAAACAGTAAACGGTATATAAACCAACTTGGTCAATATCGTTTGAAATATTAAGTACATCGGGCAATACGGATACGGACAATACAGCGAATTTCTTACTTACTTCTCAGAAAAATCATACAAAGCGTTCTTCCGAGTTACAGCTTGCATTCGTGAACCCCTTCGCTATTATCAATGTGTGTGGACTTTGTCTTTTTGTTTGACAATGTGTGTGGCTTATAAGCTCCCATATAACTTTTCCACATTCATTTTCAGTAAATGATCTTAAGCAGGCAAAAGAGATAGCCATCTTGTTGGGACATGATGAAGAAGAAGGTGAAAGTTCACGGCAATTTTAAATTAATATTTTGTATAGAACTTTCTGAGAAGCTGTTTGTCAGGAGATTTTGAGTTTTGTCCGGAATCTGGAGATCATTTAAAATGTCGGGAGAATCCAGATGAATCCCGACCATCTGGCAACCCTAATCGTACATAATTGCACATGGACACACATCCACACCCAAAACTTTCATTTTTAGATTATATAAATACTTATTTCTTACGGAAATCAAAATTCAATTCGAAGAAATGCTTAGTCGCTGGAAATGCTACAGCTCGCTAGCAAAGTGTTTGTAAAACATAGCAACTATTTATATACATATGTAACTTCTTGTTCCTACGAGAAAAGAATGATTCAATTACTTGATTTTGAAGAGGTCTTTAAAAGGAGATCTCTTTTGGCTCGGCACCCATGGGTCTATCTCGTTGATGTAGTCAATCTCCACCAGATCACATTTCTCATTTTCTTGATAGGTTTCTTGGATAAGCCTGTATCCCGGATTGAGCTCCATGTGAAACGCAAACAACCCCTTAAACATAAAAAGTATATATTGTAGTTACATTACAATACATTAAAAAAAAACCAGCCATAAGGACTGCCGACAGAAGTGAAAACTCAATGATATATGCGTATGCATGTACACAGGCCGCTATACTAGAGTACGCGTAGCAGACATGCTTGTGACGTCACGAGCATGTCGAGGTCATCGGTGACGCGAACCCATTAGTTTTTCTCCTACCAAAAATCACTCAACGCGTCTAAATAAGTTTTCACTTCAAAAGTGAAGTGATAAACAAACATACAGTCCACCTATGGTATGAATAAGTGGCCACTGCAGCTCATAGACCGGAACATACCAGTGCACGCACTGTTGTTTGGCGACAGGAGTAGGCAAGAGGGCAGTACTCACCCAGACGGACACCCAGGTAGAAAAGGAATCCTATCACCTAGTGCATACATACGTTTATTTATTTGTACTGCCAACATACGAAACAGCATTATATGTATGGTAATGTAACTATACATATAATGCTGTAATAAATTATTTTATAATTATAGGCAATCAAATAATCTATTGCGTTAAAAAAGTTAAACAAATGAAATTTCAAGTGCCTAATTATCAATGTTCTTACGTTGCTGCAAAAAATTGTAAGGAAGACTGTCTATCTGAGAAATAAAGAACAATGTATTTTAAATTTCAAGGAGTTCAGAAACTCTGAGCATAGTCATCTACATAGCTAGTAGAACTACTTTGATTTTAACAAATTATGATTTGTATTTATTTTTTATAAGGTGGTACCCGCTGCGTTGCTCCAGCAGAAAAAAATTAGAAATATCATTTTAAATTTGGAATAGTTATGTTGTTTAATTAGGAATGATAATACATTCATTGAAATTGAATAATATATTTTTCAATTGTCGGTACGATACGCGCGATACTGTAAGTTACTGTAATTAAAAAAAAAGTTTTAGCGCAATCTGATGAACGGTATGGCTGCGCATAAAATACGAATAAACAAAAAATATTTTTATATATTAGAGATTTGAATAGAAGGAATGGTGTTTTAAAATAAAAGTTATTAAAAAATAAATATTAGGTCTTTACTTATGAAACTGCTGTTTATTATGAAATAAGTTAACGTATATGTTTCCATATTTTTTATTTCTATTAATCAAAGTAATCACCGATGCAATCGAAGCATCTTTGCCAACGTAATGGCAGTTCATTGATGCTCTCCTTGAAGAAATCAGCTGGACAGGATGCACCAAATTCTTCAAAAGTTTTATACTGCCTCTCGGGTATTGCATTTTTTCCCGCCAAAAAGTTATCCAAATTCTGGAAAAAGTAGAAGTCTGTAGGCGCAAGGTCTGGTGAGTACGGTGTATGACGATGAGCTTCCAACCCTAGCTCTTATAACTTGAGAGGCCGTCTGCTGTGGAGTATGAGATCGCGCGTTGTCGTGCAGGAGCAGGGGGACGAGCGATTAACCAAAGCAAAGTGCTGAACTGAAGAAGCTCGCACTTCTCCAGTTCCGTTCTTCACAGTACACATCTGCAGTAATGCTCATCCGTCGCGGCGCTAGACCACCAAACAGTGACCATCACTTTTCTAGGGGTGAATTTTCGTTTAGGGCATTGTTTAGGCGCTGAACTAGGATCCAACCAACTTGCGATTGTCAAACAGAATCAATTTTTCGTAACAGGTAACAATGCAGTTCAAAATTTCTTCGTTTGTGTGCCTGTTGAGCAGTGCAAGGCACGTCTCGAAGCGTACTTCTCGCTGGCGAACATTGAGTTCGTGGGTCACCCATTTTTCAAGCTTTTTTACCTTGCCAATTTCATGCAAATGGACCAATATTGTTTTTATGCTAACGTTGAAAGCTGCTGCTAATTCAGCCGTAGTAGTCAGTCTTCGGACGACCACGGGATTCATTTTTCAGTTCGAAATTTCCAGAACGGAAGCGGGCAAACCAAAGAGGTGCGTTCGTTTGTAGTATTTGCTCCGTAAACATCGTTGATGTTGCGTGCCGCTTGTGCGGCGTTGCTTTCACAACGGTACTCATATTCCATAATTACTCGAATTTTTAACGTATCCATGATGACGAAAAAGGTTCATATGCGATGAAAACATAACACTAATCAATAAAAGATTACTAATTTTCAAAAAATTATTGCATGTTTTAAAATAAAAATTAATTAGAAATTAGAATTCTTAGCCAAACAAAAATTATTTTGATTTGGAAATGGCCAGTACTGCAGAACGATAATTTCATAGGTAAAGACCTATTATAATTTATACTTACTCGGCGTATTTTTTCTACACCCTCTTTCATGCTGTAAAAATTTGGTTTCCTCCCTTTTGGCGCGATTTTCTTGTTGTAAATAGCCTTGCGTACTGGTTCATTTAATTTCTGAAAAGGAAATATTAGATTAAAAAGGTAGATTATCAACGTCTTTAACATTCGAAAGAGGGAGATTTATGTATATATGTCAGATACAAAAAATAATTATAATAAAAAAAAACACGCGTGAGTGTCGTGGAACACTTGGTTGAAACGAAGTTCCTTTCGTAGTATATTACTATTGATAAAAGTATTTTATTATTGATTAAAAAATACAAATAAATTAATTACTAGCGTCTATTAAAATGAAGCGTCATTTAAAATAATACTTCTTTCATGGCAATATAAGAAAAGTGCGAGGGAGATGGAGATATTATTCCATCTCGCTCGCACTATAAAAAAGGGGGTCGTGACCGAAAGATCTTATACTTTTCTCGCCTAACCCCCATCCGTCAAATTCGCACCGTGCGATAAGGATCTCCGGTCCAAAAATTTTCTTGTTCTTTAACAGATTATGTCGTTATTGTTGTGTTATGGCTGAAGCATACTGGGACGTTTTAATCGTTGAAGGACTACGATCTCATATACTATCGTAAATATTGCTGCTGTGTTTCGTGTGGTGAGAATAGAGGACCGGAGACCCATTTTTATTGTTTTAAATACACTTGAACTTATAATGAGGCATTCCACCATAATCCATTCCTGATAAGAACGCAATAATAACAAACAAAATAAAAACTGTGGTATTCCAATACAATTTTTATAAAAAAGTTTCCTTTTGAGAGCTCTTAAGAAGTATTTCAATTTACATGAGTATCCACTACGTAATAATAAGAATGTCTAACGCACATTACAGAGGCAGATGTGAATTTCTTTAATTTTTCCGAATTATTAAAAAAATATGTAAATAATAGGTAAATATAGTATCTCTTCTTTCTTTAACTTTGTATCAAATGTGTTCTAAATTTTCTTTGTGCGAATTGAGTTTTATTTCGAAAGATAAAAGTGACTAATGAACTGTCCATGCATACTAGGAGCAAGCTTCAAACATAGAAGGTTACAAATACGCTGTCACCTCTGAAGACTACGATGTAATGCCTTACCGACTGGTATATTATACTGGTTCTCTCTCTCTATATCCTGTATACGTCTAGACCGTAACATATCACTTCAAGCACTGCTATTTGGCGCACACAGTCCACCTGATAGTAAGTTTATACTGCGGCTCATAGACATCTATATTTATTGTCGATTATGAATCAAAATGCAAACGTGTTGTCACCCGCGAGGACAAAATGGAATGCCTCGTTTCCAGTAAAATGGGTCTCCGGTTCTCTACACACACCATACGAAACACAGCAGCGTTAAGCTGTTATTTTACGCTGGTGTTCTGTAAGAGCGTTGTCCTTCCCCGGTCGAGCCGACACATTCGTGCTACAACTATACAATTAATATAGCTACTGCATGGCTCTACCACATTAAAAAACGTACCGCGTACTTATTGTAGGTCTGTAAAAGAAATAAAAAGCGATAAATCATCATAGAACTTTGACTACTTCAGAATTCTGCGACATATTGGGAGGGTAAAGCGGGTGCTAAAAACCTCCAAAGGGTCTATGGTGTATAATTCCCAGAGCCCAAACAGCTTAAAGGATGGGAAATCATTCAGGAAGAAGCCGCCAAAAGAGATCACATAGCTATATGAGTAATATAGCTGCATGGCTCTACCATGTAAGATGAGTTTTACCTACCCAAACGGAGTCTTAGATAGAAACCACACAGTCTTTAAGTAAGCTCACTAATATTTAGATTATAATTTAAAATTTTGTACAACCGATTTCAATATAAATTATTAATAATAACTCAATAACTAACCAAAGTCAAACTCTGATCAAATTTATATGGAACCACACGTGAAGCACCAGCATAAAATATTTCTTAAAACTTGATACAATAAAACAAAATATACTTCGTTTTGTTTTATTGTATCAAAATCTCATTATCGATTTTTATTAGTCCTTAAGCACATTTAAAGTAATCTCAAGTCTTGATATCCTTACGAACGTGAAATCAGAGCCCGTTTAAATGTTAATCAATTGGTGGTGGAGCAATTTTTCAAAATTTATTTGAAAACTTGCTCCACTGCTTAAAAATTCTAAACTAAACAAAAATTATAACTGAATACCTTGAAAAAATATCGGTTGTACTCAAAATCACTGGCTCCTAGTTTCAAAGGTGAGTTTAGAAGATCGGGCAAACTCTTCACCGAGGAACTGGGTGCTCGTAGTAACACAACTATATTTGCAGAGTAAGCCGAGTACAGTATCGTCAAGGCAAGAAACAGCAGTAGCGTTACACATCTACCTGTAAAAAAGATTATAAAGTCTGTGTCATGGTTCGAGTAGAGTAGAATAGAACAGTGTTGCTTGTGCGCAAGTATCGGCTCTGTGCTGCTCACCTGCAGACCTGCCCAGTGTGGTGAGTATGGGGAAATCTTCCATCATACATATTTGAAAAGACATTGACCGCATCCAGCGCGGTATAGTTTTACATAGTAGATCCAAGCTGCAGCTATATTATATTTGTAGCATGAATGGGTCGGCTCAACCGGGTAAAGACCACGCAATCACAGGATACCAGCGTAAAATAGCAGCTTAATGTGTGTTTGCACGTTGAGTGTAGAGTACACTTTTTACTGGAAACGAGGCATTCCATTTTAGTCCTCAGGGGTGACAACGCATCTGAATTTTGATTCTTTATCGATCATAAATATAGATATATATTGGCCACAGCATCCATTTACCATCAGGTGGACTATGTTCTCGTTTGTACCCTTATACTATAAAAAAAGTGCAGAGCGGCACGAAATTTCGATGACCGAGATCTTACTGATCGGCTCCATTCAATGACGCTGCGATGATATGTTTTTATCTCTTTTTCATCTCTTTACCTTTTCTATAGCATTTACCACGTAAGATAAGCTCAGAGAAATTGTTCAGATTTATTCCAGCCGTCAAATTCCACCAACGCATATCACGACAAAACTCACGATTACATGTACACCATCTGGATGTTTGCCACCACTGTACGATTTACTAAGAGTTTTGTTTTCGCACGACTTCTTTATGGCATCGTTTACCACCGCCGATTTTCTACCGACTTCAAAAAGGAGACGGTACTAAATTCGACTGTATGTTTTTTTGTGTGTTACCTCATAACTTTTTACTGGGTGAACCGATTTAGATGATTATCTTTTTATTTGAAAGCTGGTGCTTCAAATGTAGTCTCATATAAATTTGATCAAGGTTTTTTTGAGTTATTCTTAATAATTTATATTGAAGTCGGTTGTACACAATTTTTAATTTTTAATTATTTCGAACCGATACGAATTAGGTACCTTCATGAAAAAAAGCTTAATCCTTTTTAAAGGCCGGCAACGCACCTGCGATTCCCCTGGTGTTGTAGTTGATAGTTATACATGCGTGGCAGTCGACACTTACCGTCAGGTGAGTCACATGCTTGAAAACTTCTCTTCTCCAAAAATACCTATGAAAGTGTAAAAGGATTCATCACCCCATGTCATCCTGTCGGTGTCGTAAGAGGCAAATGTTATATGCCCAAAGGTCATCCGGCTTCTATTAGATAACCAAAGGTGCAAGACATCTGGTATTGCGATCGTCAATCCACTTAATGGGTTGATAAAGAATAAAAAAGGACTATTATAATAAATGACACCATATAAAATTAATAGTATATTTCCATTCGTTACAGTCTATTAAAGTCCACTGCTGGACAAAACCTCCACATAGATTGCCTCATAAGGGGACGTTGCCGTAGTTGCTACGGCTGCGTATTAGCAACCGCAGTCTTTTTATTTTTAGTTATCATTAGGTCCATCCATTCTTCTGATTTGGTTCCCTTTGTCGCCTCTTACAACACCGACAGGATGATATAGGGTGGTGGTTATTCTTACGTCGCACTACACAATCTTACATGATACTAAACTGTTAAAATGTTGATTAAATTATGATGTTATGAAATTGGAATGCCTATATTAAAAAAAATGTAGGTATTAAATACTCGCCTCTTACCATGAGAAACACAATAGCATTGTGCTGCTATTTCACGCTGGTATTCTGTGACAACGTAGCGGCTTCTCATATTGGGCCGACCCATTCGTGCTGAAATTTTCGAAATGAACAGAGTAATCTTTCTAATAATAAAACTACTATACTTACCAGCAGCGTATCTTGGCTCGAGTGTGCACCCTTGTTGCAATACAGCACCTATGATTAATATGAGCACATCTGCCCACGTCCCATTCAGTTGTATTGGATGCTGTAATCATAAATTAACAGTAAATAGTCGAATAGACAAACAATTTACTGTCATTTCATGTATGATTTAATTTGTTTAAAGCACACGTAGTAGGTAGGGTAAGCATTGCTCAGTGTTAAAAAAAATTAATGTCTCCAGGGTGAAGCCTATCTAGTCTAGATAAATTTGGAAAGTAAATCTTTATCTAAATACAAAATTTTATTTAAATTGTTAGAGGCGTTTCCGAGACAAAACATACATAAATATCAACTCACGCCTGTCACCCAATCAAAACGATAAACTAATTTCATATATTATAAGTGTTCACTTAAAATAAAGAATACACAGACAATGTAGGGAATATACACAAAATCAGAGGAAAGTCAACAGCCATCTACCGCTCAATTTAAAGTTACAATGGTAGTTAAACTAGAAAAAGTATAGTTCCAGTAAGATTTTACGAGTATGTGTGGTGGCTTGATAAGCGACACTAGGAAATAACAGAAAGATCTAATGGCCTCTGATAGATGGCAGTTTTATAAAATCAAAGGTGCGAGACATCTAGTACGTTCGACAATTCGGTATGTACTCCAATATCTCGATTTTAGATATACCTATTACCTATATCTTCCCTATAACGGAGGAGGTTCTTTTTTAAGAGGTAAATTTTAACGGTGTTAGAGCCACGCGGCCAGTTTTGCTGTTGCACGTATGGGCCGGCTTGAGCCGGGTTGGTACCGTGGTACCAACCTCACAGAATACCGGCGTGAAGTGGAAGCTCTCTCTGCTTCTGCGTTTCATCTGATGAGTGCAGGTTTGCCGGAGGCCATATCCCCCCCCATCAACATGGTAGCGGAATTAAATTAAAAACTACCCCAGGAGAGTACCAGCACTCCTGGAGAATCCCTCGCTGAGCATCTACGACCATGCTACTCCAATTCTGAGCGTGGCTGCTCTATGGGCAAAATTCCGCTCAAATCAATAACCAGGTGACCCCTGCCACGCTATCCGTGAATTTCTGCAACATCAAGGGACTTCACTCGAACCTAAACGCCGTCCACTACCATCTCGAGACAGCGAAGTCGGCTTTGCTCTTTCTGAACGGCGGGTGTCCTCTCCGGCTGATACTTCGTATCTCTCCTACCCGGGGTACAAATTGGAACTCTCCTTTGTGCCTTGGGCTGGAGTTTGCGTATACGTCAGAGAGGACATCTGTTCTCGACACCTCGGCAGTCTTGAAGGTACGGACCTGTCTATCCTTTGGCTACGCGTAGACAGCGACGACCATCCGCGCGTCTACATGTGCCTCCATAGCTCCCATAGCGGTAATGCCGAAGACTCATCGACCACGTCCAAATGGCTACAGATTCCTTGCTACAACAGATCCCATCCGCAGAGATCGTGATCTTTGGCGATTTCAACGCCCACCACGCCGAATCGCTCAGTTCACGTTTAACCGATCATGCGGAGAGATCTGTTTATGACTTTGCCTTGGCATATGGTCTGACACAACTGGTTACTTCGCCTACGCGGCACTATTCCACATGTGGAGGTTCATACACCTTCCCTGTTGGACCTTCTGCTGACCTCTCATACGAACCGATATCAGGTTTCCGTCGATGCCCCTCTCAATTCTTCAGACCATTGTCTGATCCGGAGTGTGGTACCACTCACGCTCCCGTCGCGGTTGCGTTCTGCAGGTTGTGCGGTCTTTCTTTGCATCCTACCCATGGGGGTGAGTTTTCTTCTCGCTGGATGATCACAGCGCTGTTGCTGACTCTGTCCCTAATGTGGTCAGGATGGAATCGAACTATTTATTCCATCATCTGTGGTACACATTGGAGGCAGATCTCGGCCTTGGTTTGGTCGCTCCTGTAAGACTGCATTACGCAGTAAGCAGGAGTGTTATCAGGCCTGGGCTGGGGTTTCGGCGGCTCGGGATATAAACACCAGCGTGCTTAAAAAGAAGTATAACTTCGCCTTCAGGGCCTTCAAAAGAGTTATTGTCAGGGCAAAGTCAGAGCACATAGGCAGAATTGGCCAGAAACTAGTTCGCTTTTCATTCTGAAAACCCGTGCATTCTTGTCTCTCGCCAAAGCTGTCCAAGGAAATTACTGTAAGCCATCACTGCCATCTCTACACAGGGAGGACGACTCACTGGGCCACTCCTCAATAGAGAAAACTGACCTTTTAGGCTCTCTTTTTGCGTCCAACTCGACTCTTGATGACGGGGGGAACACACCGACGACCATCCCGCGGTGTGAGTGTTCCATGCTGGATGTACGGTTCCCAAAGCACTCGGTTCTCAAAGAACTCATATCCCTGGACATGCATAAATCGAGTGGGCCGACGGGATCACCCCAATTGTGCTGGTACTCCTACTCCCTAGGCGTAGTCCCGAAATAAAGGAAGACAGATTTTTTCCACCCGATCCCTAAAAAAGGCGACCGCTAAGAGTTCAACTACAGGCTACTTCGCTCCAACTACAGGCCTATCGCCATCACCTCCTTGTTCTCCAAAATAATGGAATCCATTATAAACTGCCAGCTCATGCCTTACCTTGAGGATCGCCAGCTGATTAGTGGCCGCCAATACGGTTTTCGTCAGGATCGATCAGCTGGTGATCTTCTGGTCTACCTGACTCATAGATGGGTGGAGGCATTACGGTCCAAGGGGGTGGCGTTGGCCGTTAGTTTGTACATTGTGAAGGCCTTCGATCGGGTTCGACACAAAGCGCTTCTTTCGAAGCTCCCTTCCTGTGCGCTTCCCGAGAAATTGTGCAATTGGATCACCAGATTTCCTGTAGATCGGAGCATCAAGGTCTTTGTAGACGGCTACAAGCCTAGCTTCGACTACAAGCCTATTAACGCTGGTGTCCACAAGGCTGCGTGCTATCACCAACGCTGTTTCTTCTCCATATCAATGACATGTTGTAAATCGGTAACATTCATTGCTATGCGGATGACAGCATTGGTGATGCTCTATACACCGGCCGTGCGAATAAATCTAGTCCAGTTTAATCCTCAGAAGACACAAGTTTGCACGTTTACCGCTAAAAAGAACCTCGTTGTCGTATCTCCTTAGTTTCAAGGCACTCTCCTTGTTGCTTCAGCCATAATGGAATCCTCGGTGTCGGCATATCGAGTGACGTGCAGTTTCGTGGTCACTTGGAAGAGAAGGCCAAATTGGCCTCCAAAAAGCTTGGCGTGTTCAGCAGAGCGGGATAATATTTCATGCCGGCACAAGGCCTGCAACTTTACAAGGCGCAGGTTCGGCTTTACATGGAATACTGTTCCCATCTCTGGGCTGGGGCTCCCCAGTGCCAGCTCCTTCCACTTGACCGAGTCCTTTCCGATCGGCTCGATTCATTGGCGCTGCGAAGAGATGTTGCATCCCTTTGCATTTTCTTTCACATTTACCACGGGGATTGCTCTGAGGAATTGTTCGAATTAATCCCAGCCGCCAAATTTCACGAACCCACATCTCGGTAGAACTCCCGATACCATCCACACAATCTGGATGATTGGCGGTCCACCACTGTGTGATTTAGAAGATGGTTTCTTCCTTGCACAACTTCCTTGTTGAATCGATTACCACCAGCAATTTTTTCGAAGCGATACGACTTAGGAACCTTCAGGAAAAGAGCCTACTCCTTTTTACAAGGCCGGCAACGCATCTTCGACTCCCCTTGTTCGCCTGGTGTTGCAGTTGTTCATGGGCGGCGGTAGTCACTTATTATCAGGTGAGCCGCATGCTCATTTGCCCCCTCTCCTTTGAAAAAAGATTTCTGTGAAAATTCACTTCTGAAAATTAACCTGGTAAAAAAAAGGATACCAATACAGTCGAGTTTGATGGACGCAATTTATTTGTTTTTGTTATATTTGTCAATGTGTAAATGAATATGTATAAGTGTCTCTGTACTTTTTTTAAATAGTACTATTATAAATATAATAATACATAAAATAAATAATCTAGACTCCTAGACTAGGGTAACCTTGTCAATAATTTAATCAGCGCACATACACGTGACATGAATTCGTAAGCCGGTCGTTTATTCTATTTAAATAAATTATAGAAGAAACTTGACTGGAAATTATTTATGAAAAATAAACATATATACTAGTCAATTACAATGATTTCTTTTTTTTTTCATAATATAGGGTGACAAACGAGCACACACGGTCAATCTGATGGTAAGTGGTTGCTGTGGCCCATATACATCTACATTTACCCTCGTTTGCGTATCAAAATGCAGATGCGTTGTCATCCGTGAGGACTAAGATGGAATACCTCTTTTCCAGTAAAAAGGGTCTCCGGTTCTCTACACTCACCATACGAAACACAGTAGTGTTAAGCTGCTATTTTACGCTGGTATTCTGTGAGAGCGTGGTCCTTCCCCGGTCGAGCCGACCCATTCGTGCTACAACTATATTACTAATATAGCTGCTTCTTATGTTAGCTTGATAGGAAAAGCTTGATAAAAAAGCGTGTATATACTTATGTACGCACGTAGGAAACTATACATCTTTAGGGTAACAAAACAAAAAAAAACTTGAGAGACAATTACCCACTGAAGTTATCGTATTTAGGTGTCAGTGTGCGCGCGCATCGGAACAACTTCATGGTGTCGTTTATGGGTGTCGGTGTGCGCGCGCATCGTAAAAATTCACTCTCATCATTTTTCCCAAATGCCCCAAAAGAAGTATAACTTAAAAAATCGCAAAGTTTCCTCAAAATCTATAATTTTAGTTACGTCCATTAAGGGAAAAAGCAGTTTCATTCGAATGTAATTAAATCAATTTCAATTAAATTCTGTTTATATGTGTTCACTAGTAAATACTTAGGAGAATTATGGGTTTATTTTCTAATAAAAGGGTATATTTCATTTTAAAAAGAAATAGCAAATAAATATCGTGCAATAAAATTGCGCGCGGACAGGCCAAACAGGAGAATATCGCCGCTCCTAGCTCGTGACCACGATACTGTTTTGCCGACCCTGAGCCAAGTGCATTTATTATCTAACTCCCAACACATTTATTTAAGTCGTTACTGACGGAATATCACCCAATCTACGTTAAGTATGTAATATACCATCCTAATCTACGTTTGTCACCCAGGCTACAAGGCAGGTCTCCAGTAGGCAGTCGGTTCTTCGAGTAATACGGCTGTTTATTCTCACTTTTACATATTGATCCTTTGGAACATCTAAGTTACACCGTTTCTACTGTTTATATATTTGCCAAGGATTCTATTATGGTAATACGGGCACAGTCAATTCCATAGTTTGCTAAGCGAATATGACCTACACCATATAATGACTAGTAGTCAAGGACCACGTCATAAATCACGTTAAATGACGGGCAATAGAGAAAGATATGTTGAAAATATGCTGGATATTATGCAATAGAGTAGTAAAAATCCGTAATTCAGAAGAAATGGTAAGATACAGTGCTAGCTCAAGGACTCGAAGTCGTGTACACGTGTACAGTTCGCCATCTATTAGACAAGTACTTGGAATATATCACCCTGAATTTTAAAAAATGTTCCAAATATATTGTTCAAAATATTTAGGTATAAGAAATTAATTTAATAGTAATCAATATAATATCTAATACTAACCATGCTCATCGTAGCTTCCCATTTTGAAGTAATGAATAGAAAAATCGCACAGGCTAATACACATATGAAAATTGCAAGCCAAACTGCGCCTGTGAAAGGGAGCGTGAAGATATTTGACAATAATGCAAGAGGAGGTTCGCGAAATACGAATCTCACGGCAGTGGAACCAACCATTGCAATGTAATCGATGCGTTCCATTCGTTCTTTGGTAAAGATTGTTAAGGTTCCTGCAATAATAAAATATTTAAATATTTTACGCTGGTATTCTGTGAGAGCGTGGTCCTTCCCCGGTCGAGCCCTCGTGTTACAACTATACTACTAATATAGCTGCAGCATGGCTCTACCACGTATAAAAACGTTGTTTACGGTTTTTTATCAAACATGAATTTTTACTTACCAAGGTCCGCTTCTTTCTTTAGTAGATGGTCAATAATCCCTTGCCAGTTGCCGTTTTTATCCTTGTATCCCCACGTGTGAGTAAATATCAATTTTTCTGTAGCATTCAACATTTCAAAACATATTTTTACTATAGCATATGACATTTTTGTTATGGAGTCTTGATGGAGATTCCTAAAAAAATTATTCGTATTTATTGTCACATAAAGGTGGAGCTATTCAAAAATAAAATATTATATTTTGTTGCCAACCTTGTGGGTAACAGTACAAATGTTACAAGGATAGATTATGTAAATAGTTTACTGAATCTAAAACACTAGTTACTGTAATTTGCATACGAATTAAGGCGTTACAAACAATTAATAATTTTATATTTCTATACACATGAAACATGTCAATGTAAAGTTCATTAATTCATTGACATACTTTAATTATTACATCACTTAATCATCGACTGTCGACTTGGGGTCTGGCAGGCCCCTCGCTGTTTGCGATTTCCTGGAATGTAACACTTCGTCGCTGTCGTTATCCTCAATGAGGACTAATAATCTTCCATATGTCACTAATTCTGATTGTTTAAATAAATGTTTATCAGTTTCTAGAGTATTATATTAATACACAAAACAATTCCTCAGTGGGTTGCTCATTATTTTTTTGCATATTTTTAACTTTTTTTTGAATTTTTCTACATTTAGGAATATCTGTGGATTGGTTTATTTATTTTTAAACTAAATATTATAAACATATATCTAATAGCACAGAAACAAACATGAACCTTTACATTTGCCTAACAAATTAACTTAAAAAAAAACTGTATAAAAAGGGTTATTATAATATAAATGAATACATGGTTGATAATAACCCCTGGGAATGAGTTGGTCGCTTCCAAGACGTTATTAAAATAAATTTTGTAAATAGTTGTACAACTGGGTTTCTTGCTGGCTATTCCCAGGACAGTGTTGCGGAGCGCCTGTGACCGTACTACTAGCAATTTACCATCACGGAATGTGTTGTTTCAAGAACAATCGTAGTGCATTGTTTTTTTTTTATTTTATCTACCGTATGCATTAGCTACAACTTCATTGTAACTGTAAGGCGTCAACCGAATTACACGTTTTTAAAGTTCGAAGCTGTGCACATCATTTTTCACCTGTACTATCTTTCTCCAACACGGAGGTTATTTGTTTTGAACCAGTGGTAAAGTATAAAATTACTTTCAATAAGAATTACACATATGATCTATATTGAATAAAAAATATTCTATTCTATTCTATTCCCCGCTATGAAGTCTGTCAAATATTACACCTCATTTTAAAGTGGCGCTGCCCTGGTTGCAGAAAAAGTTGTGGATAGCCCTCATTGCTTAAGTTTTACTTCAAAACAACTAATGATAGGAATCAGAATAATTACACCACAATTTTCCTCTACATTTGCTAGACATACTAAAACACGTTTTCAAAGCAAATTTGTCTAATGACATAAAACTGACGCTGTTGTAAAACTAATTGATGAATGATATAATAACTGATAATAATGATATAAAACTGACGTGTTTAGAGCGCAAATGAAAACCTTTTACTCTGAATAAGCATTAATATAATATGATATATTAGTACATTGTTTATTTTACTATTATAAGCCAGTGTTTGTCTACTATTCCACCTGATGGCAATTGGTGATATAGCCGAAGATAGTAAAGCTTACCACAAACTTAGCTTAACATAAACCTTTTCTTTATAGAAAAAGGGTGACAAACGAGCACACAGTCCACCTGATGGTAAGTGAATGCTGCGGCCCATAGACATCTACATTTATCTTCAATTAAGAATCAAAATGCAGATGCGTTGTCACTCCTGATCACTAAGATGGAATACCTCATTTCCAGTAAAAAGGGTCTCCGGTTCTCTACACTTACCATACGATACAAAGCAACATTAAGTTGCTATTTCACGCCGGTATTCTGCAAGAGCATGGTCCTATCTTGGTCTTTCCGACCCATTCTAGCTACACTTGCCTTGCAGACACACACATTATAATCGGATGGAAAGACTGGCCTATGGGCCACAGGATCCACTTAACATCCGGTGGACTATGAGCTCGTTTGTCACCCTTATTCTATAAAAAAGACATTCACGTTACTTAGCGTTGATTTCATTCATTTTTACAGTATTCCTTTAGCGTTGTTAGAATGTCATATTAGCCAGCCCCGCTGATGAGATTTATTTTAAAAATTTCCTTCACTTGTGACACGTTGGGAAGATGAAAGTCTCAATAACAATATCAGTAGTTACTGGAGTCTGAGTAATTACGGTAATTCCGAAGAACCAAGACAAGAATGTGGTTTCCTTAAAAGTTTGCTCTAAATTTCAAGCAAATATTATTAGACACTACACCGGTAAGGACAAAAACATTAAATAACTCATGCCTGCAATTAACTGATAATGAACTGCTCATGTATGGATTATGCACATTAAACATAATATGCAACGAACTGCGACTGCTTACTTTGCTGCGAGGTTAGCCTCGAAAAAGCTAGTAGAGTCTTATTCGTGGCAACAACTTAAAAGCATATTTTTTAATAAGTAGCCAATTTAGTGAATTTTTAGTCCAGAAATTAACTAAACTAATGTAATACGATATTTTAAATTTATTTGTTGACTTTATTTATTTACGCGAACAATACTTACTACATGTTGAATGAAACAATTTTTTTTTTGAATTTTATCACTTAGTTTACTTACGTATATACTTAAGTAAGTATATACGTGACCAGTGCTTAAAATATTTAAACATTTATTTTATTTAATGGTGCATTTTTAAAGGTATACTTATTTCAAACTGACTTTTGATAGAAATATGTTTATATGTACCTATATAAAAAACTAAGAAGTTATAATAATGACGGTTTATTTGTAAGACATGATGAGAAATAAAGGTGAGAAGAATACAATATGGAAACAGATAAATATATCTTTTGTAATTGTTGAATACATTACACGAAAAATTTTTTTATTAGCAAATTTTTTTAATATACTTCATGAAAGATCTTAGGAAAAAAAGTCGATATAAACTAATTGTTTACATTGAATGAAGAGATTGAAAAGCGTGTGAGTAACTAAATAGTTGTTATGCTGGCCAGCGGACTATGATGAGAGAAACGTCACGAAAATATATGAACACATAGACCCTAAATTATGGTAGCAGCAGGAATGGGTCGGCTCGACTGGAGAAGGACCACGCTCTCACAGAATACTAGCGTCAAATGGCAGTTTAGTGCTGCTTTGTTTCGTATGATGAGTGTAGAGAACCGGAAACCCTTTTTACTGGAGACGAGGCATTCCATCGTAGTCCTCACGGGTGACAACGCATCTGCATTTTGATACTTAATCGAAGATAGATGTAAATGTCTATATGCCACAGTATCCACTTACTATCAGATGGACTGTGTGCTCGTTTGTCACCCCCATTCTATAAAAAAGTGACGAGAAGGAATTTCAAAAAAAAGCGAGGGGATTGGTACTGTAAACAACAAGTCTACCAGGCATGCGAAATAACTTTTAGGTGATTAACATCCAACAGTAAAATATTAATAGGCAGATAATTATAACCTAACAAAATTTGAATAAATCACATATTGATAAGTTAGAATTTTAGTAAATTTTTTAAAAATTATAAATTATAATTTAAGCGAGCAAGTTACTGACAGTCGATCATCCAAATGTTTCCTCGTTTCGTTGCTGTCGGTGATAACGTTAGCCATTGTAAGAGTATGCCTCCTTAAATTGCGTCGCCTTGCCAAGAGCACTTTAGTGTCCCTGTAATCTTCCATAACTCCATATTTATTTACTGTTATAATTTTAACAGGGGCGTTGATTCCGTTTTCCTCATTCCTATTTTTATGTTCACTCGGTTTTACACTCGTTTCGTTCTGGCTGTCTTCTTTAATTAAGATGTCACTTGAGTTACTACTTTCAATTTTATAATTATTAGTGGCTGTGCGCCAAATTGCTCTTGTAGTAAAAATAAGTTCAGACTTTTCAGAAATTCTGTAAACTATAATGTAATGGTTAGATTACATAAGACTAGTAAACACGCAAAAATCAAATATATTAGAATATCAATGTAAATGTAAAGTATAAAGTGATATGTGATATTATGCAAATAGAAAATTAAACGTTTATGTAGGGCCATGCTGCAGCTATATTAGTAGTATAATTGTAGCACGGATGGGTCGGCTCGACCGGCGAAGGACCACGCTCTCACAGAATACCAGCGTAAAATAGCTGCGTAACGCTGCTGTATTTCGTATGGTGAGTGTAGAGAACCGGAAATCCTTTTTACTGGAAGTGAGGCATTCCATCTTAGCCCTCACGGGTGAAAACGCATCTGCATTTTGATTTGTAATAGAGGACAGATGTAGATGTCTATGGGCCGCAGCAACCACTTACCATCAGGTGGACTGTGTGCTCCTTTGTCACCCTTATCTTATAATATAATAGTCTCCGGTTCCCTACACTCACCATACGAAACACAGCAGCACTAAGCTGCTATTTTACGCTGGTATTCTGTGAGAGCGTGGTGTTTCCCCGGTCGAGCCGGCCCATTCGTGTTACAACTATACCATAAATATAGCTGCAGCATGGCTCTACCACGTATAAAAGTTACATTATCTTTTTAAATTGTAACGAGTAAGGATCTAAAACTTCTGCCTTTGAAATTATTGTTATATTTGTGTGTGTGCTCCCGTTTTATTAGATCCTTGATGAAGTTTTGGAATCTAACATCAACTGCCTTATGATATGATTAACTTCCATAATGCACTATCCCTGGGTTAACAAGAGAGTATTTTATTCGTAGTAAAGCCATGTTTCAGTTTTATTATGGTTGTAGTACGAATGTTTCGATCTGATCACGCTCTCATAGAATACCATCGCAAAATAGCAGCTTTACGCTGTTATATTTCGTTTTATTAGACCCTTTCTACAGGAAAAGAGGCAGTCCATCGTAGTCCTCAGGGGTGACAAGGTATCTGAATTTTGACTCTTTTAATTCAGGATAGATGTAGATATCTAGGACCACCTCATCAACTTACTATCAGGTTTACGTTTCGTTTCGTTCGCTCGCTTATCACCCGTTATTTTATAAAAAAGTAATACACAACTTTTTATCTTTATTATAATCACCATATACAATATGCATCAATAACTGTGTCACGGATCTGTAATTAGTTCTTCGAAAGCCATATTTATGTAATACTTTCCAAGATTCATGTTATCGCATTTTAAATCTTAAAACGATACGCAAAGATGAATATTAGTCAGTGCATTTAGCGCGTGATCTGATATTTTGCTTTTAAAAAAATCAACATTATTAATAATAATACTTCTACAAGATTTTCCATTCTAGCTTCAGATCTACCTATTTGCGGCATCCTGACTTGTATGTTAGATAAAAGATAGTTAAGCGACATCAATTCGACTTATGACAGGGCAGTGACAATAATATTCTACTGCGTCTTGGAATTAGTTATTCACCAGTTATTATTGACTTATTATATGCGGTTATTGATTAGCTGTGCAAGTGAATTGATTAATACAGAGCCGGTACCCTCGCACAACTCTCGCACAGGTTCAGCGTTTTTGCTTGGTCAGTTATTTAATACATAATATTATATGAAAACATATTTGCGTAAGTCGGTTGTACATACGAGTACATGTTACCCCTGAACATGTACCCGCCATTGATATTAATACCGTATCATTTCCAGTCCTATCCAGTAGTTTGAAAAAGTCTTCCAAGTGTAGAGTTTCGGGGTTATAAAGTCACCCTGTCTTACACCTCTCTGCAGTTATAAAACTTCAGCACTTCGATATAGTCGATAGTCAACTTTATAATAAACTTAATTTGAGTATGAGGCAATTTATGGGTTAGGCCTATGATCAACAGTAGACTTTAGATAAACTGTAATGATGAATGATGATATTATTTTATGATTTGATTTATATATTATATCAGTATTTACCATCAGTAAAAATAAATCCCCCGTCAGCTAACTTCCTTGAAATCACCACGTCACTGTCTATAAGCATATCTACATCTTGCAGAATATTGAATTGATTGCCAGACTCTGCGGCCAACAGCAGCCATCTGTAGGGAGACTTGAAGTATCCCTGATTACTGGCCTAATAACAAACATCAATAAAAGTTCCACATAACAGTTTCTTATGTAGAACAACATAATCTTAAAACAAATTTGAGCATGTATTTAAAAATGGCGAAGTGTAGGGCGACCCCCCACTAGATGGAGTGACGACCTGGTAAAACATGCAGGAAGTCGATGGATGCAGGTGGCTCAGGACCGTGCTTTGTGGCACTCTTCGGGGGAGGCCTATGTGCAGCAGTGGACTTATGAAAGGCTGTAATGATGATGATGATGATGATTTAAAAATGGTGATAGAAATAATTCAATCCATTTCAATCACACCAAGAAACTGAATGTTCTCAGGTTTATGGTAACATAAAGTAGTAATTTTTTTCTTCCGGGTCTTGATCAAAAGCTTAGGTTTTTGATCAAAAACCAGGTTTTGTCATAAACCTACGACATATACATTATTTTACACCCATTTTATGGGTAACGAGGTATTCCATCTTAGTCCTCAGAGTTGATAACGCATAGAGAATGCACTTTGGGCTCTCAATACATTTATGAAAATGTAATGTAAGTACACAAAAATAAAATTAGTTTTATAGTTAAAAAATAAGTGATATTCATTCTGTAAATACTAGGAACAGACACAAGCTAGTAGTACCAGTTACTCGACTCCATCGAGTCAGTAATTCATTCTTGGGGCGATGTATACGCTTTTACAACAAAATTCCAGAAAATATACAAAATTTAACCTGTTCAAAGTTCAAAAACATTATTAAACAAAACTTTTATAAAAAGGGTTATTATAATATTAAGAAATTTATAGATAACCCCTGGAAATTAGGTGATCGCTACCAAGCTATTTCTAATTTGTTTTGTGTGGTTAATTGTGTAACATGCATGATTGTAAGCTGTTATTTAAAAAAATTCTTGCTGGTTCTTCCCAGGACAGAGGTTTTTTTTCGAATCACTTTTATTTAAACAAAAGAGTGACTTTCAATAAGTATTATTTATAATCTATGTATATTGAATAAAAAAGTTTCTGTTTCTACCCCATACCATACTATGCAACATAGGTTCAACCGTGAAATTGCTTTTGACTATTCTGGTTGTTATATAATATAGGAGTGACATAGCAATAAGTTTAGATGGTGGTAAGACATTCTGTAGTACATAGACACTTGCAACTAAGAAGCAAATAATGTTATAGGTACGCTGTCACTTTTGAGGTGTAACATGAAATTCATCTCCTCCTTTGTATATAACTGCTTCTTTACCCAAACTTAAACACAGCAGAAGTTAAGTAAAAACATACAGGGAGTCAACACAAGCAAGCGGCTCACCGTGCTTTTTGGCATTTCTTTAAAGATGCTCATGAAGTGTGGAATTGTGAAGGTCTGTAATGACGATGATAATGATTAATGATGAACACGGCAGTTACAATACTTATGCCGATAAATGTGAAAGTGTGGTACAGCCCCAGACGAACACTTAGACAAAAAAGAAACCTTTTATTATTTACGAGTATTAATAATAATAATGATTTTTTTACCTTCAATAAAAACTGCGGCGTTGCCGGGCATGACAGGTCAGCGAGTATTACAATATGCTGTAAATGGCTCTCACTCCGATTCGGTTGAAAGGAATAAGCCCAACTTACACCAGCACTGCATAAAGATTTAGCCAATGTTTTCAGCTCATCTGGAATTTATTAAATTGCTGTAGGATACATGAGCCGATTTCGATCAGGAGCTAAGCACTCGCAGTAAATTTCGTATGCAAACAACCCGAGTTCGTTGCCAGCACCAGTTAAATTGTTAATTCCAATTTTACTCTTTTTGCACATTGTCGATTTCCTTTTTCTGCCGACTTCCAAAAAGGAGACGGTACCCAATTCGACTATATGTTTTTTTTATGTATGTTACCTCTTACCTATTCTACCTCTTTACTGGGTGAACCGATTTCGATGATTCTTTTTGTATTTGAAAGCTGGTACTTCTCGTGTAGTCCCATATGAATTTGATCAAGGTCAGACCAATAGTTTTTGAGTTATTCTTAATAACTTATATTGAAGTCGGCAGTACAAAATGTTTAATTTTAAATTATATTGTTAAAGCTATTTTGTTGGTATGTCACTAAAGCATTACATCAACTAGTCAAATATTTTCGACGTATAATAGGACAAGTTCAACTTGGAAATGATAAAGATTACAAAATATGCAAATTAAAGAAACAGTAAATAATATTTAACTTTAGAGCTATGTATAAACTTACATTGATTCCAACACAAGTTTGGTATTAAAAGTGAAACCGGTCTATCGTCTAATTTTAAAAACGATATTATGATATCAATCGCATATTTAGCACCGTTCGTATGAGATGATATTGTTACTGTGGAAACAACTAATATAAAAATGCTAATGCATTTTAAGTTCATTTTAATTTAGTACCTCACAAACAACACCACTAGTTTTCTGTGACTAAAATGCGAAAGTGAAAGTTTAGACATACAATTTTCCATGTATTATGAGAAAAATGTAAGAAAAAAAGACAAATTCAGAAAAAGGAAATGCAATATTTATGCGTAGGGACAGTCGTGTACACAAGGGCTTAATAAGGTACTGTCAATTCTTAAATAGTTTCAACAAAATTATATTAAATAAAAGGCAAAGTCAAATAAATATCTTACTCAAAATTGGTTCTTACAAAGCAATTGTTAAAAGTTAAAAGCTATGCTATCGCTTCAAAGTCTCTGAACTGGGAAACCTTGTGGGTAAAACCTTCAACCAAAAATATATGTACTAATAATACAACCTTATAAAATAAATTCATAAGAAACGTTTCGGTCATTTGTTTCCATTGGCTTATGTACTTAATGGTAGACTACATACGATTCTCTCTACTCTACATTCCTCTAATTCTGACAGGGTATACGTGACCCATTTAGAGGAAGAACAGATTCTTGCTAAGTTTTTTTTGTTTTAGCATATAAAGTATATGCTATAATTACTTTTTACTTTTGTGCCGACTCCCAAAAAGGAGACGGTACTCAATTCGACTGTATGTTTTTTTTATGTGTGTTACCTCATAACTTTTTACTGGGTGAACCGATTTCGATGATTCTCTTTTTGTTTGAAAGCTGGTACTTCTCGTGTAGTCCCATATGAATTTGATCAAGGTCAGACCATTAGTTTTTGAGTTATTCTTAATAACTTATATTGAAGTCGGCTGTACAGAATTTTTAATTTTTAATTATTTTTAAACAAATTATTAGCAATTCTATTAACGTGACGAATATTCTCTTTAACCACTCCTCGCAAGTTTAAAATGCTTATGGTAGGAGTGGTTCATGACACCAGTCGAATGGTGGATTAGAACCAACGACCTTTTGATTTCGCGGTTCGTACCCTGTCATTGGGCTACTGTCTCGCTTCTTTTTTATTAAATTGAAATAATTAAATATTATTTATGGGATTGAGATTAGATGCCAACATGATGGTGGCGGATGGCGAAACCAGTTAGTAGGTTATATAATTACTAGGGATATTTAGGTTTATTTTCTGGGTAGATACCACGCTTTTACATATCTCTCATTACATTGTAGGGCATCAACTGCTGTGTTTTAGTTGAGTATGGAGGGCCTTTCTCTACTTTTTGGATTTTTTTGATAATAATTGGATGCGGCACTCTACTTACCACATTCCGCCTGTGGCACCGCTCTCGAGCGGTCGTGTCCAGGTAGTCCGTGCATCCGTCCCCGTACGGTAGTGCTCTCTCGCTCTCGCGCCTCCGCTGTCCTGCTCGCGCTGTACAGCGTCGACGCTTTGGTGAGTCATTTCTGCTAACAGTTCTTGTCCCCCTGTCTTTGGGCAGGGAGGTTTGACTGACCTCTGCTTGTTATTGTTATTTTTATTGTTAATTCTTATTGTTAACTATTTCTAATTTTGTTTTCGTTATTTATTTGTATAACGTGTACGTGTATATACTGTTTCTAGGGAGTTACTTGCTCTTTTCAGAGTAAGGCTCTGCTCTTTTGAGAGCAGGGGCACTTACTCCTTGAATAAAGAACGTCCCGTTCTTTTGAGAACGGTGATCCCCCGCCCTTACTGTTTAGGTACAGAACGTCTCTGTTCTTTTCAGAACAGCACCCCCTAGCCCCTTCCGTTTCAAATACATACTGATTCGTAGGCCCTCAACATGTCCACAGTTACCCAAGTTAAGTCCCTCGTCGTCGCCCTAAACCAAACTCTTGGTCTGGGCCTAAATCTCGATGAGACGGCCCTCGCCGCCATCGCCGCCCTTGTTACTCCACCTGCCCGTCAGACACTCCAACCGCCGCCCGTACTCGCGGCCTACCTAGAGACCAAGAACTCTTTCGCCCCATTAGAAATGGAGTACGCATGCTCCGAGTCCTCTGCGTCGGCCTCCCGGAAGAGGCCCGCCACCAATTCTGGCACCGGTTCATCGGAGTCCTGTGACTCCGACGGAACCGGGGATTCTTCGTTCACCACGGTGAACTCCAAGCGCAGCGGTAAACGCGCCGCGAAAAACCGCACCCTCCCTGTCTCAGCGGCCCCTGCCGCTCCTTCAACCTCCGCAGCTCCCGCTGCCGCCTCTGCCCCCGCAGCCCCCGTCGCTGCCTCGGCCCCACTTATGTCACTAGACATCCCCGCTCCGACCAAGCCAGCCTCTCGCTGTGCTCCAGTCCTTGCCAAGAAGCAAGTCCCGCCCCCTGTCTTCCTAAGAGACAAGGCCAAATTCACAGAACTCTCCAAAACCTGCTACAACGCAGGCATAAAATACGACCACGCCATTAACCTCGGGGAGGCTATTAAGATCATCCCCCAATCAATCGACGACTTCCGGCGTCTCACCAGGCTATTCACAGCCGAACGAGTTTCTTATCATACGTACGCTCTCCCGGAAGAGCGCAAAGTCAGGGCCGTCATCCGCGGCGTCCCCTTCGAATTTTCCAACGAAGAAATCCTTGAGGACCTTAAGTCCCAAGGTTTCCCAGTTGAAGCCGTGCACAAAATGCACAGTAGAACGGGCCAGAGGTTCTCTCTTGCCCTAGTAATTTTAACCAACGTGCCGGAGGCAAAAGCCATCTTCCGGCAGGTACGCACAGTGTGCGGCCTGTCGAGAGTGAGGGTTGAGCCTCCACATAGGCGCGGGTTCCCGGCGCAGTGCCACCGCTGCCAGCTGTATGGTCATGCGGCGGCCAACTGCTCCGCCCCACCCAGGTGCGTTAAGTGCCTTGAACCCCACAATACTAAAGAGTGTCCTCGGCCCAAAGATGCCGAATCCCCACCCGCGTGTGTCCTGTGTAAACAAACAGGCCACCCGGCTAACTACAGAGGCTGCCCTTGCGCACCTCATCCTCGCCCCAGTAGGCAAGCTCCACCGCCGGTCAATGACCGCTCATTCCCGGCTCTTTACCAACGGATGCCGCGTCAGGGCCTTTCTCAGCCCACCCAGGGCTTCTCTCGGCCCTCTCAGGGTCCCCCTAGGCCCCCTCAGGGACCTCTTCGGCCCCCTCCGGGCTTCTCTCAGCCTATGCAGCCTCCAGTCTTTCCCTGGGGCCCCAAAAAGGCAGACCCACCGCGGACATCCTCCGCCCCACAACAATCACAACCCTCAATGGCTGATGACCTAAAAACGGTGTATTCCGCTATTAGGAACATCAACGTTGAGGAAATCGCTGTGTTAGCACGCAAATTGCGCGCTGCGAGGTCCCCTCAGGACCGTCTTCTCGCTCTTGCAGAGCATCATAATCTTTTGTGCTCGTTGTAAGTTAAGTTAACTTAATTAACTTAACTCACAATGACAGAGCAGTTTGCTCTACCAAAGTCTCACGGTCGTATCAAACCTAAGGGTTTATCGCTTGTATCCTTTAACATTCGCGGTTTGCGAAATAACCTCCCAGAGCTTAAGCTCTTTCTTCGAAATCGTGAAGCCGATTTCCTCCTCCTACAGGAAACTAATCTCAATACTAAGGACACTAAAGGCCTTTCCATCAAAAACTTCTCTCTTCTTCGTAATGACAGACCCGACCGCCGAGGCGGCGGTACGGCCATTTATTACAAGAAGACACTTCACTGCTCTCCCATTTCTACTCCGCAACTTTCCAATATGGAAGCCACGGTATGTAGGCTAGCTATGACTGGACATCAGTCCATCTTCATAGCCTCCTGTTACATCCCTTCTAAAACCCTTCCCCTCAAAAAAGATTTTGAGGCTATTTTATCTCTAGGCAATTCAGTCATTATGTTTGGAGATTTTAACTCCAAGCACACTGAATGGACATGCCGTACTACTTCACGTAGTGGCAGGATACTGCTCGATATCACGCAGTCTCTTGACCTTACCGTTCACAGTCCCCTCGGTGCTACTCACTATCCCGATATCACCGATTACGCTCCCGACGTGCTAGATTTTGCACTATTCAAAAGTGTTTCCCTCAATCTCAGGGCAATCGAGACACTAGACGATCTAGGTTCCGACCACAGACCGGTCTCCCTCATTCTTGGCCATCAGCCACCCCCCTCAACACCCTCTACTAAAACCTTCACAAATTGGCAGGGCTTCAAGGAGTCTCTAGCGAAAGCTCTGGACTCACAGGACTCCCCAATCTCCCTATCGTCGGACTTAGACAGTCCCGAAAAAATCGACACCGCGGTCGATTCACTCTCCACCCTTATTAAAACCTCCCTTAAGGAGAATGAAAGGGTCGTCCCGGTCGCTAATAATAGTGGGCTTCCCCTGCATATTAGCAACCTATTAAAAGCCAAAAAAGCTGCTTTCCGGAGAGCAGCAAAATATCCCACGCCCGAATATAGGCGCACGGCCAATCGTCTTCAACGAGAACTCCGTTTCCGCCTCTCTGAATTTCGAGACCTCGAAAAGAGTAAGCTCATGGAGAATATCTCTCCCTCTCATACAGCGTACTATCAGATGGCTAGAGCCCTCCGCATAGACGCTATCACCCACACTCCCCCTGTCTCCCGTCCTGACGGTACGGTAGCCTTCGAGGACGAGGAAAAGGCTGAGTGCTTTGCAGACAGCATTGCCGCTCAATGCTCTCCTAGCTCTCAACCCGTCGACCCCTCACACGTCCAGGCAGTGGAGGATGAGGTCCGCCGCCGGAACTCACCCCCTACAGCCTCCGAACCTATCTCTGTGTCCAATGATGAGATTTCATCCCTCATCAAAGGACTTAAGCCTAAAAAGGCTCCGGGCGTGGATGGCATCTCCAACCAAGCCCTAAAACACTTTCCTGAGCAGGTGCTAACCCTTTTATCTATTATCTTCAATGCCTGCTTCAACCTTAGTTATTTTCCCACTACGTAGAAAGAGGCAACTGTGATTGGTATTCCCAAGCCAGGCAAGCCTCTCAACCTCCCCTCCAGTCATCGCCCCATTAGCCTCCTCAAGGCC